TAATTAGTAATTAATTCATTTAAGTTTTGCGTTTTCACTTCTGTATCTCATAACAAGTCAATAATCTGTCATCCACTAATATTGGCCTACATGGATGTCCATAGCAATGTCTTAGTTTTGAGAAAAACATAAATTCTAGCCACATGATCTTGATCGTTTCTTTCCCTATAGTGTGTGTGGCAGACTTTCCATTTAAAAATGCCTGTTGGATGTTATTAATAACACGTCCTATAAAACAAAGCAAAACTCAAATATTATGGCAGCTAATAGATGTAAACTTTTCATAAGCTGGCATCAAATGTTTTTAAAAAGTATAAATGTTTTACTAAAGGAGAAATATCATTAAGATTCCCCCCATCCATAAACATTGAAGTGTGAGTTTTGGATCACTTGGTGAGGTACTGGGACGGGTTGTTCTGTGGTGACTGTTAGCAGGATTTTTTTTTGGCTCTCGTCTTCTCCAAATCAGAATTCTGACCATGCTGTCGGGGACAGTAACCTTAATACCTCACTATGTTCTCTCTTTCTGTTAACTTTCATTTGCAGTAAATTGACAGCTTTGTTTAGTCATGAATTGCAATCAAGGGGAGCACCTGCATGAGAGAAACTAAGGGTAGTTTGTACATCTCATTACTTAAGCTTAGCAGCCCTGTGATGCTATGTTGAGGTCCTCAGATGTTCAATCAGGCTGTATACTTCTTTTCACTATGCTTCACTATCTTCTAACTTCTGTGACCAAATCAGAGAAACTATTAGCTTTGGAAATATTTTTGAGCTATGATATGTGTATATGGAGAAAATTATTTCAGTTTAACTTTTTTCTGTTGTGGACAAATGCTATATTGGCTTTTTTCTGTACATATTGAGGGCTTTTACAATTTTGTCTCTTGTACTATCTTTCATCCTTTTTTTAGATACCATTTTCTAAAAATTCCAATTATTCACAATGTATATTGTCTAAATAGATCTAGTCAACATCAGTCTTTAAAGACTCCCCTGTATCATTACTCATTCATTGTAAAAGATATATGATCTGCTGCCTGTACATTGTATATAGTTGTAAAACAAACAAAAGCTGATCAAATTAAATAAAACCCACATGAAGACTTAAAAGATTAGCTAGGAAGTATAATTGTATGCATATATGTACAAAAAAGAATCTTAAAAGGATGCAATTGAACTGCATTTGATCTACTATTCTTCATACTTTATTCATGATCGGATGTGTCATCTTTACTTCTTTAACAAAGGTAGTTGGAGAGTCGGTAGGCTCTGTTGGGGTTCCTTTGGAATTTGAAATAGGGGTTGAATCCGTCTTAACAGATGTTGTCTGAAAGATGTACTGTACTACTGAAAAAACCTAAGCATAGTGCTGCACAGCAGCCGAAGTGGCACCTTGCTTCATCTGTTTCCTAGCCCCTCAAACACTTCATGTTTCCACGTCCTCCTTGGAAGAGGAGCAGGTTTCTTGCCAAGATGTAACTCCTCCTCCTGGCTTTTTGTGTGGTTGAGTGTTCTGCACTCTTGACAATTCACATCTATTAAACTCTCCTTGAACCTACAAATTGATTCGTGAGATTATGCCCCTTGGTCTTGGCGTGTTTGCTCTCATGGTTTCCTGGTTACCTTTTTAAGTCTGTCATGTAGCATCTTCCTAAAAGCATCATGTCTCAACGAAGTAGGACCACTACTAGTTTTTCCCTGATTGTAGCCAGTGGGTTTAAACTGGAATGGAGTTATGTGTGGACAAGAGCTGATAGAAGTTTTCTTACGTGCTCAGTGGTTCCAGATAATGTCTGTTTGGAGCAGCAGTGTCCTTCTCTCGGTCAGAACAGTACAGAGCTTTTCTTTTGGCTTCCTTCCTTTACTTTCGTCCCTTATCGCTGACGTTGTTTGCCTCTGCATGGCACACCTTTCACTTTCTCTCTGTAGTCTGATATGAAAGGTGGGGCTGTAACACATCAAACTCCAACTCTACATGGCAGTTTATAATGGCAGGATATGAGGGAGGAAAGCAATGGATTGTTTTTTTCTGTTAGGGCCTTTTTTTTGGTTTGTTTTTAGATTTTGATTATGGAGCGCTGCTTTACCAGCCCCAAAACACCTGGCACAAGCCTGTGCTACGAGCTAATAGCCACAAGGGGGAGCTGTGCAAAATGGAAGGCTGACGGGATGGGAAAGGAAGTTTCATACATCTATTCCTGAATGTTTTTGTTGGTGTTGTTTGTATTGTCTTATTCAACCAGTATGTACCCTTGTTAATCACATCTGATCAGTTCTTTCAATGATATCGTAATTCATGCAGTTTTAAATGTACAAATGGAAATGAACCCAACATAAGTGCTTTGGACACTGTAACTTAAAAGGAAGAAAAGAAACGGAAACAAATACCCATCAGCGGTGTGATCAGCATTTGAAGTGATATTAGTGCGTGTGTGTGTGTGCGCGTGTGTGTGTGTGTGTGTGTGTGTGTGTGTGTGTGTGAGAAAGAGAAAGAGAGAGGAAATAATCGTTCTTGAGAGAGTGTGATGGTGTCTGACATGTCTTTTATCTAGATAGGACATGATTTTTGGCTGCAATTTCAACTTTCAGCTTCTGAGCTGCATGTGAAAACCAGTGTAAATAATGTCATTTCTACTCCTGACCAGAGACTTTTTGAAATGCAAGAAAAGTTCAAATTAGAAAATCTTATCACACCACCTTCATGGGTCAGTACTAACATGTACAATAGGAAGTTGTTCAGATAGTGCTCACAATACTGTTAATGTTTTTAAGAGGGTGATGAAAGTGCACATCCGTCATTTGGATAAATTGGACAATTGATTTTTTGTTTTGTTTTTATTTGTTAGGGTGAATTCAGTGTGTAAAGGGCTTGGAAAAGCATCTGAATTTACCACCATGTTCACTGTCCCTGTTGAATCAAAACTTTGCATCCATTGTATTTTGAAAACAAAATCTGTTTGTTACCCCCAGGCCTGTCCTGACTGTAAAACAATATGGTAACTGATTTGTTGGGGGAGGGTGGAGGCATGAGGTTAACTTTTTCCAGTCAAGTGTGACATGTTGAACTTAGTCCCAGTTCCATGGCTTCAAGGTGAGTGTGAATGTCAGACTGAGAGTATGAGATGATTAAAGATGAGAAGTTGTAAACTATTAAATGGGATATTTTCAATTTATGCTGTGTATTCTTGTCTTTGGGTTGGAGAAAATGATCAAGCGAATAAAAAGTCAAATAAAAATCTAGCTGAACTATGGTAGTTTTGTTTTCTTGGTTTCGGGGGTTGGTGTAACAGTCTGCTGTATTAAAAATGAATTCTGGGCTCATCTGGGAAGACTGAAGAGTTTGGGAAGATCCATACCATTAATAACAAGAATTTGTAAACCAATTTTTATACCAAAATTCTCATTTCTAGCTTTAATATACCACGTCAACAGTATTAAAGATTAACGGGACAGCTCAGTGGTCATTCCTTAACTGGGCTGGGAACACAGAATGAATTAAGTTAATTATGATTTGTGGTATGAATTATTAGTTCATACCACTTGGATTTTGTGGCCCTTCTGTAATTGGGGCCCCCTGAATAACCTGTGCCACCATTCACCCCACCAGTGATGCAGCTGATTGTGAGAGTGAAGTAAAAATTTGTCAGTATTAAGTCAGAACAATGAGTACATTTCAGTACTACTGACAATACAATGATCATCAGGGAGATTGTCAACAAACAACATGATTTAAAATGCATTAATACAGTGAAGGTAAGTGTTTATTTACATGCACCCTGAAAGCCTAAAGTCAATAGAAATATTAAAAGGTAAAAACTAGATTTTGAAACAAGCTTGCAGGAGCCACCTCAGTTTCAGTGTATGTTGTATGTATTACCAAACAAATATGCAGTTAATGAAATTACTGTAAAATAATTGCCACTCAGTGGACCATCGGGGCACCTGAGGGTTTGGGGCCCTGGGGCACTTGCGCAGTGCGCACTTTACCAGGCTGGTAGTCCCTTTATGGTCCGATATACGGTCTGTACATCTTGCAGAATGAGCAGTGATGGTATCCTGCAGCTTATATTGGCTGGATTGTGGCCCATGCTGAAGCAAAGTTTACCAAAGGTAAGAAAATACAGCTACAGAAATGTGTCTGTGTTATGTTAAGGTTGTTAGTAGGTTAGGTTAGTTGTGTAAATTGTACAATGAATCTCAAAAAGCTGACTAAACTAATGAATGTTAGCCGATAGCTAAAAAACAAATGTATTCTAGCTAATTAGGTAGTTAATTTAAAAGCAAAGCCTTAAATAAAGTTCATTAAAGTCTTCTAATAAAACAACATTTATTGAGGATTTGTAATATTGGATTTATGGCTTTTATTAATGGTTAATAAATCATGTAGACTACTTCTGCTTTATAGTTCTGTAGCTAATTTAATTTTAGGTTGCCAGATTGAGAGGGATCCCCTCAGGCAATCGGGTCAATAAATTAATAAAGGTTCAGTTTATCAATTCTAAAAAGCCGTCAAGCCTGAAATTATTCATGTCTCTGTCATATATAATCCAAACAAATCTGTTGTTACAAATGGTCAGCTAGGAAGTCTGATTATTATAATAATAATTATAAATGTTAATGAGTTTCATATGAAGTTTGCAGGGGGTAATACATTGTTAATAAACTGATATTGGTCCAGATGCTCCACAGCTCTTTATCCATACAGTAAGAGGAAGGTTTACCTGATCAATTAAATAAAAAGGCAAGTGTGATGGAGGAGCATGAGCACCAGTTGAAGGGATTTTTCTGAACCTGGCAACAAAACCCGGCAACTGATCAATAAAGCAGTTATAAATTTAAAGAGGGTGACTTAGTAAAAAAAACCAGAATATTATGATGTTAATGTTACAGCTATTGATAGGGTGAAAGATTAAAAGCTATCTCATGTATTATTCAAACCCAATCTACACACTCAGTATAAGTTGAGTACGGAGACACGCCCTACAGCCACATCGGGATTTCTCTTCATAAACCGCATCAAGTGGTGAAAGACCTTCCTTATGACTAATGTAAAGGCCTCTCCCCTCAGAAAGGGGCAGCGGCTGATGAATAATAAACACCCTGAACACGCCCATTTAATGTTTATTGATCAGCTCTCCAGCGGGCCTATCTGACAACAGTCAGATTCAGTCTGGATATGGCGTCGCTGCACCGACACAGGATGAATTTTCAGCTCTCCGTGGGAATCTGCCAGTCGCGTACCGGGACGACACTGTCTGCTTTTTGTCGCTGCTTTTAGGGATCGTACATGGCGATGGAGGACGAGGACAACAGCACAGCGGTCGTGGCGACTAACACCCAAACGGGCATCAAGAAAGGAGGTGATGTCGGAGATAACGGGGCTTGCATAGACAGGCAGCCGGACACGGTGGTCCACCAAGCGGGGCTGAATCAGACTGCAGGTCGCGGCAGCCGCAGTGGTCCCGGAGCTCACGCTGTAACGGGGATCCGAGTGCTAAAGGCAAGTCATACCGAGGGGGCTTATTTTCTTGTGATGCAGTGGACAAAGTGCTCGACAGATATATATCTATATTGTACATGTCAAGGTTTTTTTTCTCTCCTTACATTGCGGTGGGTGAATCAAACAGGGCAAAGTGCATGGACGCATCCTTGTAAGATTATGTAACACTGTGATACCCAGTGATTGATATCCTTTGGTTGATGATTGATCTGAGGAAGATTGCCATTAAGTGAGGAATGTACCAGAGCCAATTAACAGCCACAAACCACACACATGCACACGTACGCACACACACGCACACACACATACTGTAGGCTGTAAGAGCATTTATAGTAAGGCCCATTGGTTAACACTTCTTCTATGACATTTTAGGGCAAGACACATGATGTGTAATGACATACAAGTCCCTGAGGTAGCTGCTTGCAAGACAGCAACACACACACACACACACACACACACACACACACACACACACAAACACACACACAATCTCAGCTATGCTATTCAGTTAATGTGTATGCATTGCTCTGTTATTGTATGTGAAGGAACAACACACATCAAAAACATCAAATGAAATAGGTCACCCTGTTAATAAGTGCATAATACCTTATGTAAACAGATATTGGCTGTGATTATGTTACCCATATTTCAGTCAGTGTGAAGGAACAATGCTTACTAGTCTTTCTTTCACTCAAAATTAAATAGATAATTAGGAAATATACCCTGGTATCTTAATTGAATCAAGGGTCACATCCAAACCCTACCTGCCTGCCTGTCTCTGCTGAAATATGATAATGTTTGTTGATTTGCTGAAGCACAAGATACAGTTTGTTACAGTTGCATACCGTATCATCATGAGGTCTACAAGGGACCTCCATACCTCAATACAGGTCTACTTCACATTCACACAGTGACACATATCCACATCTGGGAGCTGCCCAGTACATCCGTAGTCTGGGTTGACCACTGAGTGAGTCCACAGCAGCAAGCAGTGGTTCACTCAGACACACCTTGACAGCAGCTGCTGAGGAAAAAGGGCTTTCACTGTGGCCACAGTTTTTTCAACGGGTGTGGAATTCCCCTCTCTCTAACCTCTGGAATAATGCTGCTCCAGTTATTATTTAGGTAGTGAAAGATTATTCTTAACTCTGGAAAGTTTAACAGAATATTTCTAACTCACTTACTAGCTTGACTGAGCAAAATCTGTTTGGTGGTGAAAACCGTGAAATGCGGTTGACTGAGGCGATTATCTTATAAGAGAAATTGAGTCAAAGTTAATAAATTCAAAGTGTTTGTGAAAGTTTCATTAGGAACATAAATTATATATAAATATCAAATAATACATTATTTGACCTAAACATTTTTTTTTCACATTTTAAAAGACCACAACAGTAGAGAGATATTTCTATTATATTAATTATATTATTAAAATACATATATATCAAGTGGAAACCAATATGAAAGTGGCAAATCCTTTTTTCAATATATTTCATATTTCAAACAAAATAGACTTTCTGTTGGATATCAAATATACTGCAGCTGATGGTGAAAGGATTTCCCAACTAATTGATTAGTTTAATTAAAAGATAATTAATTGAAAGCTATTAATTATAAAGTTATTTGCAGTGTGCAGTTATGTGTGATTAAATGTTGCATCATTGTGTGTGTGTGTGTGTGTGTGTGTGTGTGTGTGTGTGTGTGTGTGTGTGTGTGTGTGTGTGTGTGTGTTTTGGTGGGTGGGGGTTGTTGATATGTACACTGAAAACCCGGTCTGTAGCTCTCCCGTCCAGTATCATGCAGCCACTGTACTGTAACTGGTGGTCCAGCTGACAGTTCCTTTACTCACTGAACATTTTTCAGAGAAACTCTTGGATTTATTTCGAGGTTCTCTTCCTGATATCCTGATACTGTATGTCACAATCATCAGCAAATTGCTCAAAGTTATTATCACAACTGAATGAGGTGAAGATGAGAACATTTTCAAACAGTATTGACACCTGTAAGACAACTGGGAGCTCTCCAGGCTTTTAAATGTGGTCTATGAATATCTAATTGTATCATTTTAGCACAGCCCTAACAGATCAGACCTTATTAATGTCTAGTGTATCCATGTATGTATTGGGCTCCTGAATATCACAACAAGTGGTTAAGGCAAGAGCAAAAACATGATATTTTGGTACAGAAAGAAAATAAAATGCAGTCCACACAACCAGGATGAAATCTGTATTGTCGTTGAGCAATCTGATGTCTCCATTGTTGAAATCCTCCAGTTCTTTTTGTACCAGTCTGCTGTCACTGCCTGTTCCCCAAAGCTGTGCATCGGCTCAGTGGACGCTTTCACTGATTCAGCATGTTTAATGTTTGCCCCATTGCTATTAGTTTGATAACATTTTATGTTGACAGTAGATTATTGAGATTGTCCAACTGATAACTACCAGCGCAGATGTTGTGTAGAAGAAGTAAGCTCACAGCACCCCTGGGAGGGTCAAGAGTACATTTCGAACCTCCCTCAAGCTTATCAGGCAGCCCATGACTATTAGACATGCCGATATGTATCTGATGTCAATCTGTGAGTTAAACAACTCTTTCTGTGTTAGCAGCGCAACATGAAGCGGAATGGGAGCCGTAGCTGTGTGACACGAAAGACCAGATTTGCATCACGAGAGCGGGACTGGCTAAAGGGGGACACCCAGCGGGGCTGTGTGTGTCTGTATGGGGGGACAGTGGACCCCCAGCCACCTGCCTCTGGCCCACAGGCCTCCTCCACCCCTCAGACAGACCTGCAGTTGGTGCTCTGCTCCACTAGTACCACAGTGGAGGAGCTGTGCGCTCAGAGGGATGGACAAGGACTCTATGTTCAGCTTCATGGAGACCTAGTCAGGTAAATACACACTAAGTTCAGTCATTAAAGTAAAAGACTATCCCAAATAGCAACCCTGTGCCCCCTTCAGAGCATCTAACATGCTGCAGTCCTGCATTAGTGCCTTCATTGGATCTATTCAGTACGGTATTGCTGTGCACTGCAAAGCATATGACACCTCACAGCTTAATGTATAATCATGCACTAACATGGAAATAGAAAAAAAATGAAAGAAATAAAAAATGACTTAAAAAGATTCTTTGGGTTGCAGTAATGTGAGTATAGTGCAAGTGAAACATGAGATGTTACGCAGCTGGTTTAGACAGCTGCATAGGTTCAAATGGAAGCACATCTCCTCCATCAGAAACAAAAAATGCAGCTGCAATGGGTATAATGGCGTACAGTAACGTCTAACAAAAGCAATTTAGAAGCTTTCTATTTTTAAATAAAGTAATAAAAAAGTATACCAGGCCTCTTTTGCCTTTTACTTGATATCTTGTCCAGGAACACAGCACTGAAGACCTGCTGCAGTTCCCCCCAACACCCCATAGCACCTCACCCAGGATACCCTCAGGGAACATGACTGCACACCTCTCAGCTCCACAAGACATATGTTGACAGAAATAGCAAATGACCCCTTGATTATCTGTGAAAGGATAAAAAGCTGGTTCGCTGATCCGTGACCAGGAAGGAATCTGGGCCGTTCCTCCTTTTGCTTTTCTGGGAAAGCCTGCGCGAAGATACTAGAAAGGAGAGTCTAAAATAGGAACTCAGCTAGTCAAAATCACAGTGGCTTATGGCTTATTTTATGTGAGCCTTACTGTCTGTCTTTGAAATGATGTGGGATATTGAGACAGATCAAAACCTTAAAATTATATGAGACGTGGGGTGCCAGCAAAAGTGTATTTGGCAGAAATTGTAAATGGGAGCATTAATGGCCGAAAGATCATGCCATGGACGTGCTGCAGATATTGTGCTGGAAACATGACTGGAGGGTTGTTAATCACTTTATGGGCTGGTAGCTAATGATGTTATCAACTAACAGCATATGAACCAAACAACTTCATTATATCTGTGCTGATTAAAAGCTGTAGGCACTGTAGAGCAATGCAGACTGGAAATAAATGAAAGGCTTTTGGTAAGCCTGTGGATTGGCTGTGTTGGTTCAGTTTACATTCCAGCAGTGCAGCACTTAAATTGCAGTCTGCCAGTGAGTACGACAAGGTGGATTTAAATTTAATATTTTAGAATACAACATCCAAAAACAGGGCATCGGTGACTTAATACTATGAAATCCATTCTTACAGACAGACAGCCCATACAATGAACTCTTTTTAGATAAATGCTTTAATAGGTTTTATTATTTTGATTGATAATAAATGCATGTACTTGATAAAAGAGCATGTGACAGCACTGAGACAAGCCCTAAAGAAGGATGTGTAACTAAGGGCATGATGGAAGGCATGGAAGCTTTTTTTTAGTGATTTTCTTTTTATAGCTTGAAGTAATGTGCCGCTTACAGGAAGACATGGTCCGGATTCTTTCCTGCTCAATGAGTATTGTATTTTCATTCAGACAAACTCCCTTGTAAAATAAATTTACAGAGGCAGTAGAGTTGATAGAGGACATCCAATCTTTCATCCATTTTTGAGCCACTTATCCTGGTCGGGGTCGCAGTGCCAAAAGGGTGAGCAGAGTAGTCCGGTGTTCTTTTTCCCAGCAACAGGCCTTTCCTTGGGGGATCCCTAAGTGCTCCCAGGACAGATGGGATATGTAATCCCTTCGACGTGTTCTGGGTATGCCCGGGGGTTTCCTCCCAGATTGTCATGCCCAGAGCACTTCCAAAGGGAGGTTCCCAGACATCTCAACTGGCTCCTCTCAGAGGAGTAAGCGGTTTGATACCATGGGCCTCCCAAATCACTGAGCTCCTCACTCTGAAATGTAAAGTAAGGCCAGTCACCCTGCAGAGAAATCTCATTTGCTTCTATCTACAGTCGGCATGGTGAGGGACCAGACCAATTACTATTCAAGAATACCCCTATGATTAGTTCTGAAAGATCAGACAGAACCTCACACTGGATCAGGACCCAGTACCAGCTCCTGGAATCAGTCAGCCTGGGAGTAACATGTACAGGTGAATGTTTTGAAGTTCAGTTGACCCCTGTACCCAAAGATACGATGCATGCCCGTTATCTTGTGGGCTCACCACTGAGAAAAGTTGAGGCTGGGTGATAGGCCTGTTGGACAAGAGGGTGGGTTGGAACCAATAAGGCATTGTGAATGTTGGCAGCAGCTGATGGGGGATGTTTTTGATAATATCATCTTGCATTTGCTTTGAGTTCAGAACTTTAAGCTGCAACAACTGCCAGAGTTTGCTTGAATTAGTTTTAGACTGAAGATTTGTTTTCATAAACATTATGCACAGTATTGAGCACAGAGTTTGACCTACTGTAGCAGCCATTTATGAAACAATGTGTATCCACAAATATTGTGATTTGGATTGTAAGGTCTGATTATTGATTTTCACAGGAGGTATCTGCCAATAGAGTAAGCAAGCAACTAATTAATAACTTTACACAGTTGGGAATGTTCATTTTCTTCTGCTTCTTCGACAACCTCATTCTCTATGGTAAGAAACCAAAACCTTGCTAAATGATCTATAATTGCCAAGGCTTCACATATCCTGCCAATTAAGAGAATATAAAATACACCCTGCTGAAATCCAGCACACTTCTCTCAGATCTTCTTTGTACTTGTGTCCCCTGCAGCCCTTCACCCATTTTCAGTCATTTTGGCTGATTAGACCACTTCTCAGGTTGAAATTGAGTTGAAACATGCTGGAAATTACCAGCACAAACTAATAATGTTTTTTAAAGAAAACAACATTAAACCAGTGTCTGTACACACCCACACAGTCTAGAGAGGTTTAATTAGAAGTTTAATTAGAGTATAAACTTTGTAGGGGTTTCTGTAAAACCCACCTTTCTCGGCTACATGGGCTACTGGGTATGTCTACAATAAATTGAGAGACACATTTCCATAGTTTGCTGCATAATTTACCTCCCACCCTGAGGACAGATGAACCCATTGGGTGCCATTTGACAAGGATTTAACAGCTTCTTGCTGCATTGCCCAAGGTTGGGGGATTTGTGAATAAATGAGGCATATCAGTGCTAAGTGTAAGCGTCAGTGGGAACGGTCAACAGGGACTGTCAGTCATCCTTCTCTCGCTGACTGTTGGAAGCTGCCTAAATCCTGCACAAGCCACAGCTGTCTGAAATCAAATAACATGATCCTGCGAATCATAAAGGCTGATGGGGAAGGTGGCCTTTAGCTTGGACATGGGTACTGATATTTGTGTGCCTACTGTGCTTAGGGGTGTCAGTGATGTTTCGTAACTCAAGCGTTGTCTTCTGTCTAGTTTACTGTAAATGTTACTCTTTTAATGAAGTTGTTTCTGTCAGTCATCATGTATGCAGACACTGATATATTTGTAAAAAGCCAGTATCGACTGGCATATTCATCGGTCGAGCTCTAGATTAAAATAAAAATATTTTTTACTAACATAAACTCACAGTCTTTGTGATATAACACCTTATTAGATAGAACTCCAAACAGAAACTGTATTTAAAGTCACAAACGTGGATGGCTCAGACTATCACTCAAAACAAGTCAGCAAGTCGTGATAAGATAAGTGAGCATGAGTAAACCCTGGGACTTTGTTTTGACAATTTTTAAAGGTTGAAAATGAAAGTGTGAGTTGCATTTGTTGTGTTGTTGTGGCTTTCAGGGTTGACATTCATCCTGTTAGGTGTCAGTGGGGAGGCTCCTTAAAGTGATTACTAGTGGACCAAGATGATTTCCTCAGATTAAGTCAAATGCACATTTAGAAAAATGACTTAATTATACATTTCAACAAAGTTATTTGGGTTTATTGAGAAAGAAGTATGCTATTGAGGGGTATGACTAAGTTTCTAGTTAATTTTGCTAATCATAGTGAGAAATGCAGTTTTTCCATGAAGGAAAAAGAGATCATGAGGGGTGCAGATTACCATTTTATCTAGACCCAAAGTATTGAAGGTTTTGGTTTCATAAGTTTCAAATGACTATCATGAACTCTGTCATTCCATCTGACATCCCAAGACAAGTTTTTTCCTTCGTGACACCAAAACTTACCACCACAGGAACCCTGGTCAGGTGGCCCATTGAACATCGTTGGTAGTGTTAATGGGAAGGAAGTCGGTGAAGACTCTATTGTTTGTCGCAGCACTAGCTAGCCTGGTTGGTCAGATTCTCTCTCTCAACAAGTTATTGTATCAGTAGCACAAGTGCACAGATATTACTGTATTTTTCACACACTTACTCATGGAAAATGTAGTGACATAATTTTCACTTTCTGAAACATCTATTCAATATAAAATGGAACATTATTTGTCATTGAAGCTATTGAAATTTCTAGTGCTGTATATTCATATTTTATATTCTGTATAGAAAGAGAATAGTTTCTCTCCTAGTTTTTGGCTTAGACTCCCTTTCAATAACTGCTTTTAATCAGAATCAGAATCAAAAATATTATTATTATTGATTCCCTGGGGGAATTTGTTCAAAACAGAGATAAAGAAGCTTTATACCTTTAGTATGATGTTAATAATATTCAGTGTATGTGTGAAAGACACTGGTGTTATTATTTTATGGAGGCCATTGTTACACCACTTCTCCTTTTCTTTTGTCCCGTAGGAGGCTGGACCCAACTGAGCGTCCGCTCCAGATGGTGTATGACTACCTGGCAGCTATGGGTTATGCAGACCCTGTACGAGTGCAGCAAGAAGCGGCCAACTCAGACCTCAGCTGCCTGATCCGTTTCTACAGTGGTAAGTACTGACCCACAGGGGCCATCATTCCCCAGTCTTCAGTATCTGCTGCTGCTCAGTGGGATCTGGCAGGAGCTTGGTGTCTTCCTCTGAAAACAAACCAGAATGCCTAAAAACAGGCTGCAGAGGTCAATTGTTCCAAAACTGTTTTTATCACATCCTGAGAGTGATTTCTCTAGTATTCAGTATAGCCTGGGATACCACAAACACACACCCATCATGGCTTCATGATAAGTGACTGACCATCCTTCATCCCGTGGTGTCTCTCCATCCCCATGTGGGCTGTCTTTCACCTGCCGCTGTCAGCGTGCTCCCATGAACCCAGGACTGGAGTGACTAAGTGGCCCTGTGTCAGTGTGATATATTAGTGCATTCTTTGGAGAGTGAAAATGTTGTATACCAGCATGTGTCTTAATACAGCTCACACAAACCAACAGACATCTCCAACTCTCCTCATTTTGAGTCGGTGCTAATAATACTCTTACAGTTGCAGCAATTAAGGGATTTGCCATTAAGGGTAAATGGTGAACGATGTTCTGTAATGTGTTTCCACTTAATAAACCAACTGATGTTCCTGCTGAGTCAGTGGAACTCCCTATGTTTGGGGTTTGAACAGCTCCCATGCCGCTGTGCCAGAGAAAGAGGAAGCTTGAGCAAACCACAGCGTCTAAAGGGCTCACATGTAATTCCTCCCACATAAAGTACACAACCCTCCCTACATTGAAATGCAGTGCTGCCACACTGAATAAAAATACAAGCTAAACACAAATCTCAACGGCTTTGTTTTGAAATTCTCGGGCTGACTAGGAACTCATGAGAAGACTTTGAAAATCCTAAATAACTGTGAAGACTTAGCAACAGATTTAATCATTATTTGTTATCCATGTGAAACAACAAAATCATGTTCAGTTTTGTCAGGAGAACATGCGAACTCGACACCCAAGGGATTCAAACCCAGAACCTTCTTGCTGTTGCGTGACAGTGCTAACCACTGCACCACTGTGTCACCCAAAGACCACCTAACATAACATGTTTGATATAAACTTTGATGGTCCAGTTGGGAAGCATAAAATGTGAATTCTACACAGTCTTAATAATCATCACTCATCAGACCAAAATGTTGATTATAAGCAGCCAGGGTTATGTTTTTCTGACTTAGCCTGCCTCTTTAGAATGAATACAACTTTCTCTTTATGTCTGCTTGCTGATACAACTGATGTTTATTTGTTTAGCTGTCAGATCTTAAGCTCACTGTTGCCTCAGTCTTATTCCTAGTCCCTTTGTATCCAGTGGAAGCTTAACTGTTGTTTGCCCCATGCCAACATGAGAACTGGTCGGATCTTGGCTACTATCAGTAGTCAGACCACATTGGTCAGAGTCTAGCCAGGCCCCTTGGAGACTTCCTGCCTCCTTTTGTCAACTCATGGGAAAAGAGGACCAGAGACCAGGCATGACTGGTACTTGGGCACTTTTGATTCACGGCCAATGCAGAGAGCAGAACTTGATTTGTCCGTTTGCTGCTGTTAGAACTGGGGAAGTAGTAAGGATCGACTGTTTTGGCGTATAACCCGCAGGTTGTTGTGGTTGTTTTGAATTATCTAGTGTGTTCAGTCATACAGCTTCACCAGTAGCCCTCAGTTTTTGGCTGGCATAAGGTAACCCTGGTTTTCATTCCCACCCACAGTGGTGTTGTAGGTGGACTGTGATGTATTGTTGAAACACACAACAACAGCCTTGTTCTGAGAACCTTTTCCCAGGTGCGTGCTTTTCTAACAGCTGCTGTCAGGGGTAATGATCTGACTAAGCAGCTGAGGGAAATTGTGGTCCATCAGTAAAGACTATAGCCGCTACAGTACCACTTCATGTGGTGCACTGCATGTGTCAGCTCTGCGCCTAATAGATTTTGACAGTCTATGTCACTGGTTCTCATCCTGAGAAGCAGTCGTAAGATGAACCTGAGGAATTGCAGGTTGATTAAAGGGTGTGTAGCCATGCAGATAGTTTTATGTGCCCAGGTATGGAGATAACTGTCTCTAATATTTTTGTCAGTGGTTTGTCTGAAAAATCCACGGACCACATTGTGACAGATTTCATTGGAGAGAAATACTCTGAAAAACTATTTATAGCAGGAAATGTGTCTGACCCTGTATCTAATATTGCAAAGAAGAAATGTTTCTGCTGGAAAAGCTTAGATTTTCTCATCTTTCTCTCACCTTTTTTCTTGTCAAATATTAGTTAGATTTACCTTGTCAAGCCTCTATAATAACTTAAATGAGTCAGTCTGAGTAGGAAATGTTCTCTTCGGTTTACCTCTTGGCTCATAGGATATATTAGTTTGTTATAATAAGTCAGTGTCTACATGCACATAGAAGGGCATGTTTTTATTGTATGTGTTGGTGGACATTTGCTCATTTGCTGGACATTTGCTGTTTTAAGACGTTATCTTCTCTCAAGCCATTAAAGTGTTTCTAAGTGCAATGCAGCAGGTAATTTATTAAATTTCTTAGCCATCCTTTATTTGTTCAGGAAACTCATCTCAAACCGTCTTTACCCTCCTTGCGTCCCACACACACATACCCTCCTGCTGTGGTGCACAGATGAGATGAAAACAAACATGGACAAGGGAGTAAACTTTTCTAAATGCTGACTTAATAAAAAACTCCTAGTAAAAACAACTGCAGAGACCTGAGGGCCAGTGGTTCTCTTTGTTGGCCCATGCAGCTGCAGCACAGACATGGCCTGCTGTAAGCTCTACCGCTTGTCCACTGGGCCCTGCCCCACCTCTGCCCGGATGATCTCTATTTTACATATTTGAGCTTAGACACCTGAAACCGCTGTGCACAGTTCCCATCAGAGCAGAAGGAATGAAGTCATCTGCAAGCCGTGTGAACACACCTAATAAGTTATTGATCTGAAGCGGAAATTAAACATCTGAAGCGAAAATTAAACATAAATGACGACTGCGATGACATGGACAGTGAGCCAATGTGTGAAACTCTGAGGGTCAACGGTGTATAATTGATTTGCAATAATCATGTCCTAGAGGAACAGATAGAAAACCCCAGTAAATAACCAAGCACAAGTTTCCTTCTTCATTTTATGGTATAAAAGGGACAAAAAGTAAAGAAGTACTCAGACTGAGATTTAAGAGAAAAATTGAATTCTATTGAGATCTGGGCTCCCACAGAATTTGCCCCGAGCAACAGAGCTCTGCAGAGAGCAGGCTCTCGCTGTGGTTTCCTGCCAGGTCCTTGTAATATGCTGTTTCTGTGATGGAGCTCTGCTTCTCCTGAGGATTTCCTCTTTGTCATTTTAAAGCTGCAGACTGTGTCTCATGGTCAGTTTTCAAGACAGATGGCTTAACTGCTGCTGAAAAATGTCCACCATTTTAATTGTCTGTTGTCATCTGTATTCAAAAGCAGTGTTCAGCTGCTACTGTCTTCCATCTGTGTTCTATACAGTGCAGGCTTGCTATATTTTATATCAGCATTGAATTTCTTGCACAAAGTTTAAAGTAGAGTTTCTTAAATAGAGGTAAACACGGACCACCAAGAGGAGGCATCTGGGTGGTGGGTTGAATTTGAATTTGCTGCCAAAAAGAGCTTGCTGTTCTGAGTCAAATCAGACTGTGCTTCCGCCTCCACTGACCCCCTACTGCATGCTAACGCAATCTATGCAATCTTGAGCAAGACAAAAACGCTCTGGGATACAGGACGTATTGTGTTCAACTGAGTGCTCGACAGTTGCCTTGAAATCATCCAATATGTGAGTAAAAACAGATTCAAAGAAATATAAACACCCTCCATCCCAAGATCAGAAGCTACAGACTAAAATTGTTACACAAAAGAGATGAAAATTGGCCTAATGAAAGGCCACTTTAACTGTTTTGGGTTAAATGTAATTTTCCTTATCCCTCTTACAACACTGAGTCATTTTTAATAGAAGTATTTTGTATTGCTCATTTATTCTTAAGAGGTTTGCAGGAGAGCAGATACTTAGGTTGAAGTCAGTGGTGCCAACACTTTCTCTATACTTACTGAGTACCCTGTTACCTCTTTGTGCCCTTCTGTCCCTCTTACCATCTGTTTCTCCATCCATTTCTATTTTTTGGTTGATAAGGGAGCAGAATTTGACCTGTTGTGGCCTCGATGCTCATCTGGCATGCCATGTGAAGTGAGATGTCGCTGAGTTTGCTGGCAAGTGAAGGCCGCAGCCACACTTGAGACAAACAGAGGAGAGATAAGGAGTCGCACAGATGACTCTCTGATCTGTCACTTGTCACACTGTCCCTGTGGTTTGGCAGCCTCTCCAAGGAGGCCGCTTGACACGTGGATGATTAGTTTAGTGAAGGCAGCACGGCCTCTTTGTGGCCCTGCTCCTCCAGCCATCATAATAGCTCAAACAAAAACATCCTGCAACACAAAGCAGTGTTGCACAACATCTATGGCCATGTCACTAAACCTTGGAGCCACAGGGAATGGTCAACATTATTCGTCATCAGTGGGATGGGATTGATTTGGCCCGGCTGTCTGCAGAGCAGCGGAGGAGACGGTATGGAGGTTTACCTACTCAGATTGGACTTTGATTTTGTGAACAACCTGTTTCCCTAGCAACTAATAGCCCCACAGACCTTGAGGGATATCATGTGTGTTTGTTTTAGAAGTTGGCTCTTTATGGCTGGGACTTGTGTGATATTGCGTAAGTGGATAGGCCAATGATTTTCAGATGCTTGGTTGTATCGGTATGGAAGTGCAAAAAGCAATATGTTGGGTATGTGTGGATGTTTGCACACTCACACCACGAATGTGCACTTTTCAAAGACCTTTATATTTGATTTGAAGCATTAGAAAACATTAACATTAAACATTAGGCTATCGAATAACATATCAGTTACAAATCTTTCATTTCATAATTTCATACCTTGGTGCTCATGGTTTCCGTAGAGTGAACCAAAAGATTGACTTGTGGAATATCTAACTGATCTAACAATGTGTAGCACATCCATATTTACAAATGTTTAAGGCCCAGGGTATTATAGCTAGTAGGTTACTTGAAGTTTGCTAAATTCTTCAACCAAGTTATTTCTCACTGGTTTATGGTTGTTTAAGAATTCTTTCTTGCAAAACAGATGTTCAGAACATTGATAAATTAATCCAGTGTGTTTGCATCCTGCAGGTGCGTCTCTTAAGAATGTAGCCCCCTGACAGCATAACAAAGCAAAGTGTGGAGTGTGCTTGTTTCTGGCGATATACTGTGAAACCAGTGAGAGCCTCCTGACAACCTGTGTCAGTTTGTAGTGAGTGGGTGCGCGATGATGAGTTTATTGATGTGGGTACTGCAGTGGGAGAGTGTTTTGCTTAATTACTTGGTTTAATGAATGTATTATATTTGTTTTGTTTTTTTCAAACTTCGAACTTTCAGCTGTATTCTTTAAACGTCTGATGCTGTTGACAGAAACTAATATTACAACTCAAATTAAGTATGTGATAAAGAAAATGATAGTATTTGACATGCAGCTTGTCATGTGTCGAGTCTCTCTGTAACACTTGCAGAAGGGATGTGTGAATCCCTTGCGTGGTTTTAAGAGCCAGTCCATGATCGTAATTCCTCGTCTCCTCACAGTGATACAGAAGAAAGGGCAATAACCCAGAAATAACGCCAATAATGCCAAATAGTACCAATATGATACCTGAGTTTTCAACATTATACTTTTTGATACCTTGCATGAAAGAATATAAACACAAAAAATATTTTATTAAACAATATAAGCCCACCTTCTCAAATGTTAAATATAGTCTAAACACAAGCTTCAATACAAAATATGTGCCTTAATAAAATATAGTGTTAAAAATAGGATTTAAATGCAGTGTGTCATCAAAGAGTAAGTAAAGAAGAGTAAGAATCTAAGCAAATCAGTGGCACCTTTTACTACTGCACAGTTCTCAATATTCTGTACTAAAGACACATTGGTCCATACCAGCCACCACTGACCGTGTGAGGCTTTGTGTCTAATTTTCTCTTTGAGTGAGGGGACGCCCAAGGATCAGTACCTGCTTTTGATCTGACAGAACAGCCAATTTGTTGTCAGAAGCACTCTGCTTGTTCATTATCTGTTTCCCTGCTGAAGAAAAACACGAGCAGCCATTCATTTCATTTGGATGCCCTTGCAGAGTGAAAGGGAAAGTGGAGAGACAGAGCGAGGCAGACAGAACGAAGGAGAGAGAGCAGATTGCCAATGGGAGCCTCGGAGTGGGAGGAGGCATAAGTTGGTTTGAGGAAAATGTAACAACAGAGGACAAGAGGCTGAGGCAGTGTCTCCTCTGTGCTTATTTGACCTGCCATTAACCTGAGTGTTCTTGAAGCCTGGCAGAGACAGCAGCACTGTCTGATGTGTCCTTCAGCATGGGCCAGCTAAGGCTGCCTGCTGTGCAAACTGGCATAATTTAATTGAAAAGAGTGAAGTTTAATGTGACAAAACCCTGACTCATTCATCAATATGACTGATGCTGAGGACATCAGCAGAGAAAGAGAGAGAGAGAGAGAGAGAGAGAGAGAGAGAGAGAGAGAGAGACATACAGGCTTCACACAACGTTCACAGGGCACCTTGATAATTTACCTGCTGTTCACCTTAGCTCTGTTGTTGACTGGCCTGTTGATTTCACAGATCCAGGTATAATCTGTAAAGAGGAGGAGGAGGAGGAGGAGGAGGAGGAGGAGGAGGAGGAGGAGGAATTACTTGTGATTTTAAGGATCATGGGATAAAATTGAGATGCTATGGCAATGGCCTTAAACTGAGACCCAAAACCTGGCCTGTATCTGCAACTTTAAGACCAAACTGGACTGGTTATGCCATATTTGGAACCCAAACATGACTCAAGACCAAATCCTATATCTTTATATTTCCTATATTTCCTCCATTTCAGATATGTCTTATTCCAGATCTGTGAAGACCTGAGAGGGATGAGCAATTGTTTGTAATCGTATAAAGAAAAAAAAGCTTGGATTAACTTAACTGCCAGGATCCATTTTAGCACTATGGATTGGACTTCTGGTCAGGCCTAAAACTGACACCTGAACCCTCCCTATAACCACATCTGAGATCAAACCTGACTGACATGACTGATACTGACAAATTATACTTGCACCCAACCCTTGATCTCTTTCCCTCTGCTCGCTGTCATCATAGCATCATCATAGCAGAACAGATTTAATAGTTTTTAAACATGGAATTTAATGGAGAAACTTTCTCCCCCTTACTCTAAAGTTTAAAGTTTAAGATCAAACTTATTATTGTGCATTGAGATCTATCCAGATGTACAATAAATGAGATAATAGGGCAGTGTCCATCCAAAGTGCTGATGTCAGATCAGTTCCTGGAATTACTAAGCTAAGGAGACTCACAGACTAATCTATAGGTGATATCATGCTGACCTGTTTGTATCTATATGACTTCATTTTCTGGAAGCTTCCATCCCATTTGTAACTGCAGAACATTTGCTATTAATTAGCCGAATTTGTTTATAAAAAGACGCGTGGGGGTTCTTGTGTATTAGATCAATGTCAATAGATACACTAACCTCTCTGTGTGGGCTTTTTCCTTCAGAGCGTCCAGTGAATGCAGACCAGCAGGAGCGGACCCTGCTGAAAGGCGTATTCAGCGTCAGGAAGGGCAAGTCGCAGCTGCACAAGTGGGCAGAGCGGCAGGTCATCCTCTGCGGCACCTGTCTAATCGTGGCCTCTGTCAAAGACAGCCTGACTGGGAAGATGCACATCCTACCCCTGGTGGGAGGAAAGGTGAGAGTTCAGTGTTTGGAGGTCAGACAACCTGGTGGGGTCTTTAACCTTTCACTTTCCCCAGGGTAGAGCCCACACTCCAGGATGACTGTAGATACACTGCAACAACACAGCTGGGTTGGACGGCTGGATAGAGCTGATCAGTTAAAAATGTGACGCAACACTGTACATGCAGACTGTGTCATCTGAAGCAATACATCTCAACTGTTTGCTATCTAGGCCACAGATTATGTATACGTTGTCTTTCCATCTAAAGAAAATACAGCAACAGTCTATAGCTTTTAAGCTAAGATGAGGTGTTCTCAACTTTTTTCCATCAAAGGCCGGAAGTAAATAAGGCTTTTTTTTATTGGTCTGTCTTAAGTTAAATAAATCTACCTTAAAATGTTTAATGTAAAATTCAAAAACTCACTGATGAGTAAGTGTGTTAAGATGACAAAATCACGGTATTCTGTTACCAATATCACTGCAATAATAAGTAATGAACTCCATTTTCCATTTGTGTTTTCTCTCTCAGTGTTCTGCCTCATCGTATCTGTGTGTTGTCTTTGTATTGAGGTGGAGGAGGTGAAGCGGAGGCAACACTGTCTGATGTTCAGCTCAGCTGGATCACAGGCCCAGACATACTTTGTCAACTTTGACACACTTGCAGACTACCAGCGATGGCATCGGCAGGCATCAAAAGTAAGCAAGAGACAAAGTGTGTGTGTGTGTGTGTGTGCAAGGCACAATATGTGTCTCTCCCGTGTTTTCTCTCAGTGGCGGTTTGTTTGTTTCCAGTTAGTCCCTCTGGTCTTGTACTTAAATCAGAGATTAGATGTTGGGACTGCAGTTACCTTCTGCCTGCTGAGTCGTCCAATCAGAAAGCGCCTATCTGAGTGCGTCTGATTGGCTCTACAGATGCAGACTCTCAGCGGTGTCTGGCTTTGATTGAACCGCATACCTCTATTCACATAGTTTATCTTTTTTACTTCTAGCAGAGGGCACTTCTATTGAGTTCTTTTTACAAAGGCCCTCAGCAGTAGAGCTTTTGTTACATAAATCACTGTGGATTAAAGGGTGTGAAATGACCCTAAACACATTTTTCTATTTGTGTTATATACTGTGTGTGTCTTTCAGAGAATCTTACCAGGTCTTCACAGCTGTTCTTCAGAAAATTCATTGTCTCTGTTCTGCTCAGCTTGCTTTGTCTCTAATATCCTAATTAATGGCTATTGTGCCGCAGCTCCTTCCTGGAGCTGAACAGCCTCTGTGAGAGCATCCACTGAGGCAGAGCCAGCATACAATTAGCCATGGAAGGAGAAAGCCAACAGATAAAAAAAAAAGAAAATCCAATTAGTTGCAGATTCATGCTAAGTCCAGGATCTCTTCCTACCATGGTGGTATGGATTATGGGGTTAGAGTAGCCTGTGCACTGTATTTAGGCTGAGACTTAGACAAGAGGTTTCTATGGAGACTGGGGATGATGACTGATGAAGGTTTTTTGTGGATTTGGGCCAGTGTTTATGCTACATTGCATAAATTGTAAGGTTGTGTGTGTCTGTGTGTGTGTGTGTGTGTGTGTGTGTGTGTGTGTGCGCGTGAGAAAGGGACACAGCAAGTGCACTTGTGCTTACAAAATGAGTTTGCCGGATAGGACTGAATACTGGAGTGTAAGGATAAATTATACAGGATTATATCAGAAATTTTATTTATAAGAAGGCAGAATATGTGAGCTATATTACTGAAGATTAGTTAAATTTTTAAACGAATTATGTGACATACATTTCACAGCTAATTAGCTATTTGTTCAGTTTATTACAAATGAGAGGTATATTGGATGTGCATTTTAAATATTTTATATATTAAAGAATACATTTAAAGAAAAAGTTGTTTTTCCCAGATAACAGTCACTACAAAAAAACAGTTTATCTCAAAAACCAAGGGAAAAGTGACTCATGACTACTGTGTATATATGTATTTATGGTTTATGCAATGTTGCATGTTTTCTCTTTTGCTGACACTGGCTATGAATTTTGGTGAAGTTACAGTAAACAGGAACATAGTTGACATCAACAATGTCTTGCCAATAACAATTTTATATACTTTTTTGTTTTTTTCTTGTCGTTAACGTACAAACTGCATTAAAAGCGTAGCCCTAATACACATCAGCTAAAATTGTGTGTGCAGTTAATTAATTGTGAATAATATTTATTGTGTAACTCACCAAAAAAAGAACTAACGCCCTCCTCAGTTTAAAAAGTCAGAAGCTGCACAGAAGAGGCTGAACTACTGTACCATCTTGTTAATGTTCCTGTCAGTAGCGTCATGAGATTTTAACAGCTAACAGGATTGGAGATGTCAATCGTGAAACCTGACTAAACTAGATATTCCTGAAGAAACTGTGGAAGCAGTCAGATTACCGGTCTGTTTCTGAACTGTAAACATCTTTTTAAGGATTTTCAATATGATTTTACCAGTGATAGAATATATACCGGAGTACACATAAAAGGCTCAGAAATGTGATCTTTCTTAACCAAACAAAAGCAGACTGATGTCGGATGTGTCTGTTTCTCAGCTCTATAGGAAATGAACTGATTGCATGTGTGAATGGATGGTGTAGTGACTTCCTGATCAAGGTCTGAAAGGACCACAGTTGCAAGTAAAAATCACTGACTTCATGCTGTGAGGTTTTATTTAGCCGCCTGTTTTTCTTTCTACCCCTCTTTAATTCTTCTCTGTCAATCTGTGTCCATCGTCCTACTCTCACATCACTTAATTACTCTTTTTTTAAAGAGGAGTTGCTTTTTGAAAGTGGCTGGCAGATGAGTAGTTTTGTGGGAGATGAGCAGTTTTGTGTTTGTCATCTCTAAAAGCAGTGACGTGATGTCATGCTCTGCTGAGCAGCCGTCCCATTTTCTGGGTTGCTGCACAGTGTGCAGCCCTGTAGTTAATGGAGGAGACTGTCCTCAGACTGGACTGGACGAGCTCTGCGATGATGGCTGGCCTGTAAACAATTGTCTCTGAGTTGATGGGGGATCTGTGCAGTTGCATTTTGTACAAGAAAAATGTGAGGCGATGCTGTGTGACTGTACTGTAACAGCCGTGTGAGATTTGAACTTCGCTAAAACAAGCACAAAATCACACATTTCGATGCAATCGCACGCTCCTCGACACTCACACATGTTGGGTCCACATAGCTTTTTTGTCTGAGTGGCAGTGTCTTTTTTAAATTGTTCCCAATGAGGAGAGAGCATATGCAGCAGCATGCAGCCACCTAGAGAAAAAGCACTGCGCTCAGCGACTTTTTCCAGTGTTTCACCTTTTTTGTGCGACCGCTTCGAGCACTTCTAGTTGAACATTTCTGAACTTTTCAGAAAGGTGCTGTTGTCATCACTGTCTCTCATTTTCAGGCAACCAATCATATATTGGATGGGGGACTTGTCACCCTGGTAACCAAGAGAATGGAGGAGAGGCTTGTTCTGACTGTGTCTGTCTATTTGAAGAGACACTCAGAGCTTTATATGTTAGACAGGAAACCATTAAAGCATAGACAAAAAAGACAAGACCAAAAAGGAAAAACTATGCTGAGGGTTCTCCACCATGTTTTGCTGTCATTTATGGTTGCTCTTGCTTCTCTGTCTCTCTCCTCTGATTGGCCAAGGGTGGGGCTCAGCTCCTACACACACATAAAACAGAGCTCAGCTGGCCTTGGTGGAGACAGTGAACTGTGTGAAGTGAAGAGAGTTGACAACAACTCAAGTAAAACGTAAAAAAAAATACATATTTCCATCTGCTTTGTTTGCAATTTGCAATTGTTGCTTGTTAAGCTAATAGCGAATTGTTAGAAATTGATTGCTGATATAGATTTTCTTGTCATAGAAACAAAAACTCACATACATTTTTTTTCTCTCACCACAAAAGTGCTTCATCCCAGTTCTCCACTGTGCCCTGCCCGCGTTTGAAGTGATATGTGGACACAGGCCCTTAGTTTTGCTTCTTGTGAGGATATTGTGTGTCTCACATTTAATCCCTGGGACCTAACCTGACGCAATACAGTTCAAGAGCACCGGAAACTAGAGCCTTCAAAATGACAGTTGAATCAACACCTCTCTTAGTTTCAACAGACTAAACATTATAACCTTGTACGGGTAAGATTTGTTGCAGGCCTGTTGCATGAGACTGTATTAGTTGTAGATAGGTGTACCTAATAAACTGGAAACTTGGTGTATGTTTACACATTTTAGCTTAGGTCTCACTGTAACTGACTGACTGAGTAAGGAGTTACTCTATTACTCTTTCAAATCATGACAACTGTGTTTCCATGGAAGATGAGCTTCATTGAACTGGAAACTGGGACATAGTCTGTCTGTAGTAATGTCTTGGCAAGGCAGCTTGCTGGTCAATATACAGTAGTTGCTTCCACAGTCCATTTCCCTGCTCACTTAAGTTAAAAACTCTTCAGATAGTGGAGCCTGCTGTTTGGTGTATTTGGGGTTGGAGTTCACCGCAAGGCATGAGGTGTTAGGGTGGTTACTGCCTGACTGTGTTGATGAAATGCTCTTTGGATTGGAAAGGATTTTTTTGTCTTAATATAATGGGGCAATGTGCCTGAACTGCAGCAACAGGCAACTCAGTAGAAGTTTACAGTCTTGGTTTTGGGTTTGCTATGAACTTTTCTTAACTCAGTGTGTGTGTGTGTGTGTGTGTGTGTGTGTGTGTGTGTGTGTGTGTTTGTTTGTGTGCAGGTGGTGTCTCAGACAGTCAGCTTGGTGGACCTGTCCTGCTACAGTTTGGAAGTGGTGCCTGAATACCTATTTTACAGTCAGGATATCACCCACCTCAACCTGCGACACAACTTCATGAGCCTTCAGGGGCCTGAAGGCCTGCTCAACCTCCCCAGGTAATCACTCTGTCCTTAGGGCGTTAAGTGTCTGCCTTGCTGGAATATGCTTCAGCAGAACAGAGAATATCGGCTGCATTCTGATTATATATGTTACTGTTACATTTCCCGCACTAATAATGTAAACATAATCTCTCGAGTGTGCTACAGTAAGACTGCAGTTTGTCACTCACGCCAGCCTTCGACAGGTATAATCGCCCACTTTACAGATACCCAAACCCTAACCCAGCTGCTTCAGTGTTATACTGTGACATTGTTTTTTTCATGCCCTTTATGTAAGAATGTAATGTGCTACGTCTCTTGCTCATCATACAGCTTATGATCCTCTCTCATGGAGAGGAATTTAGCTTCATGTCTAATTCTGCACTGGAAACTGAGATTATTTAAATGAGGTGGATTTATCAGTAGATGCATCCCTAACCCGTCCAGCCCGTCTGGTATACCTAATAGTTGGCTGGGTGTGTGTGTACTGTGTGATTACTGAAAACATTACATTATATGCAGGCCTATTCTGCTGCTTGCTTGAAGAAGATTTAAACTTTACTGGCTTGCATCCCTCCATTTCTAGTGCTCCCTTTGTGTTGTTTGTAAATTTGTAAGTGCAAACATGGACAAAAGGAAATAGTCTGTACTCTGACCAGTGTTGTGAGTGATGGCAGCCACCTCCACCAATCATAGGACCCAGGGGACCAAGAGGAAGGTGGGATTAATTTGGAAGATACGATTGTGCAGCCGCACGGCACCACTCCATTCATCACAGCCCAGGCTCTTGGACACGTGTTACGAATTTGTACACACACTATTTCTATTTGAAACAGCCAGCTGAGACCTCAGGAGGTGACAACACATTTGTTGGTAGAGATCTAAATCTAGTAACATCATAAACTGGTAATACTAAGGCACGAGTGGGGGTGATTCAAATACTTTTTCGATATGAACACTGTCTTTTCTTGACCACTGAGCCACTGACTGACTTTTTCCAGCTGCTTTCAAAGCCATCTTAATAACATGGTGCAAACCCCATAAATAACAGCACAAAACTCCCACAGTGAACTTGGGGAATCAATCTACAGTAATTATTTCCACAGCGTTCACCCTGGATTCCACTAACTTGTGTTCAGCGTCAGCTGTTAGTTGTACCATTTATCTTCTTTTTATTCACATGCCTTGTCCACTGCATTCTCCTGAGGCACAACAAATAGCTCGGCAGACGTGACAGTGCACTGAAAATGTGGATCACGGTAGCAGGTCAGCTAATATGCTGGCGCTTCTGTGTCTCATTGAATCTTCCTGTAATTTCACCATCACCTGTCACCTTCTGGTACCCATACGAAAGCAACGTCAAACAATAACTCACTTATGTCCCTCTCAGTTTAAACTGCATAAAGTATCACAAGCACTGTGTTTGTACTGTATGTACATTTTTGAACCTTTTCTCTGGATCATTGTAAAGTGACGTCAGACAGTGGTGAGGAGATTGACTGTGTTGGTGTTCACTCACTGTTACAATTTATCAATTTATTGAATGAACAGGACAAATGTCAGCAAAACAAACAAAAGTGAAATGTTTTTGTAGACTCCATTCTGTTCTCTTTTTCTTTAGGTTTTCTCAGCTGAAGAGCCTGAACTTGTCTCACAACCGTCTGGGTGTGTTCCCTGAATGTGTGTGTGAGATCCTCACCCTGACTGAACTCAGCCTCTCCTGTAATAGTCTCCAGACTGTCCCTGTACAGATAGGCAACCTTCAAAGGTATGATACAGTGACACACATATACTGTACATACACTACATACATACAAAACATGACACACAGTACATAAATCCATAAGTTAGGACATGTATGAACAAACAGTACACACAAAGTTCTGTAGGATTACTAGCAGCACAAGAAAAAGTAATTCTACAAGAAGTAACATCCAAAGACATCCAGAGAGGGAAATCCTCAACGAACTGCAATTTAGGTCAGCTTGAAAGGAGACAACAAAACCTGTCTATGTAAGTTAACAAACCACACAAACATGCCACAAAAGGTGACTATGCTTAATATTTTATATTTTTAGTTTTTTGGTAGATATTTTAGAGAAACAACAGTTACAACAAATTAACAAAGCAGAAACTATTTTGTACTTTTCTCCCACTGTGAGTGATATTGTTTATATCCAGTCTGAAATAAGAAAAAGAATAATGTATGTTCTGTTATATCATGTTTTCTGTGTTGTTCATTTGTTTTCTGAAATGTGACGTTTTCTGTTATGTATTATGATTGTATCCTTTGTCAGACGTTTTGGAGAGAACTATTAGGCCACTGCACACATAATTAATGTTCTCATAAAATCTGGATGGGGGTTTTAATGGAGTCAGTGAAATGCATAAAGTTAAAATATTTTGTTATGCAATCAGATTAAGAAGCTAAAGCAGGCAGTTTTCATTCTGTTGACCTGCTTAATGTAGGATGCTGCTCAGTAAACAATGGCTATATAACTACAAATGGACACAAGCAGATAATTTGACCACTCTTTGAAGTAAAAGAAAACAAAACATGACTTTGTTCTCTCCATCTTGTAGCCTGCAGACACTGTCTTTGGATGGAAACCACCTCAGCTCCCTGCCTGAAGAGCTGGGTGGCCTGTCCCAGCTCAACAGCCTAGGGCTCTCCTTCAACAACTTCTGTCACATCCCTGCTGTGCTGGAGAGATTGAGTGCAGTGGACAAGCTGGCCATGGCTGGGAACAGAGTGGAGAGTCTGGAGTTGTGTGCTCTGGCTAGAATGAGCCACCTGAAAAACATCGACCTCCGGTAAGAGGCCAGCCAGGGCATAGACAGCTCTCAGCCTCTGCACTTCCTCAGTCTCTTCCCTCTCTTCTTAGTCTGTTGGATCAATATGTAAAATGTAATATGTAAGGTAAATGGACATCCTCAGGCATTCAGTGAATACATAATGTAAATATTTTTTCATTTCTTTCTCTGGCATTGACAGAAAGATAAATATCCTGACACAAATACTATTAACCTCAGCCATTCTTCCTTTCTTCTCCGCTCCTTTAAGCCTCACTTTTGTTAAACATTTATTTATAGATGCCAGGTTTGCTGAGCACAAATGCCTTTTTTTGTGCATTGCCCTGCTTCACACTTACATCAACACCTGGGAGCTGCCTAGAACAAAATATTTGTTGGCCTCTTAGCAGCTCCACAGCTGCTCAGCTGGGGGCTAAGTGTGTTGCTCAAGGGGGCCTCTGTGGTGGATAATGTGGGATGGGTTAGCTCTACTCATTGTTTTTCCTACTAGTCAGTGGACCAAACCAGAAATCACTGCTTCACCCACAGCCAGGTAATAATTCAACCTTGGGACTGAAGTTGCGGTTTGGCAATGGCAGGCTATATTTATAAGGGCAAGGTGCATCTGTGGGGGATTATCGGACTGACCGCTCTCATAAAAGAGGAGTTGTTGTTTATTAACAGGATGGATTGGAATCTGTGTTTTACAACAGTCATGGACCCAGAATTTCTTTACTCTTTGTTGTGTTTTAAAAGGTAGGTGTTAAATATGGGTAGATGAGTCTGACAAAAAGTTAATAGAAATTGTCCCCAGTGAAGCAAAGTGAGAGGCAATATAGTGGTCCCAGTTTGTCACCCGGTCAAACACAATATCTTGGATGCCCATGGGGTGTTGAACATGTCTAAAATGTGTTTCATGTGTGTTATTTCCATCGTTCTCAAATTCACATTGCTTGACCTAGGAAAGTGCTAAAATATTTGTTACTTCTCCTGCATGCTCCTCACAAGATTTTTAAAGAACGGAAATTACCATTTTAATTCCTCTTATTGAGGACCCATGTTTTGTCATTTGTCTTTTTTTTCCCAACGTAGTTGTGAGGTTTTCTCATTAAAGTATACTGCATGATCTGTCACTGTAAACCAAAATAGCCATTGCTGGAATATTTTACAACAACCCTGAATGCCATACTACTACTATTATTGTAGTAGCTTCTTCACTGTATTGATCATTTTATTTGATGTCACCTTGAAGCTTCATCCAAGACTTTCTCCTCTGCTCAAGTAGGAATAAGCAGTGATATTAAATCTCTTGTACTCCCCGTTAAATACAGATTGAATGGGCTGCGCTGTGTGAAAAGTGAGAGTCTAGAGGCAGTGAACCAGGTGACCCAGATGGACTTACGGGACAATTGCTTGGACTCACTAGACCTGAGCTCCGTCTGCAACCTGGAGACTTTGCACTGCCAACGCAACCAGCTGGGGACACTCACACTCAGCGGTTTCACACTGCGCACGCTTCATGCCAGCAGCAACCGTGAGTCAAACAAAGCGTCAACTAGCTGCTATTATTGCCTCACTGGCAGCTTGTCTGTATGTTCAGAACCTTCTCCCCAGTGATACATTCATCCTATAAACACACACATGAATGGTTCAAATGTTTATCTGCTGATTGCTGCTTTTATCTGCACACAGGCCTTACAACAGTCAACATCTATCCAGTCCCTAACCAGCTGACACACATGGACCTATCACAGTGAGTTCTGGCTGGGAATAAGAAGTGGCTATGGTCTGTGTTCACAGATTTTTGAACAGAGGCTCTGATGTCTAAAAATAGTATCTTGATCTTTATGTTCATTAATCTAGTTGTGTGCATTGCTTAATGGAGACGTAAAATGATTCTAGATGCTGGGTCAGTACACAGCAACCTTAAAGCAAATATTCTGTGGAATCTATCCAGGTTGGGGGCAGCAACATTAAAATGATGATGATGTAGCAAACTTGTTTTTCTTTTGTTCTTCAGTCATGCATAGTCTGCTCTATGTCCTTCTGTTTTTTATGCAATATATACAAAATGTTTGCACAGATTCCACAGAAATTAGACTCTCGGCTTGTTTTACTGTTACTTGTTTTAATGCCCAAGGACCAATGGCAGCTCAAAACATAAACTAATTTGTACAGTATAAGGCAAAGGTGCTAAACAAATGCAAAGAGAGCCCCTAAAATGCCCTTTTTAATGCTAGATTAACTTTGCCTGCATGGATATTTATCTGCCTTTCAGGCTGCATCCGTAAGACATTTGAGGATTAAAAAAAACAAAAACATTTTAAGATAGTGAACCTCCCAAACCTTTGGCACATATTTTAATCTACTTAATTTTTTTTATGCATGTTCATAACTTGCTGGCTGTAGGCCTAATTGTGTGCAGTAAATGTTACAGTATGACAGTGGTTGAATAAGCTGAAATACCTGTGTAAGAAACATCAGTAACCTCCAGTACTGACTGCAGATACAAATTATTATCATTTATTAAACTGTTTACTCATCTGTACTATTGAAAGCAAAATGCCAACTCTGCTCAGTTTGAGTGTTTGTGCTTGTGTGTCTTTCTATGTGTGTGACTGTGTGTGTGTTGAGACAGGAACCTTTTGGAGTACCTTCCGGACTGGGTGTGTGACTGCAGAAAAATTGAGATGCTGGACGTCACGCACAACCTCCTGTCTGAGCTTCCTTCCAGGTCACTGCCCTTATTTTGTCACTAATTCTGAACCTTTTCTGTTGAACCTTGTATCTTTTAAGTTGCATAATTTGAATGCATTCAACCTTGGGTCCATCCATAAACCCAGACATCCAGAATTAGGGAATCAGGTGTTAGAATATACATGGTCATACTTTTTTTTGTCCATCTTAAAGAATTTGTTATGGTAAGAGAATCATGAAAAAACAAGGTACAAATAAGAGCTGGTATCAGTTGCTTTGTGTAAGACTGACTGACTGTAAGACTATCTGTGTCTTCCTGTTGCAACTGTAAAATATGGCCTTCCTATAGTGCTCGGCTGATAGTTACCATCATTCCCTGCCAGCCCTGAACACTCAACACAGTCATTTGCATTTGAATGAGACATCAGAAAAGCTTTTGCAAATGAGATAATATTCCTCTACCCACTGTACCCTCTCATGACTTGTGTGACGGTTTCAGGAGAGAATAAAAAGCCGCTGTGTTGGTCTGTTCAGGCAGGCAAGCTGAAAAGGTCATTGATGGATTAGCTTCACAAGTAGTCAAGTTTGCACAGGGGAGACCATGTTCTTTGGTTCTTTGCCCTTTCGTTGGTCTGTTCTTTTTTTTTCTTGTCTTAATCTAGCTCTCTAATGTATCTTCTGGCCTCCAACAGACTGCTCAACAGCTTGAGTTTGAGAAAGCTGCTGGCGGGGAACAACCGTTTGCAGAGAGTGCCTGACCTACTTGACCACATCCCTCTGGAAGCCCTAGACCTCCAGCACAACAAGCTAGCCGAGCTCCCTGAGAGTCTGTTTTACAAGGCCTTAAAGTGAGTCAGTCAACACCCTTTTCTCTATAGATCTGTCTATTTCCTTTTCCATTCTGTCCTCAAAACTATTATGTTATTACTTTCTTACTTACTTTATCCTTTAGGAGCTAGTTCCTCTGCTTTGAAACCTGCAGTGTGTTCCTTGTTTTGTTGCAATTGACAGTTATTGTATCACAGCTCAGTGTTTTGTGGATGAAGTATAGATTATATGTAGGGACTGTGGTCAAGATCAATGGATCATTCCAGACTGTAACTGGAGCTTCATTTGCCCTCCTGTTTCCTGTGTGGTAAATCACTTAACACCCATTAGCTGTTCAAATGCTCTAATGTACTTTACTGTCTCTAATGCTGAGACCTAATGGCAGTGACTGCTTTGTGCATGATCAATTTCCTGATATGTTCTCTAAGAGCTGCACAGCTAACAATGGAAATGTTACACTCAGGACTGATGGAAACAATGTATAACTATAGAAACTAGGTTGATAGCGAACACTTTTACATTTGTGTAGACACGGATTTCCAAAAAGCTAATAAAGACTAATGAGATGGAAACTGTCTTGTAATGTTTATGACCTGCAGAGAAATCATTGCACTTTAATAATGTCTGACTGTTGACAAGGTTCTCTCATCAGTTAGAAGGATAGGTTTTATTACTGTTCAGTATGTGACACACACACACACACACACACACACACACACACACACACACACACACACACACACAGACAATGACTTAATAACACCAATTACATAAGAACCATTGGGCCTCAAATTACTGTACCCTCCTCTCTGTGCAACAGTATGTAAATCAATGCTTGCAGGGATACATTAATAGTCTGTGTTAGAAGTAATGAGAATATGAATTGAGATGAGGAAAATACCCTAAAGAAGCCCCTAAAGCCCCTCTAAGCCTAAAAACAATCAACCTTAAACATGTATCCCTAAACTGTATTTCCTATATTCTGCACATAGGTTCTCGCAAATTACATTGTTATAATACGGCCAATACTGTAGTTGTGAATATGTATGGAATCGTGTTGCTACAGAATATTATCTTAAATGGAAATTTTTTAATGTTAATTGGAATTTGTAGTTAACTTAGGCTCTCCAATAAATATTTAAATTAACCCATGTTGCCTGCTCTCAGTCATAATCCTGTATTTTAAACAAAATGTAATCACAAAGACAAAATGATCATAACTTTGTAAACTTTATCCTAAACCAAATTGTACCTGCATTTATGATTCACTTTCAGTAAAAGTATATGATATTGTGGTAAAATGTGAAGTCCCCAGCATTAACAACTACAAAAAACAAGAAAAGGGGGACTGGAATAATTTGGACCTTTTAGTGTCACATCTCCAATACTGTAATCTTTCTAGAGCTGCCGGTTTCTGTAATTGAATCTACCAGATGTTCTCCATTTTGGCTTAAATTTAATTTCTGACCCACAATATGTTTGTATACAGTCTGCATTGGGCAGGTCATAGTTGTGGGGTGGGGAAGGGCCTCCTAATATGTACAACAGACAAGGTGAAATGGGAAATAATTTTTTGTATTGGAAAACATGTATACTTCCTATAACCAGTCCAATAAACTCTGTTCAGTATTTTGGACATAAATAACACCCATTACAATGATGCCTCTGCTCATGCAACTCTTCCATAAAAATTCAGACTTCAAATTTGTAGCATTAACTTCTCCAAACCCACTGTAAATGATTCAGGGTTGGGTGTATACGCTCCCTGGATGCAATCCTGGCTGTGACATAATGGGCTGGTCGGATACCTGTATACAAACTAATGCATGTCTTGTTTTTATTTGTCATCCCTCACAGCCTAAAATACTTAAATGTGTCAGCCAATGCCCTGGAAAGTATTCCCCCCAGCAGCCAATCAGAGGAGAGCCTCAGCACACTCCAGGAGCTCTACTTGACGGGGAACAACCTGAATGAGAACTGTGGTGCTCTGTTGGTTGGACACCAGAACCTGCGGGTCCTTCACATCGCCTACAATCAATTGCTCTCCTTCCCTGCCAGGTGTGTTACCTCCACTTTCATCTCAGTCAGTGCATTATAAACCCTGCTTTTATAGCGTGCCCCTGTCATTTTAACTCATTCAATTTTGTTTTTTCCTGTTAATTTTATTTGGGTGGCCCATTTTCTGTTTTGTTAACATGTAATGCCCTTCATTAACTTAATGCATGACAATTACTTTATTACTATTATCAATAACCATTATCTAAGAGGCTGGTTATGCCTTACAAGTTAATAATATTTGTAATGTATTCTACTTGTGTGTTTTTAGTAAGCTGAGTAAGCTGGAACAGCTGGAGGAGCTGAATCTAAGTGGCAACAAGCTAAAGACTATCCCCTCCACTGTGTCCAGCTGTAAGAGACTGCACACCCTCATAGCACACTCCAACCACATTACTGTCTTCCCAGAGATTCTCAACCTGCCTGAGATCAAGGTCAGACTTGTTCTGGTTTTATTTTCCTGTCCAGTGTGTGTATGACTATGTTCAGCCTTTGTCATCTCATGCGTGTTTTGTACCCTTGTAGCTTGTAGATCTGAGCTGTAATGAGCTGACTGAAATCCAGCTGCCCGACTCGCTGCCTGCCACTCTGCAAGAGCTTGACCTGACAGGCAACAGCAGCTTGATGCTGGAACACAAAACCCTCAACCTCTTTAGGTGATTCACAAACTCAGACCTGGTTTAAAATAGTTGAATGTAAGTCAAAAGTAAAATATAAGCCCCAACACCTTGGCTTTACATTCTATAGTTGTCTGGGCACATACTGGAGGGGTATGGCATCATTCTTATATGTAAAACATGTAAGAGTATAATTAAGCTGTGTGACTAGTGGTGGCAGGAAATGGTGCATGTATGTATATCTCCGTCAATATTTCTTTTCCTTTTTTAGTCACATTACAACCCTGAAATTAGACCAGAAATCCACCACGACAGCAGGAGACTCCCTGAGTGCCTCCACTCCATGGAACCATGGTTACTCTGAAATGAGCGGCCAAAGGAACAAGTGAGTACTGATTTATGTTTCTGTGTGTTTTCTTTGTTTATGAAAATAAATAGCTTGATTTTTCTATAGGATGTCTATAGTCTGTGTCCATAGTCTATATGATTTAGCTTTACCTTGTGGTGTCTTTTGTATATCTGTCAGTTTGGATGTTGCTATATGAGCCAGAGCAGGTGTCTACCACTGAGTCAATATTTGAATTATTGGCAGGCACCTAACACTGGCATCAGGTCCGTCGATGGACCTGTTTTAAGAGTAGTGCAGTAGAGCCTAATAATTCTATTAGATTTAATGCCTGTAACAATGTTAAGTCCATCACTGTAGAAAGCCTCGGTGTGCCTGGCTGCTCCTTCAGGGTCATGGCCACCACACAGCAGTGTCTTTTATCAGCTTTCACTCCTTGCTGTTTCCCTTGACCTGGACCTGCAGTTTCACATGTATGTATGATCCTCTGTATGGAAGGTGCTGAGTCATCTGTTTATTAATGCCGATCAACTGTTGGGGACAGGTTGTGTGTGTCTGTGCTGGCTGTAGACCGCTTTGGAGACGGTATGGAAGCATGTTATGGTATCTTTGACGGAGACCGCAACGAGGAAGTGCCTCGGCTGCTGCAGTGCACCATGGGGGATGTACTGTGCGAGGAGCTGCAGCACTCCAGTGTTGACAATGTGTATATGTGCAACACTTTCCTCACCTCACACAGGTAAGACAGATCATTTAAATGTTAGTCTTTATCATTACATTTATTTTTGCACTCTTACTGCATTTGATAGGCTGCAACCAGTGATTTTAAGAGTTTGTCAGCAGCTTTGTTTATGTATGGGACAGGAAACTAGGTATGGCTGGCCAAAAACTGGGTGCTTCTGCCTTGCTGTGCTATATTCACCATGAGCCTTCAGATCCAGGAGGCTACTTCAACCTCACTGTGGCCAATGTGGGCACCTGCCAGGCAGTGTTGTGCCGGGACGGCCGACCTGTACCTTTATCTAAGGTCTACAGCTTGGAGAACTGTACTGAGGAGATGGAGAGAGTAAAACTCAGTAAAGCCATTATTACCGAGGTAATTCACAGCTTTCATGTATGACGGGTTCCTGTTTTAACAGTAGAGCCATTAGGTAGAACTTTTGATTTAGTGTTAACGTGCAGTTTCATGTTCAGAGGTGTATTATGAAGCTATACACTCATCTACAATTCTAATGGCACTTCTGTTTTGTAGGATAACAAAGTGAGTGGAGTGACATGCTGCTCTCGCCTACTGGGCTGCTCTTATCTGTCCCCCTGGGTGCTTCCAAAGCCGTGGGTGCACACTGAGCCTCTCTGTTCCCAGGATGAGTTCTTGATCCTGGGGAATCGAGCGCTGTTTGAACGGGTCTCCTACCAGGAGGCTGTGTTCACTGTGCAGGCCGTGCAGGATCCTCGCGCTGCTGCCAAGAAGCTGTGTTCACTCGCACAGAGTTACGGTTGCAAGGACAACATCGAGGCTGTGGTGGTGTCTCTGCATATTAGTGAGGACAGCTGTACCTGTGAGCCACAGGTCACCACCACTGAACCACGGGGTCCCCCTCCCGCCCCTGTTCACGTGTCTGTGACCCCAGGCCCTACTGACCCAGCCACCCTTTCATCCAGCAGTGGTATTGTCTCTGAGTTCAACAGTGAGACATCAGCCTCAGAGGTTGGCAGTGAGGCGGGGTCCACCGCTTCTGACGAGCACCCATCTTCTGGCCCTGCATCCCGCCCAGAGAGACGCTGTAGCCTACACCCTGCTACCACACTGTGTGGGATCATGGTGCCCTCAGCTGTGGCAGGAGCCCACCCAGGCCTGTTCCAGCGGCAGCCCTCCAGTGCTACATTCTCAAGTAACCAGTCTGACAACGGCTTGGACAGTGATGACGAAGCTCCGCTTGAGGGCGTTATCTCCAACGGCAGCAAGTTAGAAGTGGAGGTAGACATTCACTGCTGTGCTTTCCAACTCCGATCAGGGGCCCCTGAGAGCCACAAAGACTTAGACCTTGAAAAGCGAGGCTCTGACTATCCCAATGGCAAAATGCGCAGACAGAACAGTGTGGTGGTTTCTGCTACAAACGGCTGCCTGCTTGCTGTATGTGGGAGAGAGATTACCGACCTCAAGAAGTCTCCCTCCACATGCAGCCTGTTTGGGAAGAAGCTGTCCAATGGCTCTGTGGTTGCCCCTGAGGACAGTCATAATCTCATTGAGGTGGCCTTGGAGGCTCCTAAGAAGAAGTCTGGCTACTTCACTGCCCCAGCACAGCAGGACCCCGAGGACCAGCTCATTGTGCCTCCTAGTCTGGAGCAGGAAGTCAGGGAGCAGCTAAGAGGCCAGAACACTCTAGTCTCAGGCCCCTCTTTGACATCCATACCCCCTTCCTTAAAAGAACCCGTGTGGGATCATCCACATCCCCCTGCATTTGCCTCCAACCTGGTCCCAGGTCCAGGCCCAATTCCCATCCTACAGCAGGAAGTCTACGATACCGCCCTCTAGAGGGGAGAGGGGGGGGGGGACACAGCACAGCGCCATGTGGCTGCAATTCTGTGATTGTGCCATTCCAGAGAAGAAGAGGAGATTTTTCTCATACATGTGGAATATTCCGACTCAAGTTGCCATTCAGATCTTTTGTGAGGACAAGACAAACCTGTGGGACATTGATAGTCACTAAGTGATGCTGCGCCATAAATGTGAGCTAAAAAGGGGTTTGTGCGCATGGCCTGGGTATCCAAGAAAATATGGGCGAGCCAAGATCCCAGTTCATAACATAACGTTGTGAAAATTATGGTTGGCTATGATAGACCAACACAAGCCTGACTTGAAATTGGATACCTCATGTGTTTAAACATGTCAGCAACATTTCCCTTTACTTGGAAAGCAAGCAATGTAAAAAGTGTGTATGGGATTGTGTTCAGTGAGGTCAAATCTCCTCTCCAGGGGCTCTGTGGTCTCTCAGGTCCTGGAGAGAAGCCCTCTGACTGAAACTTGAAAAAGTGCCTACTGCAGACAACTCAGCCTAGAGCTCCCCCATATCCAGGCTATGTCTAGGGATGTGAGCTTGTTAGTTAAATTTGGAGGAGGGACAGTGTCTCCATGAGACCAGCACTGGCACAGCTTCTGCTCTCCTACTCTTCCTGTGGCTTACAAAGGAAATCAGACAGTATAAATGCTTGTAAGGCACATAAGACTAGAAGATGTGGAGACAGTATAACTGCATTTACATCTCCAGAAACATGTTTGGGTTTTATTTTTAACATTCTCACTCAGTATGTATAGAATCCTCTATATAGGATAAATTAATTCTATACAGTATAGTACACACTCACAACTAGCAGCCAACTGTCGTGCTGTGCTTCAGCTTAAGATTGAAAAGCGTTGTCATTTAGAGCAATGCATTTTGAATAGCTGTCATTCAACTGTACCAAGCGGATGTGTGGTAGAACTGAACACAGTATAATCTGCGACAGTGTATGATTAAATGATCTCCTCAAAAACAACTTAGGAAAATAAAAGTTTAATTTAAATGTATTCAGTTTTATGGTCACTGGATGATGGACTTGAGACCCCAGGATGTTTGAATCATTTAATATAATTTTATCACATTGTCATTTAAACAAACCAATCAAGGCACAAAAGTGTATTATTACAAGAGATGAAGGATAGATGCAGTGTTGTATGTACTGGCACTGGTACTAAGATTGTACATTTTGTCCAAACTTTGGAGGCTGCTACCCTTTTAAATTTGTAAACACCCATCCATGTCCCTGCAGGCAGATACACTTACTGATATTTTTACATCTTAGCAAATATTTTTTCATCTAAGCTCTCTAATGCACTGCCCACACATCCAGAAGATTTTCGGAGTGTGTTATTTTGGCCCATTATAAACAAAACCGAAACCCCCATATTTTCTTGTATTCTTTAAGATCTGGTCTGCGTACAGGAGTTTATGGAAGAAATACATCTATACGCAGAAATCTGGGAGATAGAAACAAATTATGTTTTGCTATAATTTAATATAGTTCTCTTTTACACTAGGGCATATTGCATATACTATCTCCTGATCAGTGTGCAATGCTTCTGTAGAATTCAGCTCACACAGTTAATATAAAATATATTATCAGTGCAGCAGCAGTATAAGGTACTGCATAAGAACCCAGGTTCAGAGTTATACAGACATACAGTGCTTCAGCAGTTGGTATCATCGGTTCTCATTTTTTAAAAATATATATATATTTGTAGGATTAATCATATTTATCTCAGCTGAAAGTAAGTTGTCAAAAACTACATTATTATTTGAATTATCAGGTAAATATTATGCAGCTTTGGAAACCTCAGTTTGTCCATTCCTGAACCTAGTGCCAAAAGAGAAAGCAGCTCTGCTGGGGCTGCTGTGGTTATAAGAGGGCCAAAGTTGGGTAATTGCTTATGTCAGTGATTACTACATTAGATGTATATTTTTGGTTGCCACTCCCAAGTTGGTAGTGGTGCAGTTCTGGCATTCCACAGCTGTTGCATAGCTGGACCTTTCAGTGTTCCCTATTAGCCTTAAAAATAACACTACTCAGTATTTTTGGAAAGAGAAGCCCATTGTTTCATCCCACTTATGTTCTGTTTGTGACTGAGGTCTTCAGCTCTGGGGTTGGTTAAAGCAGCCCCATTCATCCTTTCTTTGCTCCACAGGAATGAGTGATATGTCAGTGATGAAGCCTTAATTGATGTGTGAGTCTGAACCTTTTCTCGTTATTTCCAAATTTTTGTCTCTTGAAAGAAATTAACACTGTTAAAAGCACTTTGTACATAGGAAATAGTGATATTCAGAGTTATGTATATTTGAGTTTAATATATGAGATATTGATCAACATAGTGTGCTGGGATTATTGTGGCTTCCCTCAGCCCAACATATCACCTCTTGTCTAAGAATACATAGCCAACAGAAATGATAATAATGTAAAGTGACATAATGATAATTCACAACAGTCACTTTTTGACGTTTTTTAATATGACGAACATTTCTTATTTTATTAAAGATTTTTTGTTCGCTTTGAATTACATCTGGATTTTACAGAATTTCTTGACTGACCAACATCAGAACCACAAACAGCATAATATATGTTCTCAATTACTCTTACATTATCTCATACTTTATATAAATATAAATGATTGGGCCCCCTTCTGGCAGAAATTGAGGAAATACAGTTGTTGTGCATATTTTGCATTATTCATATCTGGTATTGATATTTGGTTGAAACATGGCGCTAAGTGACTAAACATATGGCAAAACTGAAAATGTTTTTGAACTCTCTCCATAATAATGACATGTAATGAAAACAATTATATAAGAGAATAATTACTATGATCCACATGATTATGTTTATTCAGAATTCAGACACCGATTTCAAGTTTTGGATTTTTCTTTTCTTTTAAATTAAGAATAGGAAACCATATTTTATGGCGAGGCAAAGCGTCTGTGTCCAGTCACTTTATTGATCAGACTGTGCAGTGTCTGAGATGCCAAACACCCAGGACTCTCTGTGGTTCTGACTGTGGCCAGACCCCCACTATCAGAACCCACACAAGGCGTCTGGACTGATGGCAGTGAAACAGGGATGGGCACTGCAGGTGTACCCACCACAGGAGGAGCTAGAGGAGCTATAAGACAGATTATGATTGTTGTTAAATAATACTGGAACACACCTGAAACAAGAGAGTAGAAACTGAACTTTCCTTAGGGTTTAATACAAAACGGTGGTGTTCGCAACAGATGTTGGGAATTCGCTCATACAAATATGCAAAGTGTAAACTGTATATATATATACATGTTTATCAGAGCTTCATTTTCACCTAAAACTACAAGAATCCTATTTCTCAATATGTCTGAAAATGAATATTGACTGAAGTATGTATGTATAATGTATGTAACTGGGATTGTGTGTGTAAGTTGCATTGCTCTTTTTATTAGTTTCTGAGTGTGTCCCTTCCCTTTGGCTCATTTGCAGTGTAGTTTTATTAGATTGGTCCCAGTTCAGGCTGGGACTGCATTGCACTGCTACATTTAGTGCTCTTCAAAACCACCTTGGATAGTCTTTGCATACGGTTGTACACTCATTGTACATTCATTCAGTCTGTCTCTTGGATGGCGCCATACAGTATATTCACCCACTGTCTCCTGTCCAATATACATTTCCAACATGAAGTATATTTGAATAATGATCCATCAGTAGACTAATCAGTGTGCATGTACATATGCCGACTGTATGCGCAGATACAGGAAGAGGGAGCACAGGGTACAGTGCATTGGCTTAAAATATTCCCTTTAATTCTTTAGTGGAGGGGGTCCAGTAGTATAATGCTCATAATCCCCTTTGTGCACCAAAATAGAGGCATTGGAGTAGGCTACATTGTCAGTGTTTTTTTTTAAATTGCTGACTCATTTATTAGCTGTAAGGGATCATTTCCTCTCTGCACAGCTTAACAAGCTCCCTGTACAACTCTCTTGTGAAATGTCTGTCTGTGTGTGTATGTCAAATGAAGCTTAAGTGCACACGTACAGTAAGTGTATGCATGCCTGTGTGAATAACAGATTGACTGTGTGTGAATATGGTGAATGAAACCGATATGGAAGATGCTCCAGTTGTTTAACATGTGACCAAAGTAGCCATTGTTTAATCTCACGGTTCCTTTCTGTACATTATTTTCTAGAAATGCTTGAATATTTTTTTCTCGATGCCAAGAAGCCGATGTTTATTTTTGTACTTCATTTTGTTTCATGCAAATTTATATTTCCCTCTCCACTAATAGAATTTGAAGTGATTGGGATTCTACAGAAAACTGTCACTCATTATTGTACTTTATTTGAAGGTACTAATTATAACTGTATTTAATGTTGAAAGCATGCCCTAAATATAAATCGACATAAAAGCATAGAGTACATACAAAATGTGATTTATTTGTACAAAACGGAGCATATCTAATATTTTTAGGTTTTTATTCTAGCATGCAGATTACTGCTAAAATTTTGTCTGTTTAATAATTAAAAGATGTATTATTTAGGAACAGGACTAACTGAGCACTTTTGCTGTGTAACAGACAAAATTATACTCCCTTGAACTTTAAGAGTGGAAGATGGTCGTTACTTTATTTGAAATGCTGCTATTATTAGTTTTGAGCAGAAAAGCTGTTTTTAAATTAACTTTAAGCCAAGTAGCAATAAAACTTTTTACTGTGAATTTTTTTGTCCAGTGTCCGTTTTGCTCACCACTTTTATGATGATTTCATGCCAATAAATATCATCAAAATGACTTTTTTGGGTCAGTATGAGATATAATGTCTACAATTTATTTTGTCCTTCATTTTAAAGCTATAATAATAAGCTATAATGTACCAGGAGGTTATTTATAGATTTACCTTGGTTTCCATAGACATGTTCTCCTCCTCAATCAGCCTAAATTTACAGAAGCAGTACTGAGATTAAGAATATGAATCAGAAGAAATGGACAATAGCTACTGTGGAAATATGTGCAATCAAGATCCATGTGTTGAAGTAATGAGTAAATTCCTAAACACAGTTGATCTGCCATCTATTGGTGAAGCTCAGAATGACATCCTGAACTCTAGTATAATGGTTGACAAATTATGAGGAAAATATGTTTAAATGGGACAAAACTCCTGGTCTCTGTTAAGCAGAGTCTTAAAAGAAAATGGAAAGATACTGTAACTCAATGGAGGAGCCATCATATAATTTATTCCTTTGAAATACTGGGGATGCTTTTGGCTTTTATCAGTAAACAATATAAAATAAAAACTTCCAAGTCATAGGATAACATTCAACCCTCTGTATCAAGAGCCAACTGCCAGGATTAATTATCAACAGACTGAGATCTAAGGTATGCACAATAGTTTCGGTCTGGAACACAAAGTATTTTAGCTTAAAAAAGATCAGTGAAAACCCTCGGGTCTGTACCTGTGAAACATAACAGACGAGCTCATTCTCCACCGTTAGATTTGTTTATTATAACTACATATTTATTTTAAAAATGTAACAGACACTGTAAACAGGTAGTGTAAGTGTAAGAAATACAAAAGTATTTTAAAAAACTGCATAAAAAGTGCATAAAAAAGCCGATTCAACGGTTTACAGACAATATACCTAATATGATAAGAAAAACATCCATGTTTTCTTGTCACGGGGATTTCTACTCAATCCCACCTTTGTTCAAATATGTGAAATAGAAAAGCTAGCTTAGAAATTATTGTCCTCGTTTGTCCTTTGTGTCTTTAGCTCCCGCACTGACCTGAAAGCTCTGACAGCTAACACTGCACCAAAGATGAAAACAAACACTCCCAGCACCCCGAAGAGACCTCCTGCGATATCTGCGCCGTGGAACTGGCACTCAAAACCCTTGTGCCCTTTGCTCTTGTACATCTGCTCCCTCTCCTTACAGATGGGATCGTTGTAGGTTCCCTGGAGCTTAATAAAGTAGAAGGCCAGAGCAGGGATGTAGCCCAGGCCGATCAGGAGGTTCAGCAGAGCTTCCCCCAGTAGCACAGGGGGCCAGCGGTAAGGGACTCGGAAAATCCCCAGGGCGAGCATGGCACAGGCATATATCATTAAAACCCCACCACAGGCCATGGTGAAGACATATGGAGGTTGCTTAAGTTGATGGAACAGCTGGTCCAGCTCCTTCACCCTATCTGCATCGGCTCCAGTGAAGGCATTGGCTCCACCAAAGTGATAATAGTAGAGTCCACCGAGGCTGGCCAGGTCGCGGTAACCCCCGTTGTTGCTGTATGGTACTCCAGCACAGATGACGATAAGAAGATTCACAAACAGCTCCATAAGCTGGCAGAGACCTGGGAGAGACAGGATAAACACAACACTGACAAGAATGTACAGCAAATGCCAAATATTGATCAAAGCTTCTCTGGTGAGTGGATCTGCCGCTTTTCTTCGTCATATATCGTAATACGTGGAATATCTTTGTGTTTTAGACCGGATAAAACAAGACATTTTAACAAGTACCCCAAGACCTTTTTTCATTGTTATCTGACATTTTATATAGAAAAAATTATCAGCAGAGTAATTGATTGTGAAAGATTAATCAGCAGTTGCAGCTCCAAATGCAAATGAACAGTAAAGAAAAAAGTACATCTGCCTGTTCAGCCCTTAAAACAAATCATTATATCGTGGTAATAATGTTTTGATCATTTTATTAAATTTCCTAACCTTAAACTCGTCTATAAGTGCCCACACAACCAGGCTCCACAGGTGCTCAGAGACCCTGTGGTGCCCTTTAGAGTTTGGGGCTCAGTAACACATTGAGCATCCAATGGAAAGTGAGGTGCCCTTACTTCTTCGGGGGATCGAAATGTGGAATTCCTTACCTGCAGAACTCAAACTGGATCCTGACTGGGATCATTTTAAACTCAAATTTAAACCGTGTCAGTCATGAATAATCTGGTGCGTCCTGTTTTAAAGTATTACTTTGTGTCCTGTATTTTTCTGTTGTTTTTTTGCTGAGTTCTGCCTTTTTAATGTACATACTTATTGTTGAGTTTGTGTTTTGTACTTTCGCTTGTGTATTTGTTGAATTTTATATATTTTAAAGCCCCATTTGGGACAGGCAAGGCAAATTAGCTTGGGCTATAAATGCTGTGGTGTGTGGCATTTGTTTATGCTGCATACTTGTCCCTATACAAATGAAATTATTATTATTATATTAAATAAATAAACATACCTCTACTTGTTAGGATGTATCTGAGATTGTAGTGTGCTTGTCTGTGTTGTCGCTCATAATACTCCCCTTCAGAGTGATACACTGAAGTCTCTCTGGACCTACGGCAACAACAACATTTTTACAGTGAGATGGAAATCATTCTTACTCCACAAAACATATCATTTCACATAAAATCCTGAGTACATAACCCTGCCACAGATGGTGAAATGTGTGTGGAAGACATGACAATGAGTGCAGGGTCTTGTGTATAAAAAGTCCCTTACAGTCTTGAGGGTCCTTCATGGTCTTGGTCTCTGTAAGCAGGTGTCTCTGTGTGAGAGGCAGTTGTCATCTCCCTCTGTCTGTTTTGTTTGGCCATCCTGTCACCAGCAGAGCCTCTCTGGTCCACGTCTCTTGGGTTTTGGTTGCGACCTCTGCTCTCATATGAGGCGTGGTTGCCATTGTGTGAATAGTCCCTGTCCCTGCTCTTGTCATTCCTCTCATGGTGTCTCCCCCTTTCTGGCATTTTCCTCGACCTGCAGAAGAAGATTATGGACGTGCTTGGCTGGTATCCCTGTAGCTGCCCCTGTGGACAGTAAAGCAGCATGAAGGATTATTAAATGAAGTTTAATGGCTGGGTGAAGCAAAGGACCAAATATGGAGGTTTCTTCATTCATAAAGTGGCTAGTAGGGCAAAAGGTGGTAATTATTTTTGGGCTGGCAGACATTTAAGTAAATAAACATTAAGACAACATAAAGTCTGCAAACTATTATATATTGTTTATTTCAACATAGGAACCAAACGCATATTCCTGTAAGAGGCCCACACTTCATAGCAACGCTCCTTCCGTCCCTGTAAATGCGAAGTTTCGTAATTTCATGTTTTTATGTTTCAAGGCTTGTGAATAATAGGCGAATGTTTCTAGGCTTGTGAATAATACAGACATGTAACATTATTATTTCCTACCTTTGGACTGTAAACACAATGTTGTCTTGTTTTCGTGTATGCCGAGAAAAAAACAACAGCCTACCTTTCCCAGCTTCCTGTGTTCGAGATTTCCTTCTCCTGCCACTCACCTGTGCTTTGCCACGCCCACTAGTTTCTGTGTAAAATACGGTGACATTTCTGCTGCTAAAGGTGCTTTTTTTGTGGCTTTTTCCTCCATTTTATAGTAGCTTACAGTGTGTTGAGTGTATACATTGTGTATATGTAGTATTGTATTGTCTTTCATTGTAAGTACTTTATTATATACCCTTTTGTTTATAACAGACAACTACATTTAATTCACTGGTCTGTTTGATCCAAATATTACAGGACGCAGGCAGCTTCACTGGAGTCGAATAAAAACCGGAAAGTGCATAAATAAATGTTGGTTTCAGTCGTGCTTAACTTGCAGAAACAAAAATTTGCGATTCATGCCCCAACCCGGACGTGAACGCACTCAGCGCACGCGGTCACGCTTCCATAGTGAAGCTCGTGGCAAAAATCTACGACTTTATTTCCAGTTTTTCCGAGGCATAGATCAATTTCAAAATAAATGTCATTTAAAAGCGTGACCAGTGCATGTCAGTGAGCTCATGCTTATTCTCACACATTGTAATTACATGAGACAGAGACTTATTCACTCGTTTGTGTATATTTATGCAATTCTCTGATACATAACTGTATGAAGATTATTTCAAGTTAAGAGCTCAGTCTCTACTACTAGCTGCAATAGGCTGTAATCCATCTGAGAAGGAAGGTCCCTCTCTTACTTTGAAGTTTGCCTTACTTTAAGAACACATCAATGAATGTAAACTATTAGTGATCATAATTAAGCACCACTTAATGGATTAACATTAACTATGGCATATTTCTGTCCCTTAAATAGACAGGAGTTGGCAGCATGGCTGAATTTCCAGCCAAAGCAAGCAACTGATCCAGGGCCTAAGGACTTACTGTCAATTGGCTTGTGCTAATTTAATTTAATTTAAATTGAATAATTTAATGACCAGTTAAAAACAATTTCAACCGACATATTGAGTCAGTTGAAACAGTCAGGTGCTGCGTTTTACTGATCTTGAGACCATGTCTTAAGGGAAGAGACCCTGTGACAAACTCTACTTCACAACACTTATTTTAATGTGTGTGTATATTTGGCATATTCCTAAATGTATGTGCTTAATAAAACTCATACACAACAAAAACATTTCACGATAACAACAGGGACGTTTTGATACGTCTCGCTCCGTATGCACCGAAGAGGTCACCGGCCTCAGTAAACCACAAAAGGGGGGGGATTATCTGCGGTTAAAGATGACGACTTTTATTGTGAAGTCGTAGAGCAAACCATCACCGGAAGTGTTCCTCGTCATTCCTCGAGCTCACGCTGCCGCTACAACCGACCGCGCGCTGGCTCGGCTAGCAAGCGAGGAAGAGGCTAGACAGAAATGGCGCTGACGGCGAGGCGAACAGCATGAAGTGCTGATGCATTACATGGATCAAAACTTACGATTGCCAGGACAGCGTTGGAAAAATGACAATGACGTCGAAGTAGGACACCGTTTGTAACTGTCATTACAAACCTACAACACCTTCCCGGGGGAGTTTTCATCTTGTCAGCGGAGGAGAGAAAATCTCACCGGGAGCATGGCTTCTTACAGCAACCAGGTAGCTAAGCTAGCTGGCTAACGTTAGCCTGCCAAACAACTCCTCCTGCACGCCGTGTTACGTTATTTATAGAGTCGAAACCGCCCCTCGTTTGTACAACATTGTTAGTTAAAATAGTGCCATACTGTAGTAGCGATTTGGTCCCGTGTGTGTTGTTATTTGAAACATCTGGCCAGTCGTGTCATTGAAAATGTAAGTACTAAAAAGTGCTTGCTAATGCCCCCCCCTATAAGCCTCATTGAAACACCACCAGCATGGTAGCTAACAGGCCCTAGGTCCCTCCATTCAAATGAGACAGCGGTGCAATTTGCTGCAGTTTTTTAAGCGTGTGACAGCCACGTTTAGCCAAATGACACACGATCGTGCTCAATCTAGTGTTCGTGACACTTTGGTGAGAGATCTCACAAGTGTCATGTGTTATTTCCCAGAGCTAAGTGACATAGAAAACTGCTGCGTGTGTGTGTGCATGGCCCACCTGCCCACTGCTGCGACAGGCCTTCCCCGAGCGCATATTTTAATAATTGTTAATAACTGATTATTAGTGTTTGCTCCGGGTAGCTAGGCAGCACAATAACGGTGTTGCGGAGGGTTTTGCATGTGATCGTTTTCTGTTTCCGAGCAGTTGTGAGCGAGGATACGATTTCGTGCTGCCCACTTAGCTGCTAGCAAGCTAACAGCTTTTGCACAGGTGGTGTGGTTAGACTTTGCAGTCAGTCCGCTAGCTGGTTAGCTAAATACAAATGCGACAGTGTGGGCCTTCGTTGATAGCGAAGATTTATTTGATTTGGGAACGATTAAAAACGGGATTTAGCTCGCAGACTGCTGGGAGAGTGTGCCGTTACTCCGCTGCTCTCGGTGCTGCTTGAGATTGTAAGTAACTCAGCAAGTCTGGTGTCATTTCGGAGGAAGTTAGCTATCATGTGGGAAGGCCCATTTTGAAGTCTAGCTGTGCATGCAGAGACATGCAAGGTTTTAAGTTTCTACAAGTTTGCTGAATTAAAGTTTTTAACTTGAGACAAAAAGCAAATACACACAGCAAAAATACAACTTTAAGATAAGAACACATGCTTCACCGGGTTCAAACTCAGGCTGACACTTCAAGAAACGGAACATGGCTAACGACCATAGGAAGGGAAACCTCACTGAAGACTTAATTCTGCATGCTTTCACAGTCCTTCCTGCCCTCAAAACTGAGTATTTCTATTGGTTGACTGTTCCTCAAAGTGAAAGTGTATGGGCCAAAACCCGTCTCGGCTCTTTTTAAACACCTTTTTCATATATTGAATATTTGGCATGTCAAATGAATACATTTACCCATTGATATTGAATGATCCCACCGCGATTCATTGTTATATTCTGTATTGATTGCAGAGAATTTATAGCATAACATTAAAAAAAGGTCTAAATTAAGTATAGGCCGATAGGGCAGTTGCTCAGTGTCCTCGGGCAACCGGATTTGGATCTCTGTCAACTATTTCATTTGGTCTGGTTGCCCCATTTGGCAACTATTTTTCTTGTGTTACCAGGACTCCTTTTAATAGTGCACCCTCTGTAAAATACTGATGAAAGTTTTGCTGTAACATTGATCTACTCTGTAAAAAGAAAAAATTACAAATGAATAGGCGATTGGAATAAACAACTTAAAAAAAAAACCATTGTCTAACATGGAACAGAAATCCTGAAATTAAAACGACAGAAAACTTGATAAACAGGTGGGGCAGCCAACTTATCAGAGGCAGAACAAGACACACCAGTAGCAAAAAGGGATTATGTTACTCTGAGTTTAAACATAGCAAAACAGGTAATACTGGAAATTCTTATCAATACTGTTCTGTGTCTGCATCTGCAGATAAAAACAGGTTTAATCCGACAACTGGCCAACTACAATAACATACTGCAGTATTCTGCATGTGGTCATTTATCCTATTTATACATTATCTTGCACATCTTCTACCTAAAAGTAGTATACTTAACTGTTTATTACATTTAGTGTAGGTAGTAAAGCTGAGCCACTGTGAGAGATTAAAGATGTTTTACTTTTAAGGCAGTGCTTTGTTAAATAAATCAGTGAGATTAGTTGCAGCAACCTCCTACAGAGTTTTAGTGATAAATTTAGGCACCAATAAAAAATAAAACGGTCTGTTAAAACTGCCTTGTTAATGCCACATTTAAACAGCAGCGTTATATAAACAGGTATTTGTTCTCTCTGGATGTTTGTGTTTTAACAGTTAGGGTAGGTTTGGATGTCCTCATTAACATTGACGCTTACTGGTTTAGTTGAGGCATCTAGACGCTGCACCATTTGTTGGCTGTGTAGCGATAAGACAGATAGATGCTTCTCTATTTACAACAAGTTATGGGTTCTGCTGGAATGCCTTTAGGAATGTGTTGTCCAAAACAATTAAAAACACATACAGGAATCATGCATTGCATTGCAGTTTAGTCCTACCCAAACTCATTAATTTAAACAGTGTGAAGAGCCAGCTTCCCCTCGGTGCATGCACATTGATGACAGAGGTCAAAAATGCAGCCACGGAGAAGTTTTAGAATAAATCACATCGACTGTTCATTGTATTAAGGAATAATTCATTGAATTGAATGACACTTTTGAAACTTTAAACTATGATTTTTTTTTCTTTGTCTGTCTGTTTACTTCAACTCAACGTTCCACCACAGCATAAATCTTTGAGTGGGATAGTAATCCTCATCACCCCTCCTTGGAAAAACTACACACTGTGTGCACAAACAGATAACACTAACTGCCCAAAGTTTTCAGCTTAGTCATTCCAAATGCACACAGAAGGAAAACACACAAATAATGCACCAGACGTTTAGCTAAGATTTACATTACTTTACTCTAGTCATGCTACTTAAATTCACACTGAAATGTCTCTACAACTATTGCTTGGGTTGCAGTCAAATTTGGTGCAGACATTAATGTTCCCTGTAGCATGAATCACAAACATTTTGGTAATTCCCTGATTTATTATTTTTTTTATGTGGCCTCAACTACAGGTTGAATCGCACATTATCAACAAGACTAATGTAAAACTAATAAAATAATTCCCAGCAACCTCAGCTGTACTTTAAGATGAGGATTTTACCCTTAGCATGGCACACTAACCTGCTAAATGTCAACATCTACCATCCCATCTGTATGCATTCTAAGATGATTACACGTTAACATGTTTGCTGACTACACAATATCAAAATATTGCAGTACACAAATTAGGACTGCAAGTAATTATTTTCATTATTGAATAGTCTATAAATTAATCATTCAGTCTATAAAATGCCAGGAAATGGTGTCCTCTCCCATTATCCAAGGTCTTCAAATGTCTTGTTTTGACTAACAAGAACCAAAAGATATTCAGTCTATTTTCACAGTGGAAAAAAACACTAGCTGGAAGCAGCGGATTATCAAAATAGTTGCTAATTAATTTTCTGTCGACCGACTAATTGTTGCAGCTCTACACAACGCTCATTATGCCACACAACGCTCATTATGCCGCACAACGTTAGCAGAGAGCTCTTTGAGTTAACCAATTAATCAAGAGTAAACTAAATATTAGAAACAATTTGCAGTGTAACTCAATAAAATTAAAATACAATCACAAAGTCAAAACCTATAAAACAGTTAAGGAAAACAGAATATTATAGCTTTAACTAGAATGTCTTGCATTACACAGTATTGGTTTTAGCTTTGTTATTCTAATAAAGTGGCAGCAGGGAACAGTAGAAAGCAATTTTACTTGTACGTAACAGTGCTATTTGTCCTTGGGATAATTAATATCGGGGCAGGAGGGTGAAATTGTTATTCCAGTATCATCCTTTTGTCTTACAAGCATAGCAGGTATCAAAATGTCCAAACAACCGTTAACAGTTCAGATTAATTAAAAATAAATGTATGTTTTTAAGACTATATCAATAAACGTAACGTTGTTACCACATTGTTGAATTGCTGAGAAGTTGCTTTTGTGTGGTAGCACCTGTCTTTAAGCAGAACAAATGACAGGGATTCCTTTCTTCCAGTGTCACACTACTTTGAGTTTCATGCTTTGTAATCATATGTCACCCTATTACTACATCACAGCAATATGCCGGCATATTGGCATGCTCCAGAGATTCATTGAAAACTAGTCTGACCTTATTTGTACTGGCACTGAAGCATTTTCATGCTCAGCCAAGTTGTCCATTAATAACTGCATACCAGTTTAAGAGAACAGACCCAGTAGTGAGGCCCGTAGCCCTTGTTATTGTTAGAGTACATAGATTGTTGAATCAGCAATCAGTTTTTGGGGTATTATGGCCGTGGTATACCAGAAAAGAAGTGGTTAGTAGGATGTTCCCACATTGGGAATCAAAATTGTTTATACCTTATCTGAATGGCCACACTCTGAGGCACAAGCCAACCGTCATAGAGAAGAGGGAGACTTCATTATATTGTTTAGAAAATGGGATAATTGCACATTTTCAGACAGTCCCTCCAGGAAGTCATTCATAGTGTTGCACTTAATTGTACATGTTAAAAGTACCAACAAATAGTCATGTATCAACCGAAAAAAAGAGACCAAGAAAGAAGTTCAAATCCGGGGTACTTTCTTCCCTACGCACAGATAGCCAGTCATGGCGTGAAGTAGGTGTGAATGTCAGATCATGTGTTTTGGAAAGTTACAGAAATGGCTACGTGCACCGCTAATACAACAGAAAGATGTGGGGAGAGGGGGTTTCCCATAGCTATCTGACAAGCAGTTCTGATAGTCCCTTAATAGTAATGTGACTCATTGAAATCCATAAAATCTGAATTGAAACATGTCTACTGTATATTCAGACACACACTTCAGTGATTACTCTGGTGTATATTGGGTGACTGGGATGTAGATTAAAAGTCCATTGCTTTGTGTTGACAATGTCATGTGGAAGATCGATGAATTTGGCTAAATGTCACTATTTATGTTTTTACATTTTTACTACTTGTCGAAGATAACAGATGTGGCCTTGTTATGACCCTGGATTCAGTTTTAGGGTATTCATGTGTATTTGGTCAAAGCTGTTGGTAGCAAGTTTTTACTTGACTGATGATTTACAATGCCTACATCTGTATTTTCATTTACAAAGAGAAATTTATATTCCAGAATCAATCCCTGGAACATCCTGTTCTGTGTTGTACCAATACATAAATTGTAGTAAAGCTTATTAAAATTATACATATCATATTCTAATACTCTTTCGGCACTGCTCTTTGTTATGCTGGGCCCTTCCTATAGCCCTGATGTGCGCGTGTGGTGTCGTCACTAAACTGTGTTAAAATCATACAGATGGCTAATTTGTTGTAATCCTCAGTCCAAACGAACAGCAAGGGAAGCTTAGTGTGGTACGTGTGGCATGCCTGCAGAAAGAAGCAAAGGGACATTCTTTCTGTTGTGATTGTATTAGCCATCCCAAGGCCGTTGGATTATGGCTGGCTGTTTGTCGCTTGTAGTGCCATTTCAGCAATGTGGGCCCTCGCGTGGGGCCTCGTTGGCAAAGAGTTACATATGCTTGAGCTGCACTTTCTTTTCTCTGTGCCTCCCCTTTCACGTTGCACTGAGAGGATTAACGGCATGGCTAGTGAGTTCATTTCACCTTTTCTCCATTGCTTTGTGTTTTGTATGCACATGTGGACACTTGCGTGGCACAGTGCGGTGTTTCCCCTGATGGATCATCTGTCAGGGGTGTAGTAAACTACAGTTGATAAAACATATAAAATAGGAATGAAAAACAGTAAAACAATGTTCTTCTAAATAGATATGATCAATAATGGGAGAGGCAGGTAGAGCAATTATTACATCCTGCTCTAAATTTCTTTTTTCTTTTCTTTTTTTTTCTTTTTTAAATCTGTCCAGACAGAGCACACCTGTGTAATTCTTCCTCCCTATCCCACTTTTAATTACAGTGTCAATGCCTGTTTACCGGCTTGTTGGTACTCCAATAATTAATGTATTCCAAACAGACACCTCTGAGTGCTAATTGAGTTCTGTTGGGTGCAGTGGCAGAATCTTTGGTTAACGGGGTGGAAACGATTACCTAATGCTGATAAAGTCTCAGTTTGAATCCCATATGTAAGGTTGGGGGGCGGGGGGCAGTCCACATTATGTTACTAGCAAGTCATACCAGAAGAAATTGTTGTTGTGTTCTTTGCCAGTGATTAAAGTTCATGTGAAATGGAAATCGGAGCTATTTGCTTCTGCATATTTACGTATTTCCTGTAAAAAGAGCCAGTTGTGGAGGAACTTGGTAGCCAGTAGCGGTATGTGTTATGCCCTCCAGTTAAGCAGCTGTAGCGGACCCATTAGCTGACTCTCCCAGTACTAGGACCTACTAGTGAACAGCACTGCAAGACCGGGACTGAATGCAGCATCCGATGTCAACGGAGGGCGGTTAGCAGACGGAATGAAGTACAGAGATGTCTTTGACCGGGTTTGGCTCCTGCCGCCCTGGCGTTTAAGTCATAAGCTGCACGAGCTAACTAACAGCATCTAACAATACAGGTAGCCTCTTTTAGCAATGTGTCCATATGGAAACTCTGTAAATCACCTTGGTACCACTGTGGTGAAATTGTTCTCTGCTGAGCCCCATTCGGTTGCATGCAGATACAATAGAAGTTAGTGGAGTTGAGGCAGAGCTGCCAGAGAACATCAGAAGGAAAACGAGAAAATATTCTCTCTATAAAATATCTGTATCTATCTGTGTCTCTCTTGCACACACCCGCTGTTGTCCCGCCTCTCTCTATAGGTGTCTCAGTTGACTTTCTTCAGTAACTTTTCTAAAGTTGCACAAAAAACACAACTCGCGTTCGGGATTCTTTCACCCATGATTCTGTTTTAATAACAGCAGGCGAGCCACTTGTGGAGGAGGCTCGTTGTTAATGACGGTGCCTATCAAAACAATCGAAAACAACGTGGTAAAGAATGATAACTGTACCAGCTGACGTGTAATGCTGTACACTCTTGCTTTAACCTGGTCCGTGCTGGTAAAATAAAGACAGAGCGTCTGTCTCTGTTTCTCTGCATTATGACTGTCACTAGACTGCATAGGAGGGGCACAGCGAGGGCAGATTGTCAATAGTTAATCGATCGCGGATACTTGTGCTGTGAGTGAGAGATGCTTTGCTGAAGCAACGGCGCAAAACACAATGTGTAAAGAGTGTAAAAAGTGTAAAAATATTTTCAGTTCATTATGAAACTATGGGTGCCCATAATCTCTGACAAATGTAGCAGTGTTTATGCGTTTTGTGACTGATCATCATTTAATTATAAATAATGAATTTACTGCTGACAGGAGGAGAACTCGTTAACTTTCTTTGTCTGGATCTGTTTAGTTTTCAAAATCACAAGCACTGAAGTCAAATGTTTCTGTCATCCAAGAGGCTCAGACTGCTTCTTTGAGTTTCATTCTGTCTAAAAAAAAAAAAAACATGAAGTTAGAAGAATATATACACTTGCTTTGGGTTGTTTTGACGATGAGTGTGCTTTGTGTTCTTCGTTATATCCTGTGTTAACAACTCAAAAACCCATTTCACAAAGCAAACAGTCCTGGAATCAAAGCTCAGCTGTTTGTGTTCATGGTTTATGTATAACACTTCGTGACTCATCATTTCATGTTGTACTTTACCAGTTAGCATTTCAGTCTTGCTGGGTGATTACTGACTAATGAGAGCCCTTGTATCTAGATATCAAGTGACGTGTCTGTTGAATCAGCTCCAGCATTGATGGATGGCCTTCTCCTTCACTGTGTAAATTATTTGACTTTACCCTTGATTTGATCTTTTCCTTAAATTAATATTCAAGATTCACTAGTTCACATCAGGAAACAAATGTGTTTTGAGAGAAGTGGTTTTCACAATATTGCCTAAACTAATGGTGTGTATTGATTTCTTCCAACAGTACATCTTCGGGGAATTCAGCCCTGATGAGATCAATCAGTTTTTTGTGACTCCACGATGTTATGTCGAGGTAAGGAGCCGGATTACAATTTGCTTTTACATTAATAAATCATTATCACATTGGGTGGCCATGTTGGTTCGCCTTTTACAAGAAGATTCGGTCGTCGCTGCTGGTTCTACAGCAGCAGCAGTAGTCCTACAGGTTCTGCAGGATCTACTTGATGGAAAACAACTTCATGGGAAATGTAATTTAAACTTTGGCAAATATTAATCCTGCACTGCTTTGGAAATAAGGCTCCAGGTTGGCCAAAACATGTTATTACAAACGTGCCACGATTATGCGACAGTATTGTCTTTTTGTACAAGTTATGCGTTTGATAATACTGTCCTCTTTGGTTCTTTCCATTCCAAAAGGTTTGTAGATATTTACCTTACTTTTAACCATTTGTAGCTTCTGCTATCATTTCTAAACTTTTTTTTTGTCTCTTCACAGCTTCCTCCGTTCAATGACAAAGTACCATGCGTCACTCAGTCTTCTGGTATGTACATTTCCCTTACACTAGATTGTTGGATAATGTTTTTATGGTTAACATTAAATTACCCTACCCTCTCTCAGGAGCTGAGTATTCTCATGCTCTTAGTTGACATCACTGTAGTTTTTCAAAGCAGGTCTATTTTAAAATGTAATATAGATTTGCCTGGCAGGGAGACGCTTTTCATGATCATTTTTTGCAAGTATTTATACATGCAGCATATATTGTTTAGAATGAATTACAAATTCATATAGATATTGACAGTTTCATTATTTTAAGAATATGATTAAGAATATTTTTATTCTTTAAATTTCAAGCCACCCAATTGAAAATGTATCGCTGCCACCTGTCTTTGGAATGGTACCAGTTTGCACATGACATTTGCCTTACCTTGATTTGTATTGATTATTTAGGAAGTTACTGCACTCCTGCTGTACCTTATATTATGGAGTCTATGGGACTGCAGGTTTGCGGTGAGTTGAGGAGTCTGACACCCTGTGGCTTGACTAGCTGTTGTACGTTTGCTGTAAAACTCAAAATCCAGGTTTCAAAAACTGGTGGCTTTCTAAACCTTGCGCCTGTATTCTTTCTCTTGCCTGTTGGTAAAATCTGTAGAGCTTTGCATGCTCAAGATACTGTCAAGTATCTTATCTTCTCTTGCATATAATGCATTTTCACCACTGCAGGGCTCCGAGTTGAATTGAAATCGGATTGAATTTTTGTATGATTTAACAATCACGGTTTATTTACTAAGGGCATAGTGATGATTTTATGTGGTTGCTAACGTGTGTACATATTTAGCCTTACATTAAGTTTTTACTGCTGAATGCATTTTACAGTCATGAGTGTGATTTTTCAATAACACTAACAGAAGATTTTCTAATCCCAGTAGAGGAAGTAACTGCTGTTTTCATACTTAACCCCTGCAGAATATCAGGGTTTTACAGTTTCGGTGACCAGTCAACTGTGTCATGAGTCTTTTGGATGATTTTTCTGGTCTGCACTTACTAATGTTTCCTGTTTGTTCACCTTCTCACTTTGCGCCTCTCACTGCATAATCATTTACTATTCAAGCTGCCATGCAACACATTTTAACTAAACAATGAAGTACATCTCTTTTGTAATTATGACATACATTTGTTTGTGTAGGTTGTTGTTCTACATTGGTGGTGGTGCATATGTACATCATTGATGTGCAGTCCATTATGAAAATATTCAGACCATTTCACTTTTGGCATATCTCTAAAATATATAAGATGTTTCAAATGTATTAATCTTATGAATGTATAAAATTTGAATAAGCCTAACTGAGTTAAGTAACTAATTAGTTTAATTTGGCATAGTGCCACACAAGCACATAGCAACATTTTTATATATATTAATATATATATATATTAAATCATATTTTAATGAGATGTTGCCATCAGAATACAAACTGTATCAAGCATGGTTCATTTACACTCATGGTTCATTTATGGATGACATTTGAGTGTCAAATCAGAAAAATGTAAATTGTCATCCTGCTATCACAATTTAAAAAATGCACTGTTGGAAATATTTGAATCCTCTAGAACTGGACTTTGCAATCTATAAAATAATATTCTATAAAACTTCACTAATGTTTGAAGGTGGGTAGTGCTGTAAAGGAATGTTTAAGGTAGGCCTGTTAATGTCTTCTAGTATGCCAACATTTGTCTTGTTCTGTTTTGTTTGTTTATTTATTACTTTAATCTATATTTAGTAGTTAGTTAAATTAAGGTAAGCCTACATCATTTTTATAGTGAGGAGTTACAGTAAATCCCATGTGCCTAGTTATGGTCTGTCCATCACTCTTACAGGTTGCAGTATATCAAGATTTTGTCAAGGGACCTTGAGAAAAACAATTAGTGAGAGCTACTAAATGCAAACGCATAACCGATAAGATGTTAAAAGTTTTTCCTTTTGTGGCAGATTAGCCCAAACAGAACAAAGTTTTTGTAGAAATATTATAATTTAAATTTATTTCTATACATTTCACCTTTTAAAGTACACTGTTAACTTTACTTTACTGCACATAATTCAGATTTAGATTCTTACTCTTGGGATTAATAACAATATTTTTTTCAAAAGCAATTGGAATCGGTTATATTTTGTAAATAATGTCTGCTGCGTGTCACATGGCTTTGTATCAGAACCCAGATTTAAATGGTAGTAAAATCCAGGCCATGAACAAATAATTCAAGACCACATACATGCCTGGCAATTTGATGACTGGCTTCTACCTATTAGGAAATTAAAATAGCTCAAAGACAATATTGTCTCACTCTAATTGAAATGTTAAATGTTGAGTCACCCCACTTCTGGAATTGTTAGCAACATTCCTGGGATCCACATAAGCCCAGAAGGAATGTGGTTTAGTTGAGCAAAGACACAACAGTAGTTGTGGAGCCAAAAATAGGTCCATCAGGATTTTTTTCTTCTTCTATTTATTGGTAGGTCTGATCCTGTCAGAAAGCTCCCACGACCCCTTTTAAGGTGATGACGTACTTGTTCAGAAATGAGGATTTTTATACCAAACTCTGCAGCAGAGAGTAAAATACAACAGTGTCTGTCTTTTTATATTGAGGCTGTATTTGAAGACAAGATTTTGTGTTCTAATTGATTATTGAATTGATGTTTTCTGCAGCAGAAGACTATCAGCGCATTGAGTTTGGCGTTGACGAGGTGATGGATTCCAAGCCTATTGGGGTGAATGATCCTTTATACAAGGTGTCGAGCACCCTCAACCCCCAGGCTCCAGAGTTCATCCTGGGCTGCCAGTCGACCCAGAAGGCCCAACAGACAGCTCCTCCAGCAGCTGATGTGCCTGATGGAGCCCACTTCAACTCGCTGGATGGCCCTGACTCGGAGGCCTCAGCTCTGGACAATCACCAGGCCTGCCAGGACATCGATGGACTCCCTGGCAGCCTGGGACAGCGAGAGAGAAAGAAAAAGAAAAAGCGACCGCCTGGGTATTACAACTACCTGGACCCATCAACTGGCAGCAGCAACAACAGCAGCAGTGCAGCAGATGGGACGCCTGTGACAGCACTGGTGAACGGACATGCACTCGGTGGCCCACACCACAGTGCTGAAGATGTGGACGGTAAGGCGTTGTCAGGGGCTGAACTTTCGACCCCTGGGTCTGTCTCGGCGGCAACATCAACAGCTGCTGTGGCAGCAGCCAAGTTTGTCCCTACATCCACTGCCAATCAGAGGACTTGTGATAGCCCTGATGACTCTTCTTTGGAATTAACAAGTGGAGCTGCCTCTTTATCAGATGGCAACAATGCAACTTCCTCCTCTTCATCCTCCTCTCAAAGCAGAGGGATGACAGAGGGACCGAGGACTGCAGATCAGCAGCCAGATAATTTTGCTCCACAGAGCCCCGAACTTTCAGATACTCCACACAGCCCCCGCTCCAAATCACCTTCTCCACGTCCTTCAGCTGCTGCGGCCGTCTTCTGTGTCGCCACTTCCATTGTGACTACTGAACTGGAAGGAAGGGAGCTGGCAGACAGTGGGGTGGCCAATGGGCTAGCAGAGCCTGATACTCCCGTCAGCACAGATGGACAAAAAGAAGACTGTGAGAGTGGGGAGCAGGCTCAGCAGGTCTCCCCTGACTCTGCTGCCCAACTGGTAGTGACAGAGCAGGCCCATTCACCTGCGATTCCAGCTGCCCCTTCTGCCAACCTCCCCAAATCTTGGGCTAGCCTCTTCCACAACTCTAAGCCTCTGCCTGGGGGCCCTCAGGCCTTTGTGGAGGTAAAGAATGTTGTGGAAGTTGTGTCTCCCTCCCTCGCTACGCCAGAGCAGCCTGAGAAAGTTGGGGAGGTCAGAGATGGCCCTGTCCACGTATCAGAGGATCCTATGGCCCCTAAACTTGCAGGTATTATATGAAGATGCTTGTTGTATATGTTTAAAAATAGCCCATCGTACTTGTTTTATGTTGTTTCAGCTTGAAGTGTTTTGCTGCAAGAGATGCCTGCAGTACTGCTAAATTCACTCCCCCTTCCACTTGGTGGCAATGTTGAGTCAATTGTACTGTTCCTACTCCTTGTTATTTCTATAGGAGTCTTAAGCTTTTACACATTTGTTGTTTTTAGAAGAGTAGAAATGACCAGAGTTCATATTCTGCTGCTTATTATCCTTTATATCTATGAATATTAAGTTTGAGTTGCTCAATTGCTGAAGGTTATAGGCATGTTGCATTCATGTTCAAGATATTCAAGAAATGAACACTAGATGGTGGTACTACATCCAGAATAGCTGTCAGATATTAAGTCATTAGTCAAATTTGTGTTACCCACTTTATCTCATTACCCAACACCATTATCATTACACAAGTAGGCTGGGAATACTTAACAAGGCCCACACCTTTTGTTAGCAAAATAATGTTCTCCTCACAAAGCTATTGCACAAGTGGAGGATTTCTTTTCTCAAATGTTTTAAGGATTCTGTTATTATCTCATAGAGGCATCTTCCTTTGGGCTATACACCTATGTGTCTCCTCTTAAGTGTGGTATTTAAAGAAGGACTTACAGTATGTTGTGTGCAGTTTAGATGCCATGAAATATGGTAGTTCACTTTGCATTATTTGAAAGCCAAACATTCCCTTTTAGCTGCAATTTAGATGTTTAAGAAAGGGAGATTTAATACCCTGTAAATACTGTTTCTTAGGTACATGATGGCCTGACACACACACAACACATCTAGGTACATTTGTTGTTTAAAGAAATCTACAGAGTCACATTCACTTAGGTGGAACCGTATCATTTCAGCCAAAGAGGAGAAATGGTTTTCTTGAAACATCTCATTGATCAGATCAGGTTAGAAAATAAACTGAGGCTAAAGAGTTGTGGTTTGGCTTCATGTAGAAAAGGATCAGTTGAAGTGAACACACAATCAAGCACAGTTTAGTGTGATTTTGAGATCACTTTGTGGTTCATTTATTTCAGAACTAGGAAACAGAATTATTGCTTTGCCAGATCATTCTAACCTGTCCCCCCCCCCCTTCAAGTTATCTTGTCTCCATCAATGGAGCTTTCTGTCTCTGAAAAGTGTGTGCAGTATTTAAGATTTGTCTGTTTTAGATTATCTGATTATGCTGCATGTATGTACACAGGTTTAGGTTGATTTACAGTACAAAGGTATACCTCATTTGTTTCTGTCTACCCAAACATTTTTGAGTTTGAGTTCCGCTTTAAGCACTTATGTCTAATTTGAGATTCCAAGTTTCATTTTTAAGTAACTTGTGTGTTCCTTTTTTGAGATGAACATTATACTTATGCATGCCTATGAACCAGAAAACCTTGTATCTTTATCTGCAGGAAATGTTTTCCTTAACTTGACAGCCATCAGTCATTACAGCATAAAAACAGTAGAACTACTAGAATTACATGTACTGTAAAGCAACAGTGGGTCATATTGACCTTCTCGACTCCTAATTGTTTTTTCTGTGGGAGAATGGTGCGACATATTGAGATTGCAAATGTCTATCCGTCTATAATCAGCAGTATGATTACAGATGGAGAGCAATTTGTCCTCATTGTTTGGTATACTGTGTCTTTTTAGTTCCTAATCAGTTTTTATTTGAATGCTTTCATTTGATGTTAAGTCTGCGCCAGTGTTGAACGTCACAGAGCTCGAAACGCACAAACCCGCTTTGAAATGATGCAGTACAAAATAATAAATATATAACACAGTAAAGTCGCCACACCTTTCTCCTACAAGAGAAGTAATTAAAGTCTTTGTAGTATGACCCACTGGCACTTTTTTGGTTTAAATACTTAATACTTTTTTCTTATTTGCTCTAAAACCGCATTACCTTAGGATATGTTTAATAACACAGTCAAGCCCTGGCATGATAAATGGGTTATACTTAACAGAGCTACATACATTTACAAAAGAGAATTGGGTATGTTTAAAACTGAAGTGGTTCCAGTGTAAAGTGAGCTCAGTGATTGTTTAGTTCTGGTAATGCTGAATGATTACTTAGTACGTAAATACAGGGGGAAAGCTGCACAAGCTTTAACGTACTAATGATAAATTTGTGTCGTCTAACGTGTATATGTCATTGGTGTTACAGCTGCAGAGACAAAATGAATGATGTTTTTATCAATCCATTGTGTATGTCCACGTTACCATGGGAGCTGTGTTTTTGAATGACAGTCTCCCTTCCTAGGCGTGGTACAGTAAGTCCTTGCTCCTATTCACACCGTCTCTAGTGCTGTTGTCACAAGAGGCAAGAATAGAAGAAGGGACATTTGTGAAAATGTAAATGAACTTCTTGTGATTCAAGTGTGTTCTGCTATAATGTTACTATATTGCAGCGTTATTGACTGACCGTATGCCCTCACAGAATCATGCTGACATGGGTTTTCATTGTTTATTGGCTACTTGTTTAAGAATGTTGTGTTTGTTTGAATCCCCAGAACTTATTGAGAATGTGAAGTTGATACATAAACCAGTGTCTTTGCAGCCGAGAGGACTGATCAACAAGGGAAACTGGTGCTATATCAACGCTGTATCCTTTCACTCTGCTTTTTGCTGCACCTGCCACTTCTCTTTTTTTAACCCTGCAACCCTGCGTTTTCACATGTACATGTTTGGCTTCGGGGAGCATAGCTAGCCCTTATATTGGTGATGAGCCAAATGCCACAAAGGATACATTTTGTCAAGTACCAGGCAAGCTGGCATGTTTGTTAAATCCTGAGCCTTTGTGTAATATAGTTATTTGTCTTTAGATGACACTTGATGAGAAGTGAGTTTCAGCTCTGCCAGGAAAATACAATTCCTTTTTGAAGGAACATATTATGAATGACAAATCTTTTTTATTTTATGTTTTATGCAAAGTACTGAATTTGAGACCCTTTTCACCTGATTGAAAAACAAAAATTCAAAAGACATCTCAATTTTACCAGCTACAAAATTACAGCACGGGATTGGTCAAATCAGAACTTATTCATCCATTGATACCAAATTAGAAATATTATAGCAGCTTGTCATAATGTTTCCTACATGCCGTCTTCCTCCCTGACTCTGAACACTCAGACCCTACAGGCCCTGATCGCATGCCCTCCCATGTATCACCTGATGAAGTCCATTCCTCTGCATAACGAAACGCAGAGACCATGTACCTCCACACCCATGATGGACAACTTGTAAGTAGCATTTGTGCAAGCTGATAACAGAATTGATAAAAATGTGTTTCATTCAAAGAAATCACCATTGTTTCTTTGTCTCCGACAGTGTAAGACTGGTAAATGAGTTCAACAACATGCCTGTGCCATCCAAAGCCAAACAGCAAGGTGAGATGGTGGACGTGGCATCTAAAGACATTTGGTATCGCTTTCTGTCAGAATCACTGATGTTTGATTTGTCTCCACAGCTGTTGGTGATAAGGTCATGAAAGACATTCGGCCCGGTGTACCTTTTGAACCAAACTACATTTATAGACTCCTCACTCTCATCAAGTCAAGTCTCTCTGAGAAGGTAAGCTGTGCTGCTTGTGGATCTGATACATATTCACTGCAAAGCACTGATTTTTTTTCACACTCTTTGATACACTTCCTCTGGAACATACAGTGCTTGAAGCGAATGTTCTTGTTTCACATTTTTCAATTAAAAACTTGACAACTCACCTGAATAAAGGCAGTTAATGCGTTTCACATGCTAAGTCGGTTCTGATTCAGGCTTATTGAATGAAATTGCTCAAATGCTCTGAATGAGACTCTTTTGATATTTAATGAGGCTTACGCTCATCCTGTCTCACTTGTAAAACACACTGTCTGTTTACCTCAGTGAATGACTGTGGATGCACTTTTTATGTGTGCGCACTAGTGTTTTTTTTATTTGACAGTAAGCATTCTTGGTAGAATGTTTTAATTGGTGCTGATGTCCTGGTGCTTCACTCGCAGGGTCGACAAGAGGATGCGGAGGAGTATCTTGGCTTCACTCTTAATGGATTGCATGAGGAGATGCTAGCATTGAAAAAACTAATCTCGCCTCAGGAAGAGAGTAAGCATCTTTTGACCACTTCCATATCAAAACCATGTCCCAATGACTATGAATTCCATTACTTTCTGCAGAATGAACTTGCACCAAAGTTGATGGAGCCTCTACTGTTGAGTTTGTGACGTTTTTGTGCAACTTGTTTGTTTTTCAATGAGATTAAAAAAATGAAGATATCACAGACCGGCTCGGAAACAAGATCAATGTGTTATTTACTTAAAGGTGCCACTGCAACTGACCGGGTTTGACCTGACAAACCTAATTTTTTAACAGTGGAAAGTGTCTCAAACTATAATAAATATCCACACTACCACACAAATACAACATTTCAGCTTTGATTACAAGTTCACAAGTTCCAAATGAGACTTGCGTCATCTGGTCAGTGTAGTATCAGCTGAATTACTACTGAATATCCTGCAACTTGTAAACTGTCATTGGACTCGGGAGTTGATTTTACTTCAAGGCTAATTAAAGTAATTTGGTCGTTGACCTCTCAAGTGTTTGTTTTTATTCTTGAACAGAAGCTCCCACGCCCAACGGGCCAGAGTCCCAGCCAGGTGTGGAGGAAGATGTTGCCGATAAGGAGGAAGAAGGTAGTGAGGACGAGTGGGAGCAAGTTGGCCCCAGAAACAAGACTTCCATCACTCGCCAAGCTGACTTTGTCCGCACACCCATCACTGATATATTTGGTGGCCACATAAGGTATGTTGACAGATCGTTCTGAAGATGTTTCAGAAATACATTTTTAAGTGACGTGAAAATAATGAGTCCTATGTTTATGAAGGAATTTTGATGGCTGCTGAACTAGATTTTTAGAAAGATAAAAATACCCTTATCCTCTGGTTGACTGTGGCTTCTGTTTCCAGTTAATCCACCATCCTTAGGATATAATTGTATAATCTGTACACCCGGTTTCCGCTTCTGACCAAAGGCTTTTGACTTCTGTTTATGGTGGAATCACAAATCAGTCCCTCCTCACTCCAGAGTCCTTCAGAATAACAGCCGCTGTGGGCCCATTGTGGTCAGAAGTCTGTGAATGTGTGCCCCACGTCTTGCTGTCCAAACAAAGGTCTTAACTTTCAGACAAATTGGAAAGTTAAGAACCTGTGCGGGTGTAGCCTGCCTAAATAATATGTTCTATGAGGTTCGGGCCTGGCACAGTCCTGGTCTACGCTGGTTGCACAGTGTCTTAAAGGATTATTTTCTCAGAAATGGTTTGCAACCAGAGAGAAATGGAATATAGGAGTGTATGTTTAGACTGTGGTGTGTACGCCCACTGAGCTTGGCCATAAGCCACTGACGTTTTTAGGCACTAGTTGGAGTAATTGGTTTGTGAATCAGTGTTACAATTTGACAATACTTTTTCTCAATCAAAGCTTCGTAGTGGAAGCATTCAACCATCAGGAGCAGCCAGGATATTGAATGTTTGTTTGCTTTCAAATCTTCCTGGTCAGATGTTGCAAACGGGATATCCTTGAAATAACTGATAAAGGGCTGCTCATCCCAGTGTTGACTGTTTCATCGTGATGAGCTACAGATGCAATTATATTAATACATTTTGAATAAATTAAAATAGAATTCCATAAGTGGTACTTCACAAATTAAGGATTGGGCAATTTAACGTTTGTAACAAACTACTTATACTCAGCAATGCAAGTTATGGAAGAAAATAGTTATTTTATATGGAAATATTTCAGTTGATATCCTGCCCTAATTGTCAAAAAAACCCGGGATCATTATTGTCTTACTTATTTCTTGTATTTTTGTTTTGTTTATTTATCAGATCGGTTGTCTATCAACAAAACTCTAAAGAGTCAGCAACTCTGCAGCCTTTTTTTACCCTGCAACTGGACATCCAGTCAGAGAAGATCCGCACTGTCCAGGAGGCTCTAGAAACCTTGGTGGCACGAGAGTCAGTCCAGGGCTACACTTCTAAAACCAAGCAGGAGGTATGAATAAAGTACACTTTCAGCTCGTGTTTTAGTTAAGATCAGTGTCACATGTTAGCAAATAAGAAATTTGAGTAATGAAACCATCTTGTAGGCTATTTTTGTGGTGACTTTCAGTGTTGTTAAGATTTATTATATTTACTGTTGTGGCGTTATTTTTTGGGAAAACATTTTTAGTTTTCAAATAAATCTTCTTTCATTGAGAGGCTTCAGTTCTTGGCATGTGCATGTGATGGTTTAACATATAGATGAAGAGTAACGATTGCTACACATGATTAAATAAATCATTTTTAAGGAAATCTGAATTTTGGGTTTTGGGTCTGAGTACACAAGATCTACTACTGAAAAAGTACTTGTCTGAAAATGGTTCAGTGAGTGAACATTAAGCTGGAACAACGGGTGCAGGGAACATCTGCTCTACAGCTGTGTAATGGGCATCTTTGTAGCAGATAAACCTATCACTCTGGTCTGTCATTTTAGAAACAGTTAGCTTTGGTCTGCAGCCTGGCTCTTGTTTTTTTGTACTTTTAAAAGCCCCAAAATGTAATCATTCACAAGTTACTGCTTTGAAGAGCTCAGTAAGCTCTTGCATTTCCAACAAAATGTAACTTCTTGTTCTGTTCTTGTTTTATTCCCTTTCCTGTTTTGTTTAGAAGTTTATTGGGTTTTATCTTCAGTCTACAGTTACAAATAAACTCTGGAGTCTTTTGATGTAGCTTTCTTTTATTCTTAGAATATGTTTTATTACCATCACAGTACGTTCTCTAATTGCGCGTCTTTTTGTCCTTGTTTTTAGATTGAGATCAGTCGGAGGGTGACTCTGGAAGAGCTGCCCCCTGTGCTCGTGCTCCATCTCAAGAGATTTGTTTTTGAAAAGACTGGAGGCTGCCAGAAACTGACCAAGAACATTGAATACCCCGTTGACCTGGAAATCAGTAAAGGTACGGACCCACATTTTACTGAGCACACCAGGCCTTTAACTTGATCCATGGTCTCTTGGTGCACTCATTATACTGTTTAAACACCAAGGTCATAACTTTAGATTTTCACTGTTGGAAAACTCAACATGATTGCATGCTGCGTGCAAATACATTTACACATGCTAACGAATAAAAACGTCATTTTTATATTTTTTTTTTCTAAAGATGATGACAGACGTACACAACATTCAGTTTCCAATCATAAGAACTCTAGCCTTGATGAAGGACAGAGTTAACACACATTAACAAGCTTCTCAGTTTTAGCTATAGATCATTTATTCCACGAGTTGGCCAAATCAACCTCAAGTGTCAGTACAATTTAAACTTCGAAAGAGATGGTTCCCAAGAGAGAGACTAATCTTTTTGATATTCAAGAAGATAGTAGTGTGTCTTTCTCAAGGGAAATGATCTATCTGCTGAGCCTGGAAGTGACTCACGACATTACTCACTGATCAAATCAGGTTGCAAAATATTATTATTTTTCATTATTATCAATCATTCTGAACAATGTCTCCAAGTGACTTTGAGGCTCCTCTGCTGTTAAAGTGTGTGCATTTTTCTGCAGTGTAAATCTTAGCCAGCAGCAGAATATGTTGAAACACATTCTGTATTTAAATATAATTAAAGCAATGCTTTAGAACTTCTTGTTCTAATCAGTAGATTTTTCTTACTATGATTTCCTTTCAGATCTCTTGTCCTCTGGAGTGCGGAGCAAAGTTGTGAAAGGCCAAAGAACTTACAGGCTCTTTGCGGGTGCGTTTGTGTTTTGTTGTTTATCTGCCGCAAGGGGTTGTAATTTTGTTGTTTATGTAACATATTGTTACTGTAGAAATTGTTAATTCACAATGATGTTGTCCCCCTTCATCCATGAAAATAATGATGCCGCCAAGGGTACTTCGAGAATTGTTGTCCCTTTTCTGTTTTGAACCAAAATACTTGTGGTTGACAGTTGTTTCATTTAACATCAGGAAGTACTCTGGAATTATAATAAATGATAATAAAGTTTTTGGAATAAGTCTTTGTTTTTGCTAAATTTGCCAAGCAATACTTCATCCAGCTGGAGTGAAAGCCATTTGTAGTTAATCATAAGTTTAGCAAAATGTGCTAAATAAATTTTAAAAAGACCAAAGCTAATACTTAATTATGATCGACTGTGATTTGGATTGCGAGCTATCCCTCTTTTTAGTTCCACAATGGAGATGACTGAATCAGAACATTTTAGCTCCATTGCACATCATTCTGCTGACACTACAATGCGCAAGTTTGAAGTCATGGAAGAGTAATGGCCTTTTAAATAAAATAACCCATGTCTCTAATCCTTTTTTCCCCCTGTCTCTCAACTTAACCAGTTGTCTATCACCATGGGAACAGTGCGACAGGCGGTCACTACACCACGGATGTCTTCCACATTGGTCTTAACGGCTGGCTGCGCATTGATGACCAGACAGTGAAGGTCATCAACCAGTACCAGGTGGTGAAGCAGACTGCAGAGCGCACCGCCTACCTGCTGTACTACCGCCGCGTCGACCTGCTGTAGACACACGCGCGCAAACACACACACCAACACATGCGCACACACACACACACACACACACACACACACACATGCGCACACACCAACACACACGCAGGAATACACAGATCTATTCACAAACGCACATAAAAACATACATGCTCAAAATGCACTTGTTGACATTACAGTACATCTACACGTGACACAAACACACACCAAACTAATGAACAGGAACACTGCCCAACTTGTTCTCTTGCAAGATTTTCCTCTTCTTCCCTCCTGTCCCCGCTTTCCTGAAAACCAGCTTTTCCAACACCTTTTTCCTTGTCTCTTTTTTCTTTTTGGAAGAAGAGAAACAAGCTGCATTCACAAAGATTTCCCTGTGACTGCTCTCTCTTCTCTGTGCACCACTGCTGTGTTTTTTTTTTTTTTTGTTGTCCTTTTTTGTTTTACTTTTAAAGCAACAAGGAAGGACTGTTGAATAGACGGAGGTGGGGGTTGGGGTTACAGGTCAGGACCTGAGACTCACCTCTGGCTGAGCCCACAGCTCCGCACAGATAGCAAACCGTGGACTCGCGAGCGCACACACACACAAAGGAAGAACTATCTACCACAGGCTGCAAGTGGACTGCTGGGGTTATTTCTCTTGTTTGAATAACCTTTTTAAGGAAATGACCCAGAAATATCAGTGTTTGCCTTTTAGTAAAGGAGAACTGTTGACCTAATGAATTTGCAGCAGTTTAAAAGCCTATTTGAATTTGTCCTAGTGCATTGAAAAGGCCCAGCACCAGCATTATCATGAGTCTCTCCTCCCAAGGCCAGATCGTCCTCTTCTCTGCCACCGACACCAACAACTCCTCCTCCTCCATTTCCTCACTTTTACGATGCTTTTAAATCTAGGTACAACTTGAGCCATCAAAAACAGGGAAAATAAGATAGGTGGTACATTGAATGGGAACTGAACAGCTTCCTTGTTTGAGAGATCCTTGTTACGGTATCTGGGTTTAGATTTAGAGAGACTATCTAAAAAAAAAAAAATATTAATGCGCTTTAGAATTTAATAACAAATAAGCTTCTGTGCACAAGGTATAAACTGATTGATGATTACAATATGACAGGCAAATGCATATTTTGCAAATATTTAGATTAAAATGTAAAAAAAAAAACTAAAAATATAAAAATCTAGCTGACTGAAAACTCGTTTGGGTCCTAAAGGACTGCGCTAGTTTTTAAACTCAGTTCTTGCACTGGAGAGATGGCAACCAATCAAGACAGATTCCACTGCAAAACCTGCCCTTGTTTACTTTGTACATTTCCTTCGTACATTTCCTTCTCTATCCATTCATTTTTTTTTTTTGTCTTTTACTTGTCGAAAGGTTCCACCTGTGTATAGGTGGCTTATCTGTGTAGTTTTGAGCCACACCACCCCTCTTACCCCCCAACTCAGCAGAAAGTGGGGGCTGCCTTAGGTTCAATGTGTGATGTTTTTCCACTCAGTGTACGAGTCTAACCCTAATCAGGCACCAACAGCAAGTCTAATGTCTGTGAAGAGTTAGGGGAATGTACCTGACACCTATGTATTTACTCTTTTGTGGCTCAGAATTTCCTCCTAGTCGAGGAAGTCTGAGTGTTGAGGGGAAGTGGGACTACATCTGTGCTAAGGTCTGCATAAAGACCCCGGACATGTGCACAAAAGGAGATAGTGTTTGCTTTTTTGTTGAAGATATTGATTTTTGGATCATTCATTGATTGTGATGATTTTTGTTTGAGTTACTAAACGATCTTAGTTTTTTTCTCTTTTTTTTTTCTTTTTGTCATTGATCATTTATTGGATGTCCCCATGCTCTCGCTCCCTTCAAAAAAATATGCTTGCATTTGAATTGGTGTTTGAAAAGAAATTACACAGGCTAAAGCACAACATTGAATAAAATTGAACTAGTTCTTTGCTTGATATTTATTTCCATTTTGTCATTTTCTCTTTTTATAATTTTTTTTTTTTTTTTTTTGCTCGACCCATTTCATTCCAACCGCCAGTGTCAGAATCTCAGTATTAACACTTCACAAAATGTAATCAGCTCAAGTATTTGTACGTGATTTAGGCTTGTGTACTTTTATCCACAAAAGTCCTCCTTTTTGTCTCAGACTTCACTTTCTCACACATAGTTGTCCATCAGTTAAAACGAGGTACACAGGCGAGAAGGTGATCGTCCCACGTTTTCCTGCTTCAGATCAAGGAGATGGTGCAGTGTATTTTAATAGCTGTGCAAGCATTTAACAAGTACCATACGGTACTTGATTGTGAGTTCACAAAGACTGATTAAGTTTAGTCATTCAAATTTGAAATTCAGTTTAAGTCAGATTTTTACCCAAATTACACAATTTCACATTAGATTTAAATAATTTTTACCTTCTATGTGATATAACATCATTATGTGGTGCACAGTCTCAATTGAATTTTTCTTGTCGGTTTCAAAGTGAGAAACCTTTCCCAGATAAACCAAAGGATGACATTATATAGGCCCCTACTGCCTTTCCTTCAGTATTCAAACTTTACTTTGCCTTCTCCATCCAATGTCTTGTAGCCATGTCTCGTCACAGTCCACGACTCATTCCACGCAGGAATCTGAGGCATGCTGTTTTATCTTCATCATAACTTTAATGATAGTTCAGTTGTGCTGCTGGCTTTGTAGTCATTTCTGCACAAATTGTGACATTTGTTGCATATTTTCTTTCCCCTTTTTGAGGAATGTTTGAGAGTTGGGACTTTTGAACGGACACCTTGAGCTTTCTGTTGTATAGTTTTATCGCAGTCTCTCATGGCTGGTCAGGAAATGTGCTGGTGAAATGCTTCAATAATGTCTCTCTTTTCAGTATGTGCTCCTAACACTATTGTCTGCTGGGAATTGTTGGGATATTGACCTAAAAGCAAAATCTATACTGTCTTTTAATTTTAAGCCTCCAGCATTCTATTTTGTTAATTGTTCAAATAAAGGATTGTGCAAAAAGCAGTTTGCTAATGAAGTGTAGTCAGAAGACTACTTGTCTTTCTTATAATACAGTAAATACTGGAAACATCTGCAGTCTCTACACTCTGGACTGGCCTACAGAACAATGTGCACAATAAACCAAAACAACAAAACGATCCACAGCGTCTTGGTTTACCACACACTGCTAATTGGTCTCTTGTTCCTGTATGTCAACATATACTATGTGTAGTATTTGTAGTATGTTGTATCTCCCCCCTCCTGAGGTCTAACTGGCTGCCTCGGTGCCCGCAGTGCTCTCTTTAGGGCTGAGGCTGAGCTCGCCTCAGTTTGCTTTAATGGGAAGCAGACCTATCGTTGAAAAATTTGCCATGTAAGGTTTTTCTGCCCTTTAGTTTTACTATTTATTCCTTCCTCGCTATAGCTCGGCCCTCCACCGAAATGTGGCTTTGTGCTCAAACTTACAATCAAGCGCAGTATTTTCCTTGTTAATGTCAGAAGGCAAGTACAAGAACTTTTTTTCCCCTTCTTCTTTTTACAGGCCCGCAGCCTGAAGGCCAAATTACATGTTTGGACACCCACTGATAGACCACCTATATTCACAAGTGTCTCCTTCAGCCTTTAGGGATGATGGCCTCTGTGTGTATGTAGCTACCCACAGGCCTTTTTAAGGCATTGAGTGCATAGGACACATTTTTCAACACAAGCCAGTAATTTGAATGGTCATAATGCAGCATCCACTGAGGGACTAGAACAAGAGGCAGAATTGGGAGAGTACTAAATGTTACTTTTTTGTAATATGAACATTACATTGTGCCATTTAGATCATTAAAGTGCCACTGGTCAAAATAATCGTTCAGAGTGGAGATGAGCAACCCAAAATTGAGTACTCTTTGGGCAACGAAGCCAAACCACATGCAGCAGTAGAACAATGGGGCCTTGTCACATCATCTGCCTATCTGCTCCACAACTGACTTATGACTGTTGAGTCATGTGTTTTAATAGACAGGAGACAGCCATTAAGCCCTGCACTTAACCAAGCATCAACCACCACAGCTCAATATTGAGAAAATGGAGCGGTGGAGCCTTCAGATCCAGTTCATCTAATAGCTGATGGATGCAGATTTCAGAATGCTCATGTTGAAGTTGGTAAATTGTAGTATTTTGGTAGCTAATGTAATTTATTTTGAGGTCTTAGTGGCAAGTTTAAAGTGTTCTTGTTCCAGTAAGAAAGTGGGTTTCACCCTGGCGGTGAGGACACCCAAATGGCATCCCATGAAAAATCTGAAAGGTCACAAGATGATTACATTGATATGATTAACTTTATTCTTCTCCATTTTTCTGTGAAATAATGTATATGTTAGGCCTGTAAAAAGCAATGTTGGAAGGAAAATGTCCAAAAGTGGTCACAAGAAGATGTTGCTTTACTTTAAGGGGGGTTACATAAAGGGGACAAGAGGGCTCCAACAGAAGTTTGTTTTGGGTGCTCCTTGACATATTGGGGGTTGATGAAAGCAAAACCTGAATATATGACCAGAGAAACTTAATGAGGGGTCGCTGAATGGTTTGAGTATGAAAATGAATCCTATAAAACCCAACTGAGCACTCGACAGTGTCTCTACTACTCCCTACATCAAAAGAATGTTTGTTTGCTCTTGTAGATCTTTTACTAGGACATTACGTTTTTCTTTCTTTTTTCGGGCTGTCCGGCTGACACTTTCCATCTACATACTGTAAATGGCAGTAACTTCTATCATGACTGTTGGCTCTGAAGTTTCTTGGTCAAACTACTGGCCTTGAAGGTTGGAATGCTTGGCATGTACTCCATTGGTGCCAGTCCTCCATTCAAGATATTGCAAACAACTAGAGATTCGGTGCAGGGCTCTCGATACAGAATTTGTCTTGTGTGCTTACATTTGATTAATCTGGCCCTCTTTATCCTCACAGGAGTGATTTTTGTGCATTTCCTGTTCCACTGTGATCCACCCACTGCTTTGTTTTTATAATCAGCTCTGCACACCATATGGTGTCTTCATTCAGTCTCCCCCAGTTTCCCCCCCCCCATGTCATTTCTGTCCGTCTTGTTGAGAGGTCCACCAGCACTCCACAGTTTCTAATGAAAGTAAACAATATTGCAACCAGAGTTTTAAGGACCTCCACAAGCCCCTGTCTAAATAACAGTTGTGTGTGTGCGTGTGTGTGTGGGTGTGGTGGATGGTGGTTCCCCTCAAACACAAAAAGAAAAACTAGGCTCCCACCTGTCCAAGATTATATAATGTCAAAAAGTCAAGAACAAAAAAAATGATTTTTGAGTGGTGATCCTGTTGTCTTCAACTGAGACGAATGCAGAGCTGTGAATTTCCATTTGTCCTGGTACAAATTGTGCATCTGCGTCAATGCAGCCAAGTAATGAATAACACTTCTGAGAAGAAAACCCCTTAGCCATTTGAATAGTCATAAATTCAGAGTTACACGATTACTAACGTTTGTCACAAGGGACTGACTGGATCAAGACTGGGAAATACCGATGGAGGTTTTCTCAAAAAAATAAAATAAAAAAAACAATCCTAATCCTGAATATCCTCTTACTCCCATTATAGACCGCTGTCTGATGGTAGTATTTTAAAAAGTTAAAAACAGGTGAAAATGTACTTCTGATTTTACAGTGTGTCAATGAAGACTTCAGTAAGACTGGATGTTATACAAGTAAGCCATTAAGTTGAATGCCAAAGTTGTGTTTCAAAAGGTCTGTGAATACCTGTGAATAAAGAGTTTGCAAATAACTGGTGCCTGCTGTTTGTGGATGGTCTTGTTTTAGTCACAAAGAGACAAAAATGCATAAAGCTGAAAATGTTTGCAACAAAATCCCAGCGACACCTTGAACATGCAGCTACTTTGGTTATTATAATATTATCAGAAATATATAATATCAGAAACATTGTTTTGGAGTATCCAGGTTATTTGTTTCACATACATCTTATTCTGGTTTCAGAAACCTGGATTTGCTAACTGGAGTTCTCTGATAGAAACCGGGATAATGTGGTTCATCCAGGTTTCTGATCACCGTTTGTGTGTATGTAGTTAGTAAAAAAAAAATATGGTAAATGATGAAAGATGAACACTGACATATAGAGAATGTTTGACTTCAGTAATGCAAAGAATGTCTTAATCCAGCTTCCAGGTGAGACCCAAACCAAACTGTTCATCCTCGACTTCTCGACTGTCAGTGCAGAAATAAGAGGCTGAGATATTAACCCTTTATTGGGCGAGGAACCATATATGGTCACTTCATTATGACGGTTTTAATTACACTTCTATGGCATATTTTGGTGGGTTTTTTTTATGGGTGATATACTAATATACACTTCAATGTTACGGCTTTCTTTCACAAATAATTCAAAGTGGGCTTGATCTTGATTTGCTTATGGCTTATTTATTACATATTTTCATAGTATATTGATGTGGCATATTTCTTTTGCAGCAGCTGTCTGCTCAGTCCTTCTGTGGGAAGAGGAAGCCTGCTGTGCCACAGATTGTTGTTGTGCCAGCCCACGTAGATATCATTGACTTTGATTTTCAGACTAAAACTGACTTTTTCAAAAAATCAAAACAGAAAAAATGTCTTCTTATATCCACCAATAACACTCCAGGGTTGAAATTTTAAATTTCCAAGTATTTCAGTGAGTGCCCTGTAAAGGGTTGAATATTCAAAGCACCGGAGTAGTGTTATGATCATGTAAACCAGGAAATGGATAACAAGGTTTCTCATGTTCCCCGTGATCCTCACATCCTTAATATGATCAAAACTCGGTGTCAACACATAAAAACAGGACTTTTGGTGAAGAGTAAAATAACATGTATTATGGTCTAATCTTTTACACTTATTTCCCACATCTGGATCGGTTTATTTGTGGATAATAGATCCTTAAAGGTAGCTGCAGCCAATTCAATAACAACAGGATCTAATTGCATTGTTTGTAATCACTGAGGGTAATCTCTCTGTGGCAATTTCTAAATGACTCACCTGAAGGAGACAACACGCTTGCCCAGTAATGTTCTCATATCATTGGAAGTAATGCAATTACACATCTGGATGGATCGAAATCTCATCCACTCAGTCAAAATATCTCCATTTATAGAATCTCTGGATTGGTATATCACCATCCGAGGAAATTTTTTTTATTTAAATAAAGAATTGCACAATATCCCAAACACTGTATAGCACAAAGGATGACTTGTCTGACAAAATGAGAATATAAGGTATTTCTAGACAGAGTGCCTGGTATTATAGATGGACCTGTGAGGTTGTCCGATGAGCTTTATCATTTCTTTTCTTGTGTCTCAGAAATATAATTTTCCTCTGAACATCTCACTACAGACCATAGCCACCCTGGCTAGCATCTCTGTAGGACATTTAGGAAAGAAAGCAAATGCATGATGGGCCAGACTTCCTGTTAAACATGTATTTTGACTGAGTGCAGAGCCCAAACTGGCGGAGCCCTTGTGGGAAGGAAATCTGTCTGAGGGTTCAGTTTGCAGGCATTCCTTCTGAGTGGCTGTGTTCTTGTAAATATCTGAGATGTTTCAGACAAAAATCAAGCTCATGATGGAATACAATGTGAACTATTTGGGTCACAGCACAGCTAAACTTCTGCAGGGTCAGTGAGGAGATACGACAGTGAAGTGTGATGAACCCTGTTTTCAAAGCTGGAGATTTCCTCGTTCATCTGTCTTCCCCTATTTATCCTGTCTAACACCTGTCCTGTAATTATAAATAATGTTTTAATCCTGTGTTTACTGAAAGGCCAAACTTCCATGTGGTGAAGATCCAAATGAAGGTGACGTGTAGTAATGGCAGGGGCCTTCCATATTATGTTTTAATAATATACTAGTTCCCTAGAATTTTGACTAATGGCCTATAAAATGAGTGATGCAGAAGTTTTTCCAGTTTTTTTTCTCCGGACAAACCACCCAAGTTGATTTCACTTGATTAGCCCGTCTGCAAGATGACCTATGAATGCTATGAACTGTATGTAAAATAATATCACTCTTATCTCCTACACCTGGGTGGGTTTATGTGTGGATATTTTGGTCTGAAAAGGAAGCTGCAACTTCCTCAAAAACCATCAGGATCTGGCTGGTTGAAGGACAGCGGAGAGGTGACAGTGAATTGTCAGTAAGCTTTTCTGAAGACGCAGAGTTGTAAGAGTTAATGTCCTGCAGTGTTGGTAAAACTTTCATAAGTGATACTGAATGATGAGTGATCATTGGCAAAAAAATCAAGAAACTTGTAAAGAAAAACGTTGTATCTGATCACCTCAAAATAAGATGTGATTTGTTTTACGTTATAACAGAAATGGTATAAGGCACCCTTAGGAAGGGTGTAGAAGTAACTAATGGCTTTGTTAATAGTTAATAAATAATTTGCTTTGCTATTCACAAGAAAAACCTGTTGCAGAAACTACTTTTGACTTTTTAGACCACCACTTATTTCTAGATTAGTGATTCTGACCATTAGTGACCTGATATTTACAACCATTAATGAATGACTTTAAAGGCTTATTTGAAAAGGAGAAACCCTGCATACTTGGTGGTTTAACAACGTTTCCGAATGGAAATGGATTTCCAGCCAATGGATTTTTCACAACCTGGCAACCCAAAATGTTTATTATAAATAACTAATCTCTAAAGCATAAGTCAATTATTTATTAACCATTAATAAAGCCATTAGTTACAGTTTCTATTTTGCATGTTGTTTTGGTGGTTTTAGTTGTCAGTGTTGTGGGTCTCCCTGCCCACTGCTGTCTGTTTAATCTGTCATATTTGACGCGTGTCTGTAGCTGGTTGTGAAGATACATATCTGGGTAATAACTGTCACCCAAATGTGATTCAGAGATGGTGATCTAACTGCCTGCCGCTGACTCGTCTGACAATCCGCTGATTTACAGTATTTGTAATTTTCTTCCTGATATTATGGCTGCTCGTCACCGTGCGCACTCGGCGCGCTCTTTGCCAAGAACATACTCCCCTACTTCAGGGAGGCTGGCGAGTGGGGGAGTGAGGAGAGACAGTAATTTTTTCCTCTGGTCCTGAGGGGTCTCCTTCTCTATATAAGGCACTCTCAGCTGCTCAGAAGTTACTCAGCTCCTATGTGCTTCAGGAACACCGCCAACGAGCAGCAGCCCGGTCCTCTCACAAGGGAATAATAGCCTTAAGCTCTCCAGCGCGCAGAGGAAGCAGCTCCGAGATATCCAACCAACTGGATACTAACTGAGATAGATAGAGGTGAGCGACATGAAACATTACAAACATTTATTTGCACATATTATATTGTAGCTCTCAGGTACGCTGGGATGTAGCTGGGGTTTAGAGCCTGTATTTTATAACAACCCTGCAAAATTAAGACGCTAAACAGTGTACCTGGTCGGATTTGGAGACGGTACACATTATGCCTGATCATTTTGTGTGAATGAAACCTGTCCTATTCAGTCTATTTTTATTTTATCAAATGTATTGATTTACTCAGTATGACAATATGAACTTATGACACTAACAACTCTAATAAGTAGGTGTGGGTTGCAAACCATGCCAGTGTAAAAGAGGCTGTTGGCAACACACAGCCATTCATTGTGAGTCTGCAGCCTCACTGAGGAAATGTCAATGGAGCAGTAGCTAGCGGGATGGAAAACACTATATACGCACTAGGCTTATGAGCAAAGTAGAAAAGTGTTAGAAATGTTTATTTTAGATTTACAATAAATTGGATAGAAAATACATAAATTGTAGAGTTCTAGTGCATGTTTCTATGTGTGCATCAAATTGGTAACAATTGAAAGAGAGAAAAGAAAGAATCTTTAAAGTGCTCCCTGGCATGAAAAAGTAAGCATGCATCTATGAAAATGTATATAAATCAGTTTATAATATGCCAGGAGTTGCGTTTACATTCAAGTTCTTGAGGAGGTGGAGAGGAGGTCAATCCCTCTTCAGACCAGATACGAGCCCACCAGTAGCAGAGAGTTCCTGTAGTCCTCTGCTCTGTCTGTCACTCTGGTATAAAATTCGTGAGAGCCATGAGAAGGGCCCAGACAAAGAAGCTGGTAGAGATTCAGTGTGAAAAGGGGGCACAGGGAGAGGAGAAGGGTGTGGTGCCTGAGCTGCCCGCTGGCTCACAGTGCCCAGAGCTGGCACAGCATGTTGACACAGAGCCGGTGCCAGACCTCAAGCCGCCTTTTCAGCCAGAGGGAAAGAGGTGAAAGGATTCAAGGATAAGAGCAACCAGTGCGAGCTGGAGCTTGGTTTATTTTTTTCTTTCTTCTCTGATCACACTGACTGAGGTCTTGTCTCTCTGTATAAAAGTTTGTGACTTTGTGATATTTGGTTTTTCTCCAATCCTGTTGGTTGCCTTCCAGAGGGAGGTCGGCTGTAGGGTCACTTTCAGAGTATTGCTCCCGGATGCGTCAGAAATGCAGTGTTTTGTTCAAAGACAGACCCTGCTGCTCAGAGTGGTCAGAAAATAATCAGAGAAAGTCAGGAGACGAGGAGAGGTAGATAGTATTTTCTCAGTATAGTGTATGTAACAAGTCCAAAGCAAAGTCAGTGTCATGTTAATATAGATGATACAGCTTTAATTGCTCTTTTCAACAGGAACAACCCCAGATACTGGGGTTGGTACAGTAATAAGAGGGTCACAATATGCACAAGGTAATGACAGTATCAGGATGTAGCCAGTTCTGTGATGCACAACAATAATCTATGATACATCACAGTATCTGTGTAGAGAAAGAGGAAAAACATACATCTTACATTTAGATAATAACTTTTCAAAATTCTCTTTTCATATGTGGGTTGTGATGTTTTGTATTGTTAATTGAAACGTTTTTATTTACACACTTTACATACATGAGACAGAAAGAATATTAGAAACACCTTTCAGTGTAAGCCTCAAAAATGACCAAGGCATGAAAAGTGTAAACAATAAGTGAACAAAGCTTCTCAAAAGAAGGACTTATTTCAGGGCAGTTGCATTGGATTACATCAGAGCTTCTCCTATCTTATCAGTATACCTGATAAACTATACAGAACTGACAGGAAGCAGAACAGCTTCAGTCCTCAGCATCGCGAGAGACTCTGTGCCAGTTATAACACAATACAAGTGAAAGAATGAAGAATTATTATTTCCAAATCCATATTTTATCCCAGCGTTATCAGGAAAACAACTGAGAGAGGCAAGTGACAGATACTGATGGAAAGTGTTGCTGGGCACGTCTTCATACTTTTTCATACTTGTAATACTTTGTAAACCTGCATGTTTCAATGTGTGCATGTGTGCATTAAATTGACATCTTTTATAGTGAGACCTACATTTGTCTACTAATTTTGTAATTTGTACTCTGCTTCGTTGACTCACACAGTGGGGGAAAGACTCATTAAATGTTTCCTCCCTGCAGGCTGTGTCTGGGACTCTGAGGAGCGTCTGTCTACTGTAAAGTCCAACTCACAGCTAAAGTGTCGGAATGACCTTCGCTGGCATGACCTGGCTCCCTGTCCTCTCCCTCCTGCTGTTGTGCGTCAGGGACTCGGCTTCCCTCTTCCTGCCTGACTCCAAGGAGCTCAGACAGCTGCTGAGCCGCTACGAGGAGGATCAGAATGTCACCAGCAACAGAGCCGGCAATAGGACCCGGCGAGCCATCCGCTGGTCAGACCGTGAGGACATCATCCAGCTGCACAACAAGCTGAGGGGCGGTGTCTACCCCACTGCCTCGAACATGGAGCACATGGTGAGACATGTCCCATTACCCCAATGACCTATTTCACCATTATCCATAATCAACAAAGCTAATTATCAACTTTAATCTTTGGCTTTTCCCCTCAAAGAACTTTATTTGAAGTGTCAGCAACACTGTGCTCTTAAATGAGGCTGGTTATTAGGGTTTAAGGTTTTATTCTGCCTAGAAAAGTGGCGTTGCTGTAATAAAAACAACCTTTCCTCTCTGCTGGAAACATGCAGTAATGACGACGAGCCATTGCCAGCCTGCTGTGCTGCTCTTTTACAAGGAGGATAATAATGCTGACTCTGTCCTACCTGCAAACAGCTCAGCGCGGGAGAAGACAGGAGAGCAAGGGAGGTGCTGGGTCAAAGGAGGACAGAGAGAATAAGGCCAGAAAGAGGGAAAATTATGGGACGTGGCACATCAATGGGTAATACAGGAGAGGGATTACAGAATGTTATTGAAAACCACGAGGTTCATAAAGTTGAGAGAAGCAGTGGCGGGCTGTGTGTCTCTGGAGTGCGGTTGTAGCCGGGGAGGAAAGTGTCTGAAGATTTACTCTGCCCAGTGCTCTCTCAAATTCCAGCAAACAGGCAGTGTGTGTGTTTGTGTTAGTGTATGGGTGTTTGGGGTTACAGTGGTGTCTGTGTGTGCATGTTTTAGCGACCACCAAAAGGCTGGAAATTTACTGAGGAGATGTGCTTTGAGTGGCCATGCTGTACGCAGTCCTCCCTCCCTTCATAGTGCCCCCTCCATGGCGGGAGTCAGGTGTCTTCTCCGCTTTCCACCCTCCTCTTCACCGCTGCAAAGAAACCCACTCAGGAAATGTGGATAATTCAGCTGTGATTGCTGGAGATTTGTAGTGGACCAGGGCCAGGCGCCAGCTGCTCCGCTCAAATGTCACCGTCTAAGGTTAATGTTGTACTTGTATCCAGCTCAGTTTCAGCTCAGGAAGGAAGGAAGTGCAGGATCTGAGGCCTTGAACAAGTTGCGGTTAGGTATCTACTAAGTCAGGACAAGATGTGGATTATAATGCTTCATATTGTAGCCAGTGCAGCAGGGGAATGATGGCGTGTCTTCCCATTGATGGCTAAAATAAAATAAGTGAAATCCTGGTGAGAAACTTGTTTTACTTCATGTGTGCAGATTTGGGATGATGAGTTGGAGCGGTCTGCCACTCATTGGTCTGAAGAGTGTCAGTGGGACCATGGACCTCAGGACCTGCTCATGTCTATTGGACAAAACCTGGCTGTTCACTGGGGAAGGTGAGACTTTATCTGTGTTCATTTTGATTAATAACAGGTGAAAATGTAACAGAAATAAAATCATAAATCAGATTCTATGCGTACTATTAGAATTTACACCAATATCAAAACAATATTTATAAATAGATTTATAAATTGTAGCTAATAGCTTTATTTTTGTTAATAAATCAATTACTAGTGTATTATTGATTGATGAGATCTATAAGCGCACAGTCCCTTTGAATTGGTGTTTGTCCTTTTTTCCGTCGTAAGTACCTTAATAAACGCTTAATAAGTTGTTATGTAATACATTCTGCAGCACTTTTGCACAATGTGATCGGTCAGTACCAAAAAAGTACTGAGCCTTGATAGCCGGCCCTTAGAAGCACAAATAGTAGTTTAAAGTTATTCTGTCACATTATCGACAGGACTTTTTATGTAGTTCTTCTTTTTTCATTACTTTGAGTATTTTCTGAGCATCAAAAGGAAGTCACTTCCTCATATCCTGTTAGCTACAGTGAAAATCTTGGTCCATTGTAATGTTTGAAGCACAAGCATGGGTAGAGCCAGTCAATGCTTGTGTATTAAGGTTGATGTTGGTGTGAATGAGTGTGTGTTTGTCCGAGTAGACACCAGACACAGTAGGCCTCTGTGTATGACAGTGTATGGCTATCGCAGCAGGTGCCCTTCCAAGAATCTGCTCTCATTCTCACAGCCCCTTTCCTCTCTCCCTATTCCCTTCTTTTCTTCCTGTGCCAGCAAACCCTGATGTTTTCCACTCCCCCTCTATCCTCCATTTATAAGCTCAGCACTTTTCAATACCGTAAAAAGAGATGTTTATAATAAGAGCTAGAACTGATTTGTTAGGCTGTGGAGCCATGTTTAGGTTTGCTTTGATTCTTTTTTTTTTTTTTCAACTTGATTTGATTTCCCCTGTTATGGAGGGGAACAGACTGCTGTTCTGTGTGCCAGGTCAAATCCAGACTCATCATTTGAGGCCTGAAGGGAGGGGAAGGAGCAGGGAGGTTCATGCAGTGTTTCTCAAGTCTGGCCAAAGCACCTGGCAGCTCCCTCAGATATTTCCCTTTTGCCCCTGGTACCTGGATGGGCTGTGACTGAGCCTACTGTGTGTCTGTCTGTGTGTGTTTGTTTGTGTGTGTGTGTGTGTGTGTGTGTGTGTGCGCGCACGTGTTCCCTACAGATACCGCTCTCCTGCCTTCCATGTCCAGGCCTGGTACGATGAGGTGAAAGACTACACCTATCCCTACTCCCATGAGTGTAATCCCTGGTGTCCAGAACGCTGCTCCGGGCCCATGTGCACCCATTACACCCAGGTGAGATAAATCAAAAGGAAGAGGGCGAGTGAAAGAGTTCAAGAGAAAATAAACTAAAGAGGAACTCCACTAATTTTGCCCATCAGAGTCTGCTTGTACGTCTTGGGGAGTACCGCTACATATGCAAAAGTGTCTAAAGCGTTTTGCAACTTCAGAGGGAGGTGTGTGAAGTCTGATAAATTGCCTCAGATGATGTCACTCGGGTCAGTGTCGATTGGGCCTGAAGACTCCAAGTGTGACAATGAAAAATATCTGGAGGTGTGGAGTTGGATAGAAGTGAGCTTACCAGACCTCTGTAACCCCTTCCTCATTTCTGCTTGAGTTTTCATTAGCTGCTACGAGCACAACACACCCGAATCTCTGAACAAATGCAGTTGAGCTGCATTGTGGGTAATGTAGGCACCAGAAGGAAGAAGAATGCATAGGAAAAAAACATATAATATCTCCGGTTCATCCATATCGTCTGCTGCTCTATCCATTCTGAATATGACTTTTATAGAAGTGCGTTGCTAAATCAGAGGTGTACTCCTTTAACAAAGCACTTGGCTGTGAGTTATAAGTTTACTTTTAACCTGATCAGAAATATTTTGCACCCAGTTTGGCGTCTGTTTAGGTTGAATTATGTTTTTCAACTTGCCTTTGAACCATCTACTATAATTTCTGCTAAAAATCTGTTTAGTATCAGGTCATGTGCCTTCTTTTATCTGTAATGTGGAACATACGTATGTCACATAACAGGTGTTGCAAGGCAGTATCAGAATACAACACATGGTGCGCACCTTGTATGATATTTCACAGTATTTAAGGGCATGGTTGTCAAGGGACTGAGGGGTTAAATGACAGGCATGGATATAATAACATGTAGAGGGTGCAAACAAGGATGTTGCAAGATGCAAGTAATGGAACAGAGAAGAGGGTGAGGACAAGGAGTAGTTGAAGAGTGGATGAGAAAATGAAGAAATCAATCAAAGGGAAACAGAAATGGGTGAGCTGGCATCCTCTTCCCCTAGACTTTACTTTGTAGCTGCTGGGATGAGTTTACAGAAACATCCAGGCTCCTCCCTCTGCCTTCACCCTGAAACCCGATCACTGCCATCTGGTAGTCATTTCCAGACACACCAGACACCCCTCGCTGCTTGACCTGGATTCTTCTGAAGATGCTGCAGAAAGGAGACAGTGCCAAATCTGTGCATCATCACCCTGCCTTTCATTTGCTGGAAGTGCTGATGTATCTGCCAGCCCAGGCAGTCATATTCCATAACTACCTGTGCAGAGAAATGCTGGACCTTCTAGAGTCAGAGAGTATATTGACCTCAACTACCAGCACTCAGCACACAGACTGATGTGTGCTGACTCACTGCTTCCAGTGGCCTCTAACTGTACCAGGAAAAAAGATGAACATTCCTGAGGAGGGAGAGCGCACATGTTTCAGAGTTTGGGAGGAAAGTGAGGAGGAGTTATGGAACATGCTGTGTTGTATTTGCCGTCAAATGGCACATCATTCATCTGTAACACCACTGCAGCAGCTTTCCATTTAATAAGGCGTTTTATTTTACCTTGGACAGTTTTGGGCCTACACTGACTTCTGTTCAGAGAAAATTGCCACATTTTTCCCACTTTTTACTGGATGATGAAAATGATTACGATTGTTTCACAGAGGGCAAACTGGGTTCACACATGACCTGACTGGGGCAGAAGTCCCAGTGGCCCCATTAATCGTGACTGCCAATCTAGTTGCTTCCTCTGGAATGACTGATTGAACCATGGGCAGTGAGAAATAAGTGAGGCAGGCGTACTCAGCTATGTGCCTGTCTATTCAGCAGCTGTTTGTACTAACTTTGGCCATTCTTTTATTTTCCTCTTTACAGCTAGTGTGGGCAACCACGAACCGAGTGGGGTGTGCTGTGCACGTGTGTCCAAGGATGAACGTGTGGGGAGAAATATGGGAGAACGCTGTTTACCTCGTGTGCAACTATTCTCCAAAGTAAGATCAACATTCCACCATGTTTCACTGTTCATCTACACCTCTGCTCTCCTGACTCTTGTTCACATTCTTCCACCTTACAATGCTGAGAAATGTTACAGTGTGTGTTCCTAATATAGCTGTACTGCAGATATGTAGCAGTAGACGCTTGTATGACATATTGGGGCCATTAAAATTCCTCCAGAAGTCAGAATAGAAAAATAATAATGAAGCACAGGGAAAGAAAAATAAGAGCAGAGCAGGCGCATGTTTTCCAGACAGCCGACAGGATGTAATTGCCTGAGAGACAACGAGTGTTTTTATTAGTTTGTGAAACTAATGACTATTAGGAGTGTTGACCATGGACAAAGAGTGCTGAAGTAATTACAAGGCTGTGAGCCCAGTGACGCCTGACTGATGATTCATTTCCACCTTAGTCAAGCTGTCCACTGTTCACATCTGCAGGGGCAACTGGATCGGTGAGGCTCCATACCAGCATGGCCGCCCTTGTTCCCAGTGCCCTCCCAGCTATGGAGGAGGATGTAGGAATAACCTGTGCTTCAAAGGTGAGCAAACCCACACGTTTTTCATTCAAAGATGCTTATTAAACATGTTGTCAACCTGAATCCTATCTGTTTCTCCATCTGTAGACTCTCAACGCTCAGAGACTGAGGACATGAACGAGGTTGAGAAGCCTCAGGTTCCAGTGCAACCTCGTACCACCGCCAAACCTGCCCCCAAACCTAAACCGTCTCCTCCGAAGAAACCAGCGTCCAGACCCTCCACTCCTAAAGCCACCACACCCAGGACGCCATCTTCAAAGACTCCCAGCAACACCTATCTCGGTAGCTACAGGAATTATCAACAATAATCTTAAACTTTCATGTTTTGTACATTTCCTTACTGACTTTTTGTCTTGTTCTTGCAGCTCACAACATAAAGTGTGAGACTAGACTGCGGGACAAGTGTAAAGGTGCAACATGCAACAGGTCAGGTTATTTTTTGGATGGTTACATCATTTACCATACACTTCCTCTCCAATATCAACTCACTCTTGTTTCCAACTCATTTTCTGACTCTGCAGATATCATTGTCCTGCTAACTGTCTGAACAAGAAAGGGAAAGTTTGGGGAACTCTCTTTTATGATGTGGTGAGTCTGTCCAACATGAAACAAACATCTTGCAGAATTTTTTTTTATTTAAATGCATATATATATATAAAAGTGTTCATTTTTTATTGTTTCAGCAATCAAGTATTTGCAGAGCTGCTATCCATTTTGGTGTCATTGACAACAATGGAGGGCTGGTTGACATCACAAGGAAGGACAAGTTCCCATTCTTTGTCAGAGCAACAAAGAATGGCATCGAGTCCTTCAGGTAGATATCTGTGCTCTGTCTAATTACCCAAGTAGGTTGAAATCACATTTGCTGATGCAACACTTCTGAAATACACTTCCCTCCTTCTATGATTCACATTTTGTGCAATAATGGATTTTTTCTGAGAACCATTTGTTTTCCTGATTTCTAAACACTGCAATGTCTTTTACAGTAAATATAAACCCGGCAATGCCTTTGTGGTGGCCAAAGTGGAAGGTAATTAAGGCACTTTTCAGACTTTTTCACAAGAGTTTTGAGTCATGACTGTGTGTAGATTCACACACACACATATTAGGTATATTAAGTGTTTTTCTCTTCTCTCTCTTTGACAGAAACGACTGCTGACTGCTACACCACAGTGGCTGAAATCTGCCCTTTTAAAAAGCCCGACTCACACTGTCCAAGGTGCCATCTTATCATTCTCTAAAGCATGAAATAATTAGCTAGATAAAGGTTTTGCTTTATACTATTGTCATATCAGATGTGTGTAATAACAATACAATATTTAAAAGAGTTTACACATTTATAACACCATACATGAATTAACACTTAAAATGTCCTTATATCTTCTTATAACTCTATTATAGTGTGTCATAAGCAAATAAAATAATGAATATAGTGCTATGGATGCTAAATAGAGGGTGTTTAATATTATTGTATAAATATGACCTCTATCTGTTGCTGCAAATTCATACAAATCCGTGTTGTTTCTCAGAATCTTCTGTCCAGCCAACTGCAAGACTCAGCCTTCTTATTGGTCACCTGTGATTGGAAACAACATTTACACAGATGTAAGTAACAGACTGTTATGTGCATTTTCTGAAACAACTAATTCATCATGAATCAGGTCCTCCGGTTCTGTGCTATTTTCTTTATTTATGTGTTATTAGTTCAGTACAGAAAGGAAAGAATATGTGGATCTGCTGCAGTTAGAGTGACTTTTCTAGGCTTTGTGGTACATGGTATTTATGGAAAGCCATTGAATCGCAGTGGGAATATGGCTCATGGAGAGTGGGAGTAATGGTGAGGTAAGCCAGAGACTGCCAGGGATGTATGACCCAGCATGGGGCCTGACCACTCAGAGGCTTATTCTGGCATTATCTCAGCGTGTCTCAGGGTTAACTGGGAAACACAGAAAGAAATGATTTCATCTCTATGAATTCACCTAAATCATGTTCAAAGTAGAAAGTTCAAAGTACCCTCCGGTCTAAACTTATCAAATGTACAGTAAATATCCACGTCATTCTTGTGGATCATTTCGCAACTGGCACAGTCACATGAGATTGGCACTGTGTTTAATGGGCTTGACCTTGGATCAAACTGCCCTCAGATGACGTCTGCAGAAATCTGGAACTTTTGTGTCTTACAACAGGTCACAGAATAAGGCAGTAGAGTGGCTCATGGCGAATGTGCACAAGAATGTTTTGCAATCTGAGGCACCCAAATGTATTTCTACAGTGGTGTAGAGGCTGGATGTTGGTTAAACATGAGACATAAACCATCTGGTTAGAAATTTTGGAGGAGTGTATGAGCAGTGTGATCTGTGTTTGGACTAGAAATGAATGATTCTACTCCAGACTGTTGATAAGAGCTTATGGTCTGTTGTGTTGGCTCAGACTGTGAAACAAATGCTTGTGTGTGTGTGTGTGTGTGTGTGTGTGTCTGTGAATTAATGTAATATATTTTGTACTGTATTTGATAATGGAGGAATAACAAATATATTTATGCTCTGAAAAAGCTTTTTACTGTATTGTATTGCATTTCTCCTCTTTGACACACTTTCTCTTCACAGAGCTCCAGTATTTGTAAAGCAGCAATCCATGCAGGGGTAATCAAAGCAGACGGCGGTTTTGTGGATGTTCTGCCGCTGGACAAGAGAAAGAACTATGTTGGAGTCCTGAAAAATGGCATCCAGTCTGAGAGGTACTACTCAATTTTTTGTGGTCAACTATTTTTACTGTAATTATCTTTCCCAGATGAGGACTGTTGCAGAATAACAAAATGCACAAAGATGGATGGATCAGGCACTATGTCAAATAGTTGTAAGTTACCATGGTGACATTAAAGATAGTCAGAGTTCCAGAAATCTATATTTTTAGATTTGGCTCCGAGAAGTCTAGCTGCAGTGAGTATTTAAGAGAAGCTTTGTCAAAAATGAGAACAACCATTTCATGGTGTGTGACAGCTTCCATCAGCAAGAAACTATGTGCCAGCTGTGAAACTGCAAAGCCTCCTATGTTGTAATGAAAACATGTACAAGCACATTACGGATCTGCCACTGTGGGACAACTCAAACACATACTGTGAAAACATCCCCACTGTCTTCTGAAAGTGCATGTTGCATGTTGAGGAGTGCAACATGTAACCAGCTAAAGACTCAGCCACGTGTTGTTTGCAAAAAATGAACCTATGCCTCTCAGCCAGAGGGAATGTTAAAGGCTGTGTAAATCCTCAGGTGTTTTCATTTACTCTGGCTAATTAGAATTATTCAGGTATTGTCCCATCCTAACAGGTGCAACAAAGCTAAAAGTCAGTTAAGCCTGTTCACAACCACACAGTCATACGAAAAGGTCTAATTAGGTGAGATTGAGTGCACCTGTATAGGTGGTCAGTTGTTATGTAGGGGCTTTAAAAAGAGATCTGGCCTCATAAGCAGACTGAAGTGCCATTTCCTTTCATGAGGTACACTCAGCCTGACATTGTGCTCCTGTCAGTGGATTTTTTTATTTTGCCTAAGCAATCATATTGTGATCTGCCATGCTAAAGTCATTTATAGATGATATGGAAACTGCAGTAGTGGCAGCTAATGAAACTTCTTTCATGTTGATCAAAGAAATATGTTGATTTAGTCTTGTTATTTCTTTTTGTTGACTTATAGCTACTTACAGCTGTGTAAATCACATCCATGCTTGTTGTCATTAATGAATTTTAGCTATCTAGCTAGTAGCTATTTAGGCCGATGATGTCCCCATTCTTAATCCTGCCTACAAAGCTCTTATTGGCCAATTGTTTGAACAGCCTTCATTGGATACAACACCAAACCTATTTAAATTTCTGAACAAATTTAAGATGTGGGCGGCAAATCAGAGATGCTTGCAACCAAGCTAAGAGGAGTCTCCCTTACAATGGTTCAGTATACTTTAAAGATCTGCAACAAAATCTCATGCAGTCATGCACATTGAGTAAGCATCTGAAGGGAAAGTTTATACAGAATATTTATCTTCAATACTTTGCTCAGCTCAAACTTTAATATTTGACCAGTGGGAGTGTGGTAAAGAAAACCGTGAGAAACAATTCAAATAAAAACATGAAGCTTGTAGTAAAATTAGACAAGTAAATTTGACAGAGAATCTAAAATATGCCTGAGAAAGGTGCTTTTATTCACTAAACCCTACCTTGATTTATGTCTCCTGTAATACTGCATGTAGTGGGTTCCCTGCATGCACGCCATGTTTCTCACATCACTCTCATGTCTGTGGCCGGCTCCAGTGGACTAAGCTTAGGCAAGGAAGCCCTTGTGGCCAGTTCTGCTGGCATGTGGGGTTGTAAGAGTAATGGTGTGGTTTAGTGTGTGGATGGGCCACACATGGGATCTTTGCTTACTTTACCCAGGCATTTCAATTGAGTGTGCAAAGTGCTGAATGGCCAAAATGATCAGAGTCTGACTACTATGAAATCTAATGCAGAACTGCGAAGGCCCCACTCAGGGCATTGGGATAGGAGGTCAGTAAGCGGCTCAGAGGGAGTCTGTGCAATGTGCCAACATCATGGCAGGGTGGGCAGTTTGGACTGGACTGGGGAAGTAATCACAGCCTATCTGATTACTCAAGGATGGAAATGCTGTCAGCCACTTAGTCAGTGCTTTCATATACAGACAATTATCTGGGACCTGATACCAATCGCACAGGCCTATCATGATTATTGATCATGGCAGAGCTTCAAGGTCTCTCCACTAATGAACTAATTACAAAGTCATCAAGTTTCACACATGTGGTAGCTGGAAAAGGTCAGAGTGAGAAATATGCCAACAATGAGTCATACTGCCAACGTGCCATTTGGTGGACTCTTTTTCCAAAGATGTTGTGAACACCATGATTGTGTATTTTTTTATGGATTTGGCTGCTGAGGAGGACATGGGCAATACTAAAAAGCAGATTTCCAAGTATGACAAAAAGCTGTATTAATTTAACTTAACATATTTAGTAGACAGTGGTTGCATTTGTAGCTGTGGTTACCAAATGTAAATATGTTTGTTTGTATTGTCTGTTTGCAGCAAGAGCAACACAGAGGGAGGCTCTTTCCGAGTCTTTGCTGTGAGGGAGTGAGACTTCAGTTTGGATGTCCAAAGACCAACAGAGTCACCTCAGTTGCTCTTGAAGAGCAGGAAGTGCCCATAGGTTGGATACCATGGCTGTTCATCTGTCTCTGTGTCTGTGCCTTCACTGGAAACAGAACGTCCCAGCAGATCGATAGACAGACATTTCCCTCTTAATTCATAAACAGTAGCAACCCAGTTGTCCAATACCTTGATGGACCTTTATTTTTTCTCAGCTTATATCTCCAGATATGGATATTTCTTAGACATACTTACTTAATCTGTGAATACGGAATGTTTTTATATATTATGATGCATTGAACAGCTGGTGCTGGAAGTTTTGAGTTAGACATGTTTTACAGAAAGTATTATGTTTACAACGATGTTCTTATTACAAATTTAAATATGTTTTCATACACAGGAATGTATACTGATCACACTGTATTTAATCATTGTGTACATAATATATGATATTTTGTTTGTTTTAAAAATGGAGTACCATATATTACCATTTTTATGTTTATTCTGATTTGTTTTATTGCATTTTTCTGCTCACCTGGATAACCTATGCTTTTTGCCCTTGAAGATTTAGACTGTGAAACCAAATCTAAGTCTAAATTGTACTTAAAAGTTAAGTGGTGTGCCCATTGTGAGTGAGGAAAGGAAACGTGTGGTAAATGGAAGTGTATACAGGCAGCGGGCACTGCTATAGATAGATAATGTTTTGCTTAATGTTTAAGGAGGCTGGTGTCCGACATGTGGAGATGATTTAATGAAGGTGTTACATTGCTAAGTTTACTGTGTAGTGTATCACAGCGAGTGCAGATGGGTCCTCATAATGGCAGCAATATTGTGGATGTGTTAAATAACAATCAGAGACAGTAGATATGTTTAAAATAACAAGCAGTCATTTGTAATTTTATATTTATTAATGCTTAGTGCTTTCCTTGTTTCCTTATTTCTCTTGTTTCTGTAAGATATCTGAAAATTCAAAATTTGTCTCCTCCCCACCTAAGACAAATGAATGTGTCACGTGTTTCATGTCCAAAGAGTTTTGTGTGTAGACACTAGACCATATTATAAAGTGTGTGAATGTGTTCTCATTATCAAGCTGCAGTTTATGCACTTTGGAACAATTTACACTATGCAGTGCATGCAGGAGACACCCGTAATGCTGTTCACTATACTGGATTGAGGCACTGTTCCCATTGGTACAGCCCTGATTTGAATACTTTTGTTAAAGCAATGCCTCATTTGATTGAATTTTACCTTTTTTTTTTTCAAATCTTTTTACACTTGCCCTGATTACAGTCTCTAAATCATTCCAGCTGTGTCACTTAAATGTACAGAAAAAATATGTTTTGGCATAGTTAGCTTCCCTCATGGAAACTGATGGAAAAAAATGTAAAGTCCAGTTTGGGCTGCAGGACTGAGGTATCCAGTTAGGTTACTAAAAACACCAGATACATTTTAGTATCATTAAGACTTGTCACTCTATCTGACAGTTTCTTTGAGGTTACAAAATATGCTAACAGTGTTTTCAGAGTAAAAGATAAGACTAAAAATCTTCTGGCCAAATACAAATGACTCACTAAAATCTATTTCCTTAAGCATATTTCAACTTTATCTCTTTATTCTACCTCAGTCCTCTCGCTACGCTAGGCAGTTTTTTCTATATTGGAATTTTTATGGGAAGCTTTTGTAAAGTTAGGCAACTGTAAATACTCTAATTTCTTGTTTTTGAATAATCCTTTTTGCAGTAAGATATGATTAAAATTTGTGAATTTGTTGTAATTGTTTTTATACAGGTGTAGGATGGGTTCTATATTTTTTGCACAATTTGAAAATAAAGTATGACTTACAAATGCAACAACACATGTTTTTGTTTCAGTAAAAGATGTCACTGACTACAGTGTTGATGTGTTCAGCTTTTTTGGAATATTTTGTGTATAAACTGCCCCATCATGTTTAGTGCAGCCTAACCAGTCAACTAACTGTGTTAGTCAAGACTTCTTTCTTTTTTAATTGTCATTCGAAGTAACAAACATACAGCCAAAACAACTCCCAAGTGTAATATGACTTCACAAATTGTTATTAAATCTACTTTGACCCGAGCATCAGGCTAAAATCTGTGCGTCATGCATTATGAATGAAACTTAGATCCAGGCCACCCAGAATTCGTCCATTATCTTTGGAAGAATATCACTGACCATGTTAAAATCTGGCTTTGCTTCCTGCGGACACACGCATGTTGAGTGAAGTGGAACAAGAAATTGAAGCAATCAGTTTTACTCGAGGACCACATACATAATCTGCCAATAGGGCTTTAGCTTATGGTGGAATGATCTCAGAAGAAACTCCATGGACTCGGCTAAAATTTAATGACCTTGCAACTCCCGATTTACCACTCCAGGCTGAAGTTCTAGTTTGTCACTTAAGAAATGTTTGTGACAAGGTCCCTGAGATGATAAGATCACTGTATATATGCCATCATTAAACGCCTCATTTACTTAAACCAAAGGGGGAGAGAGAGGGAAAGAGGAAAGGCAAATGGCAGAAAGAGAGAAAGAAGACCAAACAGAGCAACCCTGTAAGCATTAATAACTCTTCATACCTCCAGGGCTTTAATTCCAGCCAAATTTTCAGTTTCAGTTAAGCCCTGCTTGGACATGGCCTCGGCCACCTTACTGATAAACAGCTGCAACTGGCTGGTGTGATGACTGTTTTACTCCCATTGTCAATGGAGATAGAGATTTGTACTCACACAGTAAATCCCCAGACTGCTCGGAGAAAAAACTCAGGGGCTCAGTCCAACTTTGGGGTTTCTTGTCCTTAAATGCGCTTTGCACAACATTTTGTAATGGTTGTACAACAATTGCATCACATAGGACTCAAGAGTAATAGCAGTAAAAAATTCTTTGTTTTTCGTTATTGTCATTAAAGCCTATGAACTGTCAAACTCACAAAAATACTATATTTGTCTCATTTAGATGTACAAAGTCTGGATCACAGCCTATGATAACATCTTCTATTTTGTCAACAGCTTGTAGTGAACTTGATTCATCACTTTAAACATTTTCTATAATGTCTTAGAAGTTCACAATCACTGTAGGTCTACTACCGTAACTACTTAAACATAAAGGACATGAAAGTTATTGTCTCTAGAGCTCATTGTGAGGCTCCACCAAATGGCTTTAAGAGAGGAAATGCCCCCTCTATATCTCTGTTACACCCTAAAGAGTGCAACACTACAGCTATATCAAACCAGCTGTCCTGGTGTAAACAGCCAAGAGTTCAAAGAGAAGGATGCTGAAGCATGCATGTCTGGTAGAAGTTTGGTGAGCAATCATTCTCAAGCATTTCTATAACTTCTTAATTCTAACTAACCTTACTATCACTACAGAAATGAGACACAATATCCCAACATATTGATGGATGGATTTGCATGTATGTAACCCAAGTAGCATATTGCACTCAAAGGAAATGATAAGGAAGGAGATGGATTGTCAATATATGTTTCACAGACATTTATGAACTTTTTCCTCTAGGGTCAACACAAGGTTGACATTTTTGGCTTTTAGTGAAATATGTCAACAATAGTAATCCCTATACTTTTCCTCAAGCAGCAGGCTGACATTTGTGGTTTTGGGATAGCTTTGACTCACCCTTGAATAAATTACTAACTCTAGCTGATCAGCCGGGTAACACAGAAATGAGACAACAGTCACTGAATCGTCCAGTGTTTCACAAACACAAAAATGCATATATTAGATAAAATCTGAATAACATATAACACTCAAAGGCAACATTAAGAGGCCTTCTCTGTGCTCTTATGTGCAATTTTACATTTGAACTGAAAAGCCATGTGTGTGGTTCTGCTAATGGTATTATTACCAGAATTGAATAATGGAAATTCATATTTTGACATACAGTTTATATTCTCCAGATGGGACCTCCAGGCAGGATCTTGATCACTGGACAGCAATAAATAAGTAGTAGAGTCCAAATTATATTGATATGATAATATTTTTCTGGTCAGAAAAGTCTTAGTTCAGCACATGGTCTCAAGCAAGAAAGTAGGGATGGGCCAGCTTGTGTGGAGGAATTTTAGATTTAGAGAGCCTGGAATTAGAGGAACCATCTTCCAAAAAAGACACAGCAGAGATGTGGCTGATGTTGTCATGACAGGATTGTGTCTGGCCTTATACATCATAAAAATGTGGTAAGATTTGTAGATACAAAAGGAGGATAGAACCATTTGTCTAAAGGAAACATTTGGAAAATATTTGGAATTGAAAGGTAAATGTCTTCTAACATAATTTTACTCAATAATTTAGTGATCTTAAGGTTATAGTGCAGACAAGGCTACGGTTCCTGGCTACTAATTTTTCACTGTTAAATAGTTACATCCAGTTATGGGAGCATTTCAGACACACAATGTTTTTGAATTCCAGGCTGATGGCGGATTACCTAGTGTGAGTGACCTGCTGTAAATTATATAGGCCTGTATATTGCCTGTGAGGAGTTAAGCCAAAATGATGCGAACCAGAATAAACACAGAATAAACAAGAAACAGTTGCAAGATGCCACTATAGGTCACAACTGGTAGAAACTGGTTTATCTAAAAATACTTTGCAAATCATTTTAAGTTACACAATAGCAGAGTTTGACATACCTGTACTATGGTTAATTCTATTCACTTCAAATTAAACTTTAAATGAATCTTTAATTTTACTGTGCTAATTAATGATGTTAGCATGCTAACCCGCTAAACTAAGATGATAAACATGGTAAAAATTTGACCTTTTAAATGTCAGTGTTGTTATGGTGAGCACCTTAGCATGCTGATATTAGTATTTTGCACTGCTAGCAAGTACAACCTCACAGAGCTGCTGGCTGCAGAGTCTTAGTCTTGTTAATTTATCTCTTGTTTCCTCTGTCTGTCATAACACATGAACATTTAATATTACAAATGCACGAAGTGGGTGAGGAGAATCAGTTCATACCATGCCCTAAATAGTGTATATACGGTAATATAAAACTTTCTCCTGTCAGGTAATACCAAATGTTTTACTTTATATTTTAAAAAGCTGTAAAACACAAAATTTTGAGTAACAACATCCTGCATTGATGCTGCCAAACCACACAGGAAAATTCATGCGACGATGCTTGTAATGTATCCCCATCAGCGTTTTATTTGGTCTGGTATGCTTAGTTTTTTCTCTGCATGAAAGCCACCACAGTGAATCCCTGGCTGCGTTCCCTCAGGACTCGGCATGAATTCTGTCCCAGAAGAAGGCAACCCCAAGCGAGAGAACAAAGGGTGTTTGTCAGAGAGATGATGAGGAATCTGTGGTGATGGTGCGTATTCAACCAATGTGGACTGGAACAGTTAAACAAAGCCTCGCTGCCTGGTAGATTTGTAGTCACACAGACAGTTTTTCTTTCTCCTTCGTGAAGCACTTCCATTCTGGGAAGAGTGTGGTGAAGATTCACAGTCCATTGATCAAACACAAGAGTTTGTGCACATAAGCCTCACTCAACAGTCAGCACTTTGTGGTACAAACCATAATCCATGTTGTTTTGAAGACATGGTTTTGTGCCGATTCAAGGATGATTGTATTAATATAGATGATGATTAAGTAAGAGTCATCTTGAAGTGTTTCTGTCAGTAAGTGGCGAAATGATTGTTGTCAAATGCTTAAAAATTACTGTACCTTCCAACAGAAGTCCTCAATGAATACTCTTTGACCACACATGGTATTTACTGCCAGTTTTTATAATTAGATCACTGATGCTGGACCCAATATTGATCTGAGGTACCGTTCAGTTAATCTTTGTCCATTAAGTGATTTCAACTTTAATCTTTTGTTTTAGAATCCTGCATTTGTTATGGAGAGTAATGTAGTCTTACAAGCTTAATGTCAATATGGCACACTAGCGGCTCTGTGAGGCTGAACTGAGGCACAGAAGTTGAGCTTTAAACTACATAAATGCTCACATCAGCATGCTATCATGCTCACAATTACAATGTTAACACAAACTATAGCCAAGGCTGATGGGAATGTCATTAGTTTTGCAGGTATTTGGTCATAAACTAAAGTAGTGGACAAGTTTATGAACCAAATTTCACAGCAGTCCATCCAATAGCTGTCTTAACATTTTACTAAAGACCACAATTGCCAGCCTCATAGTGGGAAAAGCCAGGTGATCACCCAGGCTACAAGGATTCACTGTCTGGGAAAACATGACTGTCACTACAAAATGTGGTACCAACTGGTGTTGTAGATGGCGAGATATTTCACTGTGTAAGAGAAATAAATTGACCTGTTGCTTCTGCAAAATGAAAAATCCAAGGATGACAAAAAATGTTATGAATCAGCCTCTGGCCACCGTTAATATTGCGACCAAATTTGACCTAAAAGTGATTTCTATTGATTGTATATTTGTTTAAAATTGTATTATACACTATATACAATCACATCAAATGCAGCAGTGTGCAGTTGTTATGATTTTTGACTTAAATGCATAAAACCAACTATGAGGTCCATATTTACTTATGTATTTTATGTTAAAAAACCACATACACATAAAACTAAAGTCTTTATCAATCTCTCAGTATCTCTTCGGAACAGAAGGCACATGAAGCTAATATTTTTTCCACCGTTGCTTTTCACAGCGGTACTAAATGATGAGATCTGTTAAAAGACCTCATTCTCTCCTCCACACGACTTTCCTCAAAGAATTCCCATTAGTCCAATATTTAACTAATGATGGGTACATGAAAAAAATGTTTCATGAACCTGCTGTCAGTGAAGCAGTCTAAATATAGAAACCCTCGTTATAGACTTCATAACAAAGAGCACTCTCATAGCCCAGTTTGTTTCCCAGCATCACACACCGGAGCCGACACGTAATCACATGTTGATAATGGTTGGTTGCTTCTTTTGTACCTCCTCTGTCGGTTATTGCCCTGCTTATTGAACGAATGAATCCAACGAGTAGCAGTGGAGTTTGTCATTACTTTGAGTGGAGCAGTGAGACAAGTGGAAAGTTAGGCTGAAGTAAACAGGGCTTGAGGGCCAGTGTTATTGTCTGTTTAAATAGCTCTATCC